GCTAAACCACTCTTGCATTAACACAGAAATCCAGAGATTGAAGAAGGCTAGGAGTCATGGTGAAGAATCCTTTGGTCTTTCAGGGTACAAAGCAGGTCTGGAAAACCAAAAGCAGTCACTGGAGACTGCATTGTTTTGATTCAACATGTCTGTATCAGAACTGTCTTTGAAAAGAGATTAGCTTGAATAAAAAAAATAAGTATTTTTCTAAAAAGAATCACTTATTTGGATCAAAGTATTTTTTCATCCATTTTAGATAACTTCAACACAAACATTAAATACCTTCCCATCTATTGCAATTCAGATGACAGTACTGCACAACATCCAAACTGGAAATAGTTCACATTTGTTCATGAATCTCTCTCTGAAGTTAAGATGAATTCCCAGTTTACAACAATATCCATTGTTAGATGAAGGTGAGAGGTTTTATCTCTTGTCCCATGCAATGCATGCAACTTCAGGAGAAACCATGAGAATAGGTTAATGGTGTTATTCCTGCCATCCTCTGTTTGGGATGCAGTTGGGATCCAATTTCCTTGGAGGCCAAGTTCATTGCCTCATTTACAAGCTCCTGCACACAAGAAACGTTGCTGCATGCAACAGACTGGCAGCTGCAGCAGTTTGCAGACTAGACATTTAATTTATGTTTATGGCACAACAGGGAATGGCATAGAAGTGTCAGCTCTTTGTAAACGTGTGGTTCTTGTAGAGTTGACAGGATAGAGACCTACTTGCCTACTAAGGCCCAAAAGACAGCTTTACCTGAAGGAAGAGACAATAAAGATGCTAGGTGATATTTAACAAATGCTATTCATTCAGATGCCAGTCTTTTGCTCTATCTCCCTTTACAAGTCCAGTGTCTCCAGCCACAGTGGGTGTAAAAACCAGAAATATCAACACAATGGTATGGTAATACAAGAGTTGTAATGACAAAGGGAATAGCATGATGGAAAGGTGTTACAAAGAAAACATGCTCACCTGTCTCTGAAGATCTAGGCTCACAAGGGAAACTCCACAAGGGAGGAATCTCCAATTCAAAGCCCTTTCCCAGCAGCAGTCAGCCCTTAAATGAGGTCTAAGAGATGTACAGCCAGGCTCCACCCCTTCTGGTGTCACAGGTGAATTGCCTCACCTGTGCTCCCAGGGCTGACCGGATCCTTTTCCCAGGCACTCAATCAGTGGCTCAGGCTGGGACTCAACAGTTACCATAAAGTGTGGATATGTTTTATCATCTCTCCTTACTCATGCCAGCCACAGATCAGCAGTGCTACGTGGTCTGCCCTGCTGCACTGAACTGTTCATGTAGTGTAACTCTGCGGTCATCAGAAGGCAGGGGAGCTGCTGCAAATATCATCTCTGCAGAGCGGTCATAAGCACACATCCAGGACCCTATGTTCTGTACTCTCACCTCTGGTGAGAGCTCACACTCTACATCCTACTCATAGGGCAGTCCCCTCAGATTTGGAGTGGGGTGATATTTAGAATCATGCTGAAAATAAGTTTTCAGTTTTGCTTTTTGAGGTGCTCATTAATTTGGATTAATGGGTACCAGGATGTCACGAGCAGTAACAAGCAGCTTCTGCTTTCACAGACTGTCAGATATGGGCCACATGCTTTTTGTCCATACTTATGTGTCTGTGCATAGAAGAGAGTCAGGTACAATGTAGGTGCTCAGTTCTGCCTAATGTTTGAATTTGTTGCTTAGCATTCCCAGGCTGTTACACTGACAGAACAGTTGAGAAACAGAGACAAACCTTACCCATTTAATGAGAAACGTTTTTTCAGGGGATATGAAATGAGTGTTTTGCAAGTTCCGAGCCTGCATAAAGGCAGACACAGCCTGGCAGACCTGGATGTGCCTTCCACAGTCCTTGTTGGCAGCCCAAGCTATCCAAACAGAGCTCAAAACCCCTCAGGGTGACTGAATGTCTGGGCTCACTTTCTCCTTTTATGACTGGCAGCAGAGACCAGTTGGAAGGACCCCAGTGATCTTTGCCTGCAGAAATGTCCATCCCAGTTAGCATAGTGAAATCAAAGGGGCAGGCTGCCTGCAGCACTGGCACTGCGCTGAGCTGTACAAGCCATTCTTAACAGCTAAGTTCAAAATTGGATTTTTCTTTGAAACACAATTGTCCTAGATAATGAGATAAGGAATTTGCATTATTTTGGTCCTTTTCCTTTATTTGTTACTTGTTTATTTTGATACAGTCATCACAGTTTCTGTCTACTACTCAGCATGCCTGCTTGGTAAAGCATGGGAGCAAAGGAGGAACAAAGCTCATTCTAAAAGATGCAGATCTTTTGCTTCTTTGGGGACAAAGGGTGCTATTTTACTTCTGTCTGCACAGTACCTGCTCTTTTCTTTATAAAAAAACTGAGGCTTTTGGCATGTGCTACATGAAGCTACAACTTCACATTTCCTTATAGTTGAGTGGACACCTGGCTCTCATGCAAAAACAGAGCTTTATTGAGTGCACAAATAAGAAAAAGAAGCTGGACTGCACTCCAGAAGGGCCTGCTTTTCCACTGCAGCCCAGCAAAGCTGAGGACACAGACTTCTGGTTTGACCTGTTGGTAAGGAAGGCAGCAAGTGCCTCTTGACATAACTTCCCATGTAGAATGAAGGCAACTGCGATGCATCTCAGGGAATGGTGGCAAAGCAGAATTCTGATCAAACATATCCCTGTGAAATGAAGAGTACCAACAGGGCACCATCCTGCCCCAGCTCTGAAGGGCTCCCAGACTTGCACTTTGGTTTTAGGGTTCACAAGTGCATGTTTGCAGGGTTCTACTTTCACCTGTGTGGGGTTACTGCAGAAATTGAAGGAGTTGGTGGGGCCCTGACATAGTTGTTTTGCTTGTCTCCCTGCTCTGAAACAAAATCCACCTACCCTGAGATCACCCTTGGCAATTTTTGTCCCTCTTTTCCTTAAAGCAGGTGCAAGATTTCCCTCTGCTCTATGTAGCATTTAAATTCTATTTAAGTTAGAAAATCTTCCTGAATATCTAACCTACCTCCAAGAATCTAATTGTTTAACTAGAAATGTAGGTTTTCCCCCTGATTTATAACAAAAGTAAGAGAAAGAAAGAGTAGTTGACTATCTTTCGTGTTACGGGAGATACAGTATGCCAGTTCAGCCTTTTCTTTCATCATTCAAACAAACTCAGTTACTCAACACTGCCTCATGGCTCACGTTTTCCAAACAGTCTTGTTACCATTTGGACCCTTTCCATTTAGCTCACGCCTTCATTGAGCCTGACCTCCCAATGAGGCCTTGTTAGAAGCAAGTGGGGTGGAATAATGTCCTGTCTCACGTATCTCAGCAGCCTCCTGTAACCATGACTCAACAACAGTCACATTTCGGGCAAGGACAGACAACTGTGGTGAGCTGCCTCTCCTTCTCCGGCACACATCTGCACCACCTCCCCTCTTTTTTGCCTTTTTTCCCTCCAACTACTAAGTGCAGCATTTAGCTGAACTTCCTATGGTGATTCCATGTAGCTAGAAGCCCCAAATCTTGTGGCCTCATTTCATCCTCCTAAGGCAAGTGACTAAAAGCTCAGTGTCATGAAAACATTTCAGATGCCTCTCCATCCTGTTATATAAGCTGCTAAAAAAGCATGGATATCCCTTCCTGGGATGGAAGGTGAACCCCTGATAGCTACTTTGAGTTCAACCCTCCAGACCACCATAAAAGCGTTCTATTTCCCTGTATCCTCACATCTCATGGAGGCTGCATGGGTGGACATAAAACACACCTCACCTAGATGATCAGAATGGAGAGAATGAGTTAAACACCCCTCTAACGACACCTTGCATGAATTTCCTTCCCCTAGTGGATTGCAGGAGGCATTGATTGGCATCAAGAACTCACCTGCTTGCAATAGATCACTCTTGGTCTCTTTGTAAACAGGTGTTTTGCAACAAGGATGTCCTCAGATGGACCTTGTAAAAGGCCAGGAACCAGTACTACCAGTACTACTGTCAGGAATGAGTATTTCTTTTTAAAAGAATGGCCGGGAATGACCTGCAAGTGTACCATATCTGTTTGGCTTTGTCTTCTATGTGGTTCTAAATGACACTGCTTAGAAAAAAGAAAAAATGCTTTTTCTTACCATCATTCTGATTTTTCAAGTTTCTTCAGTATTTGGTCCATCTTTGCTGCTTCATGGACAGAAGTACAGCTGACAGAAGTCCCCAGACACAGATTTGGTTGAGTCATGCAGATCCATCCTTGTTAGGAGCTATACTCTCCCGTGAAGCCTCCCCTCAGCCCTTGCTTTGGGCTGAACAAACCAGGAGACTGGTTGCTCCTTGTATATCTTGCCTTCCAGAACCTTTCCCACCTCTGTAGCCTTCCTTTGGACCAAAATCCAGGTTTGGGGAGATGCCCAGAGAGAGACGGGGTGTTCAAAATAGGTCTCCTGTGAAGACCAGTGCCATAGCATGCACCTGCACTGTGCTGCAGCCAAGCCCAGGTCCTGCTCTGTGACTTGGACCCCAGACACCTTGCTGCCACTGTCACAAGACATAGGGTCGCTTCGGATATCGTATTATATAACAATAGACTGTGGATGAAGTCTGATGGACTTTATTGTAACTACACACACTGATTACCAGTGTAATTAAGCCTGAGCGGAATGTGAGCAATCTAAGCATAAGAAAAAAGAAAAAAGGGAAAACCACTTGCCGTGCAGGCAAGGCACAATACAGTTAACAATCGATTTTACCTGTTGATGAGCTATGATTGGGCAAATTGTTGGCATCTCATGTTCTCTGTCATGCTATTTGATGTCTCCTTCACTGCGCAGCCCCCCTGGGACCAGCCTGTCCCACTCTGGTAAACACAACAACATCAAGAAGTGGAGAAATGCATGGGTTACACAAGCTGGGCGTTTAAGGGCTTTACCCGTGAGACTGGATTTTCCTCCCTCTCTGGGACTGTATTAAAAACTGTGCACATTGTGAGACATTCAAAGGCAGCAGGAAGGACCATGGGGAGAGCTATCTGTAATGCTGCCCTGAGTTCAAGTCAATAGCTGTGCTTGATGTTGCATGACCTCACCAAGGACATCCAGGGCTGAAAACAACACTGTCAGATGGAGGAAAAGATTTGGAAGGATCATTATGTGCTCCTCAACAAGAATGAAGAAAATGAGCTGGTAAGGAGTTGGGGGCTGTGTGGGGGGTCGGTTTCCTTGTGCGCCTCTTTCTCCATATGCTTGTTTTGAATCTGCCTCTGCTTCTTCATCTCCGCTCCTTATCTGGGAATGGTTCAGCACAGTGTTGGAGAAGGCAAAACTCTGAACCTCTTGCTGACTTCGAGATTGATATTGGCTAAGGAAAGACTAATTGAGGAATGTAGTACTTCAGTCCAAAAGCACAAAACATAGAAAAGACCACTGCCCATCAGAAATCATCCAGCCACAGAGCAGTGTCCCTTTCTCCTTTTCTATTTCATTATCTTTTCCACCCTAACCATAAGGATCTCTACTTACAGGTGCCTTTTCCTTGCCTGGCAATCAGAAAGCAAGTCATGGGAAAGGTGCTTACAAATGAGGTTCATCCTGGGTCATTCCCTGGAACAGTGGTTAAATCTCTTCTCCATACATGTTAGGGTCTATGCTGCTTAGCAGGTCTAGGAAAGCTGGGCAAGTGTCCAAAGTCTACTGCAATTCCTATGGGAGCAATCTCTTATGGCAGCATTTACAGAGAAAAAGGCTTTTAATTAATGTTAATCGAATCTTCTTTCTGGTTTTGACTATTACTGATTATTGACTATTGATCATTGATTATATATACTAAGGGGCTGCTTTGCAAATGCAATGATGTGGAAACTCTTCCTGTACCTGTCAACATAGACTGATTACTTTGAGCCAAGTGAAGGTGGGAGTAAGGCTTTCTTCTCCAGCCTCTGTGGAGACACCATCTGGAATTCAGGTATTCCCAGTGCACAGAAGTAGATGTCTCTGCACATCTGTAAAATATAGCCCTGTTAATCCATTGTGTGCTAGAGATGCATGTGTGATGCATACACTGGAAGCACAGCTATGCACTCATCCCATGATGGGCTCTTCTGTCCTCTGCTTCTAGTATGCCCACCGTGTCACCCCTTGACCAGCAGTGGGGACTGCAACGTGCCTCCTCCATGAAATGCAGGTGCTCAGGACAGACACAGGTGGGAGAGATCCTACCCTGCACTGCACAACTGTGCTTTTGCCTCAGGATTGCTCGCAGGGCTGCTGATAGCTGTGGGGCTGCAGCTCTGCTGCTTGCCTCTGGTAAATCCCTGTTGGGCTTTGCTTGGTGCTCATGCAGCTCATGTGAGCTTGTTGTAGATTAGGGACTTCAGGCTGGTTGAAGTTGTTTGCATTCAGCACAAAATCAGAAAATCTGCCCTGGAGGCAGGTAAGGAGCCAACCAGTGATTGTCTGTGTCATGTTCATAGCTACTTTGTTCTTCAGGGTGTCCCTTGCTGCTGTGGGGGAAGTGGTCCTTCATGCATGCATACATGCATGCTTCTGTTAGTGTAGGAGCAGCAGCAATATCAACTGCCAGGTGAGGATGGAGGGCCAGCAAGGGTGGGTAGAGCTAGCCATTGCCACAGGCAGCTTTTATCTGTGCTCTCCAACTCAGCTGCACCCATTTTTAGAGACACCTCCCTACCCATCCGGCTTCCATCCTTGCTGGCAGAGAAGGGTCTGGCACTGCCTACAGGCTGCTGACAAAGCATGACACTTGAGAGACTGTCTGGCTTGGGCTGGGCACCGCTTTTGTCAAACGTTCTCTCACTGCCCTGCCTGCTAGAGCAGCCAGCCTTGCCTCCATGTACTGCACTTCTTGGGAAATGTTTCTCAGTGCCAGCTCAGTGGGGCACACACTGCAGCTCTTCCCAAGCCTGGACTGAGGACTTGATCCTCTCAGTGCCTTCTGGGCAAATTGTGGTCCCAGTTACCACACCATGCTTCCTGCTTTCCAGACCTGCCTTCAGATTTTATCTATAAAACTGCCGTTGTTACAAAAGAAACAAGCAAAGATCACCATGAATTTCCCTAGCTGTAGAGGCTGGTTTGTCCTCCTGCCCTGAGAACATCTGTGATTATTGCTTTAAACTTTCGAGTCCTCCAAATAAATAATATTTTGCATGCAGCAGGGCTGTGAACTCCAAAGCTGCAGAGCTGTTTTGAAATGGGCTTTGCTAACCTGGTACAAGGGCTGCATGACTATTTTTATTTCAGTTGAACTGCATTGGTTTCAACTTAGTTTATGTTGATTGTGATCAGAGTTCAGATAAATCAAGTTAATTGCTCTCTTAAAACGAAGTAGGTGCTTACTCCACTGCCTTTTAATCACTTCAAAATTATACCTGAAGTTGAACCTGTATAATTGTTGATACAAGCCCTTGTCAAGGAGCTTTGCTTTGTTGCATATTCTATCCCGTAGAGCACCACTCTTCCTTCTGGCATTTCTATCATGTATAATTCAGAACTGAGACTTCCTCATTTTTATTCTCTTTACATTTTAAAACACTGTTTCCTCCCTCCACTCAAATTCTGTGTCAATAGCAGTTTACACTGCCCCATCATGCTGTGTATTTTAATTGGCAAACTGTGTCAATTAGGCATATCCAGGCTGGATGTCATGGTATGCCCAGTGGGTTTTCACACCTGGGGGCTGTTAGGCCCAGCTGTGGATGGAACATCTCCTCCTGTCCCAGGAGAGCTCAGGTCCTGTCTGAGCTGAGCTCTGCTGTCTGCTCAGAGCAGTGCCTCTATGGCAGTTGAGGAGCCAAGACCCCAAAGTGAGAAGTGACTCCCTGTGAACTTGGAAGTGTGGGTTTCACTCCAGGCACTGCTTCCTTTGAAGGAGATGTGAGTGCTTTGCTGTGCAGAAATTGCAAAGAAAACACCCTGCTCACAGGGAAGGATCCAGATATACTACAGGCATTAAAGTTATCCTTAGCCCTGTGGGGAAGCTTAAGTCAAGCCAAAGTGTACAAAAATTTAATGTTTTTCTCAAGGGGACAAACTAGGACTGGTATCATTGCTATCATAGAATCACAGAATCGTTTGAGTTGGAAAAGACTCTTAAAGGCCATCTGGACCCTCTGCACTGAACAGGGACACCCACAGCTCCATCAGATGCTCAGAGTGCCGTCCAGCCTGACCTTGGGTGTCTCCAGGGATGGGGCATCTACCACCTCTCTGGGCAACCTGTGCCAGTGCATCACCACCCTTACTATAAAAAACTTTTTCCTATCCAATATAAATCTCCCCTCTTTTAGTTTGAAACCATTTACCCTTGTCCTACCACCACAGACCCTGCTAAAGGGTCTGTCCCCTTCTTTCTTATAGCCTCCTATGGGTACTGAAAGGCCCCTTCTCTTCTCCAGGCTGCACAGCCTCAGCTATCTCAGCCTGTTCTCATAGGGAAGGTGTTCCATCCCCGGGATCATTTTTGTGGCCCTCCTCTGGACATGCTCCAACAAGTCCATGTTTCCACCTATGAGAAGATGAGTACTGGGCTATCAAAGAGAAAGAGTAAGTAGGGGAGATGATGTGGCGTGGGGAGCAAATAAAAAGAAGAGAATGTACAAAGCCAGAAGTTCCTTCATGCACTTGTTTTCAAAATGTGCTGTACATGGTGGAAGATGACACGGCAGTAGGAGCAGTACCTGACAGCTGAGAGGAGGTGCACGGGGGTTTGGCCATTTTCCTTCCCTGAGGCAGAAACTGTTCCTCTTCTGCAAGGTGGATTTCAGTGCTCAGCTCAATGGAGAGCATTCTTCTTGCAGAAACTGTGTACTTAACTATGCTATGTCAGTCAGCAAGCTCTAATTTACAAAAATGACTTTGCGCTGTTAGGAGGCCTCAGTTGCCAATCTTTCTTTCCAATCAGCTCGGGCTTTCTGATGATTGAACAGCATGGTTAAGCTTGTTCTCAGAGTACTTTCTCTTTGCTGGACAGGAAGCTTTTGGCTACAAAACCCAGGGCTGCCGGAGGGCCCTGTGCATTACTGGGTACATCTTGTCCTGCGGGGTTCTGCTGCTGCTGTTCTACTGGAAACCAGAATGGGATGTGTGGGCAAACTGTGTCCCCTGCAGCTTGGAAGAAGCAGACGTCATCCTGCTCAGAACCACTGTAGGTTGAACCTTCACACCTTACTGTTACTGGCAGAACTGATGGTTTTCACAGATAGAATAGCTTGTCTCTCTTTGCCCACACAATGCAGCAGGTTGGTAACACTGTCTTTGTGTGAAGATGCAGGGGCAGGGATGAGCTTCAGTGCAGCTATGCCTCTTCTCATCCCCTATGCACTGTGGTAGAGCCAGCTGCCTTTGAAGAAGGGAACATTCTCAGACACTATGGCTGTTAGTAACCTTTCTGCTTAGAAGTTATCAATCAGACAGTGTTGAGGAAATGGGCTTTGGAGAGCTGGGTTTTGGGCTTTGGTTATATTCTAAGACTCCATCTCTGTAAATTAAAATCCCACACAATTCTATCAGAGCAAATACTTACTGCACTTAATGCTCAATATTGCAACGATATCCCTTATACAAATGCACTCAAACCACTAAACGAGTAGCGTGTTAGGCTAAGGCCAAACTGATTAAAGGACAATTCAGTCTGACAAGTGCATCTGCAGCAGCAAAACTGAATTGCTTTTGATTGTGGATTTATAATGAGTGGCAGCATTATAGGAGATTTGTAGAGCTAAGTAGCTGATGTTGAGGTTTCGGTGTTCACACTAGAGGTGTTTCAGAAGGCTTTTACATGCAGCTAGCCCTAGTCTGGTTTATAGACTGAAGATCCATCCAATAGCTATTGAAGCACATCTAGTTCCATTTCATCTTCTTTGAAATAGCTCTGAAGTATAAATCAAAGCAAACGGAGATGATTGTGTGTTTGACTTCAAAGTGCGTTACTGCTTGGTACTGAAGCACTGATATCTGGCATCCCTGTTGCTATGGACTGACATTCACTGTGATTGCAATGAGGCCACAGGATTGTAGTTCTCTGGGAGTCTCATATGCATTTTTTGGAATCAGGAAACATTATCACGGGCAACATTTCAGGTTGTCACTGAACTGGGCTCTATTTCTCTAGGATGAGTTTCAGAAATACACCCGGAAGAAGGTGACCTGGATTGATTTGTCCACTTTGGCACTACCTGTTGGTAGTTACTCAGAATGTCCTCTCATAGCTGATACAGACTCTGTTATAAACAGAGCAATAATGAAGCCACAGTTAAAGGTAAGTTGTCTACAAAATGGAGAAAAAAGGCCTAAGGAAGATGGTGGGTGAACTACAGGAGTCAAAGCATTGAGGGGCTTCCAGAAATGCACTGTCAGCATCCTCCTGCAAGTCCTCTTTTAATAAGCTGAAGCTTTCTCATAGAACGTATAGAAATGTTTCCATAACCCGGTGAGGTGGATTTCCCTGGATGCCAAGAGGATTTTTTGCTGTTTAATCTTGCAGGTGAGATGTATCCAGGTACAGAAAATCCGTTATGTTTGGGACCTTTCTGTAAAAGAGTTCAGGAAAGTTGGGTGAGTTTTGACAACTTACCACAAATCCACAAATCCCTTTGCAACATGGGAGTCCCCTGTGTGAGCTTTTCCCTGTTATCCCAGATCACTGGAAGACAGTAACACGTGTCACAGCATACACCACAAATTTGGAGCTGGCCTGACAGGGGAAGAACGGAAAATCAGGTACTGTCTGCATAAGAGTAGGTGCATGAGTTAATTATAACAGTATGACCTATTAAATTCCCTTTTAAATTTATGTGAACTTCTTGTTGCTCACTGTACTAGTAAAGCAGTGTGAACTGCATGGGTGGCATTCAGAAAGGTGAAAAGTTATTATCTCCACACCTTACTGAGCTTATTGTGTTCTGAGTGATGCTGATGCAAGGCTGCTTTCCCCACCACTTCCAGCCATGTTTTAGGGCACAGCAAGCTTTGGCTATCTGCCTTTGCCAACATCACCTTAAAAGATCTCTGGAGAGCTCATCACGGGGCTTAACAGCAAGGTTACAATATTTTCAACATGGAAATAGCAAACTTCCACCCCCGGGTGAAACCCTTTCAGGTACAATAGCTTCCTGACAGATTTCTTTGTGTTGCTCAATTGTCTGTGCCCCCAGGAATTACCTGTTTAGGTAAGTGTTAATATTATTTGAGCTCACGTCTTTCCTGCTGTCTTATCTGTGTGAGTAAGCTGTAGCATCAGGAACTCTTTTCTCCCTCCCTACAGGCAGCTGGTATGTGGGCCTAATGCCATTGAGGTTGAAATCCGTCCCATTTGGAAGTTACTTTTTAAAGAGGTCAGTAAGTCAGGCTGGTATGGGCAGGGACAGTCGTGAGATGGTTTTGAGTCTTTGTCTATGAATGATGAGTCTCCAAGAAGTGTGGTCAGCACATTTCTGAACTTCAGGAAGAGTTTGTCTGAAGCTGCACAAAATACATGAAAAGCTCCAGGGCTCCTGAAATTGGTTGGATGTGATATCACTGACTTTTCAGTGCCCCCGGAGACGATCTTGAAGAGAATTCCAGTACAGTGCTCTACAAAAGTTTATTTAATTTGAACTTTGCACTTCCATCCAAGGCTGAAGATTCGTGTTTGAAATATTAATGGTAGTGCCTGAAGGCAGAGGGGTCCTCACAGGCAGGTGGTGTTCCAGCCCAGATACAGCTTCAGCAGCTGTAGACTGGCATCCTGATTTAGTGTCTGTCTCTTTGTCCTAGTGAATCTTGAATAGTGTATTAAATTTTCATTGAGGGACCAAATTTGTCAGATGAATAATTCATTTCAATTCAAATCCATATGCAGAAAGCTCTTTCAGTTGGTATTTTTGTTATATCAGTTCTACAGAAAGTCTGTCACTCTTCACATAGTGGACAATTCTCTGAGAAAATTTCATCTAACTCTTTTGTTGTTAGTTAGAGAGCTAAAACTGTGTTCTCTGCTGGACTTCATTGTGGCTTGTTTCCTGTTTTAGCATATTCAAAGTGAATGGTGATTGGTACTGTAAAATTGACACTGTATGGAGTGGCCAGCAGTGTAGCAGTGTGAGAAAACCCAGAAAACCCAGTCTTCAGCTTACTTGTAGTCTGAGACTTATTACTGATGGTCTTACAGACCCTTAGATTCTTCCCTCCTTGCAAAAAAATAATTATATCCACTTCACTTTCTTAAATTACAAAGAGTTGAATACATTGTCTGCAATTCACTCTTTTTTCCCATATTTGGATAGTGTCTTCTGTGTAGAAATTACTTAGAATAGGCAATGTTAAGGTCACCTTTGTCAGTGGGAAACTGACTGAAAATCTCCTAAACTCTGACTTTAAATGGCCAGCAAAGTTGCTGCTGCATAATTACCAGTTAGCAACAGCTTTTAATTACAAACACTGTGAACAATGTGTAAACTGGTGAGTTCAGAGATGGAGGTATGAAAGCATATTGCCTTGAGATGGAAAACAGTTCTTTAAGTTGGTGTTGGAGACATTGTAACGGTATGTTCTCTCCTCTTCCCACACCCCATTTCCTGCTATGCATTACGTCCATTCTCTGACAGGTGCTATGTTTGCATTTGCAGATTTTAAACCCCTTTTATGTGTTCCAAGCCTTCACTCTTACCCTGTGGTTGAGCCAAGGCTACATTGAATACTCAGTGGCAATCATAGTCCTGTCAGTCATTTCTGTTGGCCTAACCGTGTACGACCTCAGACAGGTGAGTGCCATGCAATCTGCCAACTAGAATCATGAAATTGTTTGAATTGGAAGAGACCCTTAAAGGCCATCTATTATAACCGCCCTGCAATGAACAGAACCCCATCCAGCCTGACCCTGAACATCTCCAGGAATTGGGCATCCACCACTTCCCTCGGAAACCTGTTCCATTGCCTCACCACCCCTGTTGTAAAAAACTTCCCACACCATGCTGTTAGTCACTTCACTGTGGATGTGATAAGCAGCTCTTTCTGTGCTCTTTCTGGTTATTTTCTATTACTCTGTATTCTGATGTGTTACTGTAGATTTATTACAATAGAAGAGTTAAAAGGTTCAATCCCAGTAGTCTTGAGCTTCTCAAGAATTAAAGAGGACTGAAGTCTTGACACATGGGATTCATAAGAATGAAACGGCCAGTACCAATGAGTCTGGTTCCCATCATAATTTAATAGTATTCTCCTGGAGAAGCTGGCAGCCCATGGCTTGGACAGGTACACTTTTTTGCTGAGTGAAAACCTGGATGGATGGCCGAGCCCAGATAGTGGTGGTGAATGGAGTTGGATCCAGTTGGCAAGCAGACACTACTGGCTTTCCCCGGATGTTGTCTGATTGATGATCTGTATGAGAGAATTGAGTGCACACTCAGTAGGTTTGGAGATGACAGCAAGTTGGGGGTGAGTATTGATCTACCTTAGGTGAGGAAGGCCCTACAGAGGGATCTGGACAGGCTGACTCAGTGGACTGAAGCCAGTGGGATAAAGTTCAACAAGACCATGTGTCAGGTCCTGTACTTTGATCACAACAACCACGTGCATCTCTACAGTCTTGGGGCAGAGTGGCTGGAAAGCTGCATAGAGAAAAAAGCATCTGGGAGTTGCAGATAACAGCTAGCTGAACATGATCCAGCAGTGTGCCCAGGTGGCCAAGAAGGTCAATGGCATTCTGGCTTGTATCAGAATCTCTACAGCCAGCCAGAGCAAGGAGGTGATTTTCCCTCTGTACAGTACGTTCAGTGCTGTGCTCACATGGCACTCCACACAGCCCTCTGCCAAGGGCATGATTTTATTTGCCTTATTCCACCCTCACACTGCTCTCAGAGAACTTCTTGTGAATAGCTGGGGCTCCTACCAGTGCAGGTGTATTGGCCATGAACCCTGTATTTCTAATCTCCGACTAAATCTGTGTGTGTTATGTAGAGTAAATAGAACTCCTGTGTTGAATGAGCACTCACATAGCTGTAAGAGCACCTGTATCCTTAAAGTGAAAGTGCTGTGCTCTTGTGTAGCAGAGCACCAGGTATGGTGTGTTCAGATTTTTTTGCAAGGCTGGTTTTACTGTGTGACTGGTAACTTTGACAGGAAGAATTACATTAGGAAGAATGCTTGGGGCCTCTGAATATTCTTCAAATTGGTTTGACACTCTCATAAAAACTAATGAAATCCACTCTTGGGTTAACATTTTTCCAGTGGCAACTTTCTAAATCAAGATTGTGCTTTCTCTCTAGGAGCCTTGCAATGACAGTTGACTTCATCATTATCTCAGGGTATGCAATAGCCTGAATTACATTGCAAAAAAATAGAAAAAGTTTTGATCCAGCATCCTGACTGCTAAGGAGAGGTGTGAAAGCTCCCCTGGATGACTCGGTGGAACTCAGTTTCTCTGATATTAGCTTGGTCACTGGCTTGTAACATGCTGCTCAGCTTGAATGTTGGTGTTTCAACATTGCAATCTTTTTCCCACCAACAGCAGTCTACCAAGCTGCATGACCTCGTTGAGGAGCACAACAAAGTCCAGGTTACAGTCTGCACAAAGAATGAAGGTGAGTCATCTCTGTCTCGTTTTCCTCACTAGCCTGTGTAATTAACTGCTGTGTTGAAATGTATCTGGAATTGCACAGCTCCTGTTGATTTCCACAGCCAAAATGTGCTGTGGTGAGAATGGGGTGGAGGGAGATGAGCGGGGCAGGGCAGCAAGAGGAGTGAGCTAAGGCCTGTGCAGTGCAGTAATGATGCATCTGTGTCATTGTCATCAGTATCTGCAGCATCTGTAATGAAACAGGTGAACCCACTAATTTGTGTTAAGGGCTGGAAACAGCTTGGAAAACTCAATTTCCCAAACAAGCAATCAGATAACAACTCTGGTCTCCAGAGATCTGTTTCCCTGCTCTGCTATAAACTACTTTCACAATCTTGTAAAGTAGCTTGTGAGCAAGTTTTCAGGAGTCTAGATGTATGTTTAACTGAGGTATGCACTTCCTTGTCCATAGAATAGGAAATACAGCTATTTTTGCCTCCCAAAGACATTGAGATGTGCAGTCATTGGGATGGTGATGGATGTAAGGCCTTGGTCAGCATTTTATGGACACTAAACCAATAATACTGCAGACAGCCACCTGGAGGCAAATGCTTAGGGAAGGGCCAAACTTTTCACGATTGTTTTTAGGCCAATATGTTTCTAAGAGGCACTGGCTTTAGATCAGGCAGTGGAGAAATTTAGTGATGCTACATGTGCCTGAATTTTTTTTTTTTTTTTTTTATGGCTTGGAACTTATGCACAAGTTAAGTTCATTTTCACATTTTTCTGCAGGTTTCAAAGAACTGGAATCTCGTTACTTAGTCCCAGGAGATGTTTTTCTTTTAGATGGAAAAAAGCTCTCTCTCCCATGTGATGCTGTCCTGATTGATGGAAGTTGCATTGTGAATGAAGGGATGCTCACAGGTACTGCCTTGGAGTTAGGAATGCTAATGCCCTGTGCAGGTTCTCTGCCAGGGCGATGTCTCTGTCTGTTCTGACAGCAAATTTTTTACTATTTATTTAGAATAGTTTGCAGCAGGAGGTGGGATAACTGTGGCTTGAATAATTCACAGTTATCTTGGGCTTTTGAACATTACCATTGTATAATACACATTTCAAATCCACATGAGAACCAAGTAGGATTAATATACTGTCAGGAGTAGAAAGTGCAAATATTCAAATTCATTGAATATGTTTTTTTTTTAGTTTTTGGATTCTAATCTTGCAACAGCTCAGCTCAGCAGGTGGTGTATGAGCATGGGGGTCAGTGCCATGGCTAACATTGAGCCACTACAAGGCATGAACTTGGGTCAGGGCAAAATTTGACCCATGCCCACTGACAGAAAATGCTCAGAGAAGCCATCTGATATGCTCTGAAATGAAAACTGCAGTGGCTGTCGCCATAAATCCACATATGTAAGGACATAAGCTAGTTAATTAGTCAGGCAAGCTTAAGCACCAAAAGGGCACTGTCATTATTTAACACAAACACAGTCTAAGACCTTTAGATCCCTTTTAAACAAAGCACATGCTGCTCTTCTCAGGTGAGAGCATTCCAGTTATGAAAACCCTGTTGCCTTTGACGGAGAGCCTGGAACCCTGGAAAGCCCACAGCATGGAGGACTACCGGAGACACGTCCTCTTCTGCGGGACTGAAGTTATTCAGGCAAAGTCATCCGGCAGAGGGCCGGCGCGGGCTGTGGTGCTGCAAACTGGTACGTCTATCCCTAAACTGGTAAGAAAATGGCAGAAGTGGCCTCCAAAGAGGCTTCCCGTTTCTCACAGAGCTCTCTTACTGCCTCACTCTTTGGTCATCTCCACAACCTGAGGGTCGTATCTTCACACAGGGTTCAACACTGCTAAAGGTGACTTGGTGAGATCCATCCTCTATCCCAAACCTCTGAACTTCCAGCTCTACCGAGATGCCTTCAAGTTCATTGTAGGCCTCTCTGCCATTGGCGTGTTGGGATTGATATACACCGTTTGTGTGTTCACATACCACAAAGTAAGTACAGGGCATGCCTCCAGGTTTCAGGCCAACTCCAAGACTTCAGTTGTCCGTGGTCATTAGAATATTATCCAATCCTGTAATCCAGTCTTCTGATGCCAGGAGTGAGGTGCTGGGGGCTGAACCAGGATGAATAAATCCATCATTCCTATGGTCAGAGCTTAGGTGCATTGCACCACATCAGGAGGATCAGTTCCCAGAGAAACAGGCATTTCCCACCCCACCAACCTGTTGTTCTGGCTATTTGCAGAAGCCAGTGGCAGACGTCGTGGCCATGGCCCTCCTCCTCCTCACTGTGGCTGTGCCTCCCGCCATCCCTGCTGCCCTGACCACAGGCATCGTCTATGCTCAAAGGAGGCTGAAGAAAAAGAAGATTTTCTGCATCACTCCACAGAGGATTAATATCTGCGGGCAAATCAACCTGGTCTGCTTTGACAAAGTAAGACACTTCCTGGGGCAGTGACAGATGCTGGAGGCTGCTGGGGACATGGTGGTTATTTTATGGTTTTACTTTTCTATTTTATTTTTTATTTAATTTATTTCCATTCCATCTCCTCTAATCCACTCCCAGGATAACATCCTCTACAGGTGCCTATGGGGCAGGGTGGCAATGCAGGCAGGAGGCTTTCTTTGCTCTGCCCATAAAGGAGCTCTGGGGCCTCACAGGGGAAGGGGTGAGCAGGATAACAGGTATTTATCTCAATTTAGACAGGCACGCTGACAGAAGATGGACTGGACCTGTGGGGCATCCTCCCTTCTGAGGGAAGCCGGTAAGGAAAGATTTCCTGCAGTGATAACTCTTCCCCACTGTGGATGTACTGGCCCAAATTCAGGTTATCAGGGCTGGTATTCCTGCTCAGCTCATTTTCCCTCAAGGAAATAGGCTGGCCATCATAGCTGTCAGCGTGGCTGCTAATTCAAAGCAAACACACAGCCCAGAAGCCAGCAGCAGTGGGAGTGCTTTTAATTACTCTATGGGGATTTAGAGAATATGCACAGAGCTTTCCGATTATGTCATTCACAGCATAGTTCAATAAATATTCCTAATCTGTTCAATAAACCTTTCATCCTTTAAGTGTTAGGATAATGCTCCCTCTGTTGAAATTAAGTGTTGCCAGCTTCAGTGCCTGTCAAATCTCACCTATCTTCTGTAAACATTGCAAAAATCCATGAAAGCACAGATCAGACCTGCTGAGCCTAGGTGTCCTTACAGACTGCCTCCCACCTGTGGCAGGTTCCATCTCAAATTCAAGCCCAAGGAGCAATGAAAACATCAAGAGATATCCAGTATGTAAATATTAAACTTGACTACATCCAGAATTATGCTATTAAAGGTCAAGCCCAAATATATGTCTCTAGGGATGTGTGCAGGCATGTTTCTGTGCCCACATGCTGAGAGCTGTTTTCTCTGATGAGCAAAGGGATGTATCCCAATGGAGAAGCCTTGGGCTGGATGAACAGCAAATCTGAGAGCTTGGAAGGGGACAAGGGGCTGAGCCCATGGCACATCTGTGGGGATGAGGAATGTTGTGCTGGTGGGAGCAGGATGGGAGGATGCACCAGAAGGAAAGTAGTGACTCTTCTTGCAAATGCAGCCTGTAAGAGCTCTGGGATCACTGCAGTCAACTGCCACATCATCCCTTTCTTCTTCAGCCTTTTACTCGAGAGAGTTGAGTCAATAAATAAAACAGATGGTAGCTTTGCAGCAGCACTGCAGGAAGGCACCAGGCTGGTGTTTGCTGCTGTGGAAGGACAGGCAGAAGAGGAGCTGCACAACGGCAGAAGGAGGATGATGACAGCAAATGAGCCTTGGCAGCATGTGAAGTAGTAGAGCTGGAGGGCTAAAGCATCCTACACCCAAACTCTCCACCCTGCTCCTGCATGAAGTCTTTTGAAGCTGTAGATAGAAAGACAAATCCAGTTAGATAGGGACTATTTCTCTTTCTTGACGCTGTATGGCATTAGATTGATGTGGAACTTGAAGTTAGAGAAACAACAAAATTTGACACAGGTTTTTTACTCTCATCAAGTCAAAAGATGGAGGGCTCTGTGGACTTCTATTAAGGACAAGATTGCAGGGAGGCTGCCAGTTGTGATGGCTAGAAAGACCCCAAGATTGTAACAAAATACTGCTCTAGCTGTGTGCCAACAGCAAGGGGGAAATTCTCCCATATGCTGCTGCCTCTGCTTTTAACAGTCAGGTATGACACCAGAAAAAAAAAAAAAAAAAAAAAAAAAAAAGCACCATTAGAATTAATGCTTTTCCCTGTACAGGAGATAGAAGAGTCCAGCACAGCTCGGAACACAGCTGGTGCTATTGCTGCCTGCATCGTTAGACCGGGGCCGAATGCCAGCAGTGTGAGTCGGGCTCTTTCTGGGGATGAATATGCTGTGCTTTCAACCTGCAGCTTGTGAAGATTCTTGCACATGCACTGTTAATTTGCTGGGTTATAGGCTGCAAAGTGCCCTTCCCTCAGTCTTGGTCTTATGTTGCACCTTCCCTGCAAACAAACCTCTTGGGAGCTTAGACCACAAAAGCTGGATGAGTGGTCTAAGTGAAAACCAGTGCAAAGAAATCTTGCAAACTGGATAAAAGTCTAAAGCAGGAACACACCTGCAAGAAGATGCACTATAAGGTCATGACACAACAGACAGGAGTGTGGACAGTAAGTCCAGCTGGTAATGGTTGTGTAGAGCCACTGATAGGTTTACCAGCCTCAACCCAAAGCAGAGTTGTTTGCTTCCTTCCCCCTCTCAAAAGGCAGCAGCTCTGCATTTTGATGGTTGAAAATTGTTATGTTTCCAGCCCAAATGCTGAGCCAGCCAGCTTCTTCCCAGAGAAAGGAGATTGATTTCTGTGAGCATCACCAGGAAGATGGTGCTGTGGCAACAAGGAAATCAATCTTGTTTCTCACATTGCTCTGTTCCCTTGACAATGTCACTGTAACATCAATTTTCAGTTCCCCTGCCTGTAACTCCAGGAATATTGCATCAGGATGTAATTGCTAAGAAAAAGCCTGGGACAAAGCCTGAAAAATTGAATACTGAGGAAAGCACCGCAGTTCCCAGGAAGTATGCTAGGAAGTCACTGTTTTTGAAACTGTGACTCCTACACTTATCAACACTGATCTGATAACATAGTCAAAAGACACTGAAATATTCTCCTATCAATAATAAATCTCCTAAGCCAGAAAGGCTCAGATGAGCTGAAGCTCAGGATGGATTTACTTTGTGTAATCCATGAATCAAATCCCTAAGCAACATCTCTCTTTCCTGACCTCTCCCAGGCTCCCGTGGAAGGAATTGCAATCCTACATCAATTCCCATTTTCCTCTGGGCTGCAGAGGATGTCTGTTGTTTCACAGAAGATCGGAGAGGAGCAGTACGACCTGTACATGAAAGGAGCACCAGAGACAGTGTCCAGCTTTTGCAGACAAGAAACCGGTACAGATGTGGGGGAGGGAAGCTTTCTAGCATTTATTAGAACTTAATCCAAAGCAGACCTTGAACTGTAATCCTGAAAGATTTGCAGCACTCACTCTGCAACTGCATGTATACGATTCCTCCTACAAACAAGTCTTGGCCTTGTGCAGAAGTGTCATTAGTTAAAAGCACAAATAAGCTTTCATTGCTTGTGTGTATGTTAGGATGCACGCAGCCCAGCAGGGAGAGATGCACAGCCTGTGGTTTGGCCACTGTACATCACTTAGCCAGTGTACATCAGCTGAAGATACAGCTTGTAAATAATGTTGATATGTCAGAACACTCAGGGTAGGTGTGGGGTGGTGGTAATTGCGTGTGTCACAGCCACTCTGTTATGCTGCATGAGTTCTTAAATTTTCTGTTAATTTATTGACCTGTAAATTCAGTATTTATTTACTGACCCAGCTTACATACGCTTTAAATCTCATCAATGGGTAACTTGCTGTGGACATGCAAATTACTGTTATTAAGGATAATTGCTATTAACACTCAAGCCAAGGCTTCTGTCCTCTCTCTGCAAGTAAACATCAGCTTTTCTTTTGTGTGAGAGCAATGTAATAGGCCTGTTCTCAAATTTGCCTGCAAACTTGAAACCCAGGTCGTATTCACTGAGCATTTTGGAAGGGTGCCAGCTGTGCAGGAGCAGTGGTCTCTGTGGTTTGCTATTTGAGATGGCAGCGAGCTGAGAACAGGTGAAAATAGTTTTGAGGGACAACGGAAAGATTCAGTTTAAAGACCTAATGACACAAACTGCCAAACAATTCCATGTCAGTAAGAAAAATATCTTTTAAAAAGTTGTTCCACTTTCTCAGGTTTCTAAATGGTTCCTCTCATTCAGTCTTGATTGTTTCTCTATTGATTACAGCTTAATAAATAATAGGGTTCCACACTGTAAAGCTATGATGTCAGTATGTAGTGATTACAAAATACTGTGAAGTGAAAAGGAACCCTTTGTTTTAGAGCCACTGGAACAATCAAAATTGAAAATTCAGGATATTGGGAGAATTTTCTCACTAAGGCATAAACATAAAAACAACTTTCTGAGCATCACTCAGCACGTATGCAGAAAAGATCAGGCCAGAGCTATGGAAACACTCATTTGTTCTCTGCTTAGTAATGCACTGTGCATACCTGCACCTTAACATGCATTTTAAAAGTATGAAATAGACTCATGGATCAGTCAGTTGCACAGCCATTGTACAAACCAACTGACCTGTATGAGAAGGCACAGTACTGAAAGGCTATTGAAAGGCTATAAAGTGTGTCACAGGAGAGACTTTAACCTCAGAGGAGCAATCAGCAAGAATGGAACATTCTAACTACATAACTTTCTATCCTGTAAACAGTCCCATCTGATTTCTTGGAGGAGCTTAAGACATACACAAGCCAAGGCTTCAGAGTCATCGCCCTGGCTCATAAAGTGTTGAGCCTCCCAGAGGATGTAGATGTGGGTGACCTGGAGAGGTAAGCAGTGCTGAATAGCCGTGAGCACCACTGTCACTTCTCTCCCTGATGGTTTGGCCTGGCTCAGCTCAGCCCAGCCCTTCCCATTCTCTCCTGCTCGAAGATGTGCGTGGGGAAGCTGAACCCCATCATGCCTTCCTCTCAGCAGATGCTGATTATGCTGTTAATTGCCTTGCAATTAACTACTGCTCTTGCAAGGCTCACCGAGCTGAATCTTTCAAGCTGGTAATTGTGCTTCAAAAGGGTGGATTAGGACTGTGATAGAAAACTATGCTGAATGGGGGTTTCAGTCAGCCTGAGCCTGCCACTCTCTGCATTCACCTTGGCTGTGCAGGTCCTTCTAGGAGACAGCATAGCAAGGGCTGGCAGCTGAAATGTGGACATTTGTTGAGCAGTGCAAGCTCATGCCAGTTGTGCTTCATGTTAGAGTGAACATGTTTCTAGATGAGCACGGCTTTCCCAGCAATACAACCACTGGAGAGCTTTGTTCCTGGGAAGCACAACCATGTTTCTTTCCTTCTCCCAAGAGAGGAGGTGGAGTCTGGGCTGGAGTTTCTGGGCCTCCTGGTGATGGAGAACCGCCTGAAACCAGAGACAAAACCTGTGCTGCGAGAGCTGGCTGCTGCCCGCATCAGGAGCATCATGGTCACAGGTGAACCCCCCGCAGCCATGGCAGATGGGAGCAGCTCGCTCCTACAGCAGCCCCATGATGGAGGGAGGACTCAGGGAGCCAACCTCTGTGGTACCATTGGCAGGGGACAACCTTCAGACAGCAGTCACGGTGGCCAGGAATGCACATATGATTCATGAGGACAGCAAAGTCATCATCGTTGAAGCCAGTGAACCAGAGGGCTCTGCTCCAGCTTCCATTGCCTGGCGGCTGGCAGAAGGCAGCAAAACAAGTGCAGCTGCTCCCAACGTGAGCACAGCCAAGGGAAGGCTGTTGGGTGCCAGGGTGAATTAGCAAAGCACTGATGTCTAATAACTGTTTTTTAGGTTTGGGCTCTCACTACAGATTTTGAAGCGCTCAGAGGAGCATCGGGTGGGTTCCTATCTAGCCAGGGTATACAGAGTATATATCATCCATCTACAAGGAAGAAATAACTAATATAGTGGCTTTTTACTCAGGACTGCATGTATAACTGGCAATGCTCTGCAGATCTCATGCTTGATGTGTACCTAATTAATGCATTTAGAAATACTTGTCTGCGAGAATGTTTGCTGGACCAAACTTCAGTGTCTAAATGAGCCAGCTATGCCTAACAGGTATCAGTGACACATGAGAACAAAGCTAGAAAATTCAGTATTGCCAGGCCTGAAGTCCCAGGAAAGGATGCTACATGCCTGTCTCTCTCATGGGAGGCTGAAATGTGGTGTGGGTCCGCAGCAGAGATGGATGTAAAGTAGAAGGGAACATTCTGCCCAATGGCAGGCATGCTGCCCTGGCTGAGAGCTGGTGGCACCACCATGGCTGCCTGTCAGCTCCAGAGATGGGCCTGTCCTGGGGACAAGGCTTCAAGGTGTCATGATCTTCTGTCTGAGGATAAATGCTGTCTTGTTTCTAGGAGGTGTGTGCCCATGCCCAGGAAAAGATCACCTTGGAAGGAGAAGGCTGCCACTACCATTTTGCAATGAATGGGAAGTCCTACCAGGTTCTTGTAAAGCACTTCTACAGCTTGCTGCCAAAAGTAAGTGCAGAGGAAACAAAGCACTTACTCACCGCCCCTGCTTTATGTAAATGACAGTATTGTTCCAGCTGGGGAAAGGTGTTAGTACGTGTCAGTACCTGAAGTGCTGTCATTTCTGATGACTCAGAAGCCTCTCAGTTCAGGGTTAGACCGAGCAGCTTGCTGTCAGCAGCTGAGAGACTTCAGGTGACCAGGGCGGCTGAGGTGTGCAAAGACCATGCCATGGTGGAATGACCCTGTGGTCACCTCCTCTACTTCGATTTAATTAAAAACAGCAGCCCCATTCCCACCTACTAATGCCAGAACTAGCAATGTCTCCTGCTCAGCAGTGGCAGAAGGAGCATGAAATATCTGCATTTAGCAGCCTTCAGCTCCTGTCAACCTCTCACAAAATAGCTGCTGCTGGGAGAGAGATTTCTCTGGACAGAATTTCATGTTGGAAAACCCTTAATGTGAGCAGTATTATTGCCACTGTCACCAGCAGCACCATCTGTGCTGCAACAGGGAATGTCATGGGACACCTTATTGCTCCAAGGCTGTACATGGTGATGCTGGTCTGCCACAGAAAGGCAAGACAGAAGTCAGAGCAGGATAAAGTTGACTTTAGCTGAACTCTGATCCTAAGGGCAATTAAATTACTGTCAGGGCTGGGAGACAGCATTAGAGGTTTGTGCCATCAGGGATCCTGACCTTGCCTCCACGGGGCATGAACACTCACCTCAAAGCTGCTCCTTGCTCTGTCCTGCAGATTCTTCTGAATGCAACTGTCTTTGCTAGGATGTCTCCTGGCCAAAAATCCAGCCTTGTTGAAGAGCTTCAAAAACTCAAGTAAGGTTCTGTTCCCTTTCTTCTTGAACCCAAGCAAAGAAAGATGCATGCAGCTCCATCCAACCCTCCTTGCACCTGCTGTGGCTGCACTGAAGGCTCTGTGAAATGGAGCTGAGATAAAATCACAGACAGACTCCAAAATACAGTGACCATCCTTCCCCCCAAATTTTCACTCCTTTCATCACTGTTCTCCTTCCCTTCTCTCAACCAGTTACTACGTGGGTATGTGTGGTGACGGAGCTAACGACTGTGGGGTACGTAGGAGCAAATCTCCCTCCTTCTTATCACTCCTTTCAACCTATAGGGTAAAGAGGCAAGATATTTCCTGGCACTCCACAAGCATTTCCCAAGCTAGCACATACGTGTGCTCAGTCAGAATGCTGTTAGACATTACCTATGTGCATCTTTCCCCTAGAAATAAGAACAGGTACACTACTTCTTACATATTTGTTCAAATGCAAATTTGAGGACCTTAATGCTTAAAATCATTATTACGTTGTCTATTACATTGCTACAATAAATGTGTTATCATAATATGATTTTGTAACAGCATTAGCTGGTTTGGTGTAAGCCATCTACAACCTGTTCCTTAGTGCTAGGCCAGAGGGGAAAGGGCTGGCTCACATGGACCTCATAAGAAATAAAAGAAATATGATCAGGAGATGAAAAGGAGTGGAACAAGGAGAACATGCTGATTTAAGTAGTTTGGCAGTTGTTCAACAGGAGAGGTATGCACAAACCCCAACAGGGTTTGTGGGAGACAGAGCAGGGTAGTTCAGAGAACTGTAAATAGGCACAATGGGATTAAATGAACAAAAGAAATATTTAAGCTCTAGAGGAGGAAAGATATCTGAAAAATGAGATCAGCTGGGCCACAGAATAAGGGAACATCAATGACAAAGCACACTTGAAAACATGTAAAGCACCACTAAATGCAGTGGGAAGGGTGGATGTGTGCCTCTCCAGCTTCCTGCTCCTGTGGGTTTCAGGCTTTGAAGGTGGCCCATGCTGGGATATCGCTGTCTGAGCAGGAGGCATCAGTGGCTTCGCCTTTCACCTCGCAGATCCCCAACATCCAGTGTGTGCCAGAGCTGATCAGGTTGGTTGGCTGCTGCCCTGCATTGGGCTCAGGGCAATGCCTGCACCAAGTTCAGTGCATGGGGTCATGAGTGTGAGATGCACAGCAGTGCACAGGGATCCTGGGGAGCTTGGCAAAGGAAACAGGTTGTTTGTGTTTGTTTATGGCCAGCTGCACATATATACATATATTTATGTATAGCTGTGTACGCACTACCCTCAAATATGCTGATAAATCAAACTTAATTTCTCAGTAACTACATAAAATCCATAAATTCAGTTGCACATAGGGACTGATACTTTTGGAACAGGTAGGAGGACAAGAGGGAACGGCTTCAAGGTGTGCCAGAGGAGGTTTAGGTTGGATAATAGAAAAGAAAGAGTGGCTGGGCATTGGCACAGGCTGCCCAGGGAGATGGTGGGGGTCACTGTTTCTGGAACTGTGACACTGAGGGCACGGTCAGTGGACATGCTGGGATGGGGTCAGACTAGATGATCTTAGTTGTCTTTTCCAACCTTAATGATTCTATGACTGCAGGTACAGAAGTACAGTTCCATGAAAAGGCAGGTATAATGGTTAACACAGAACAGATTTGCTTGTCAGTACCTACTGACAAATTTCATATCCAAGTGCTGTATGTAGTCACTGAACAGCCAGAAATAATGCCATTTAGCCAAATGTATGCAAAGATGATTTTGTGTGGCAGTGCACTTGATTCCCAGAACTGCTGAGCAAATCTGCAAAGAAAAAACAACAGCAGCTTAAGCCAGGTATTAAAATCATAGCAGCAGAATAAACATGAGGAAACAAAACATTGCAGATGAGGGGTAGCTAAGTGGCTCTGCAGTATCTTAAGGCCAAAATACATCTATGGAATTTAAACTATCTTCCATTCTTCTCTAAGAGTCTTAACCAAAGGATTTACTCTGCTTAGAAGTAGTAGCAACCTGCAGCACTGCAACATCAGGATGGCACACCTCCTGCTGTGGTAAGAGGGCAGTTTCAGCTTTGTTTTGTGTTTTGAGCAGGGAAGGTCGAGCTGCTTTGGTGGCTTCCTTTGCTGTGGTTAAATATCTGACCCTGTATGGCCTGATACAGTTTGTTGGCACTGCTCTGCTGTTCTGGGTAAGTGTATAATGCCCACCTTGCTCTGGCAAGCTGTGCTCATGTGGGCTTTTGTCTTTAGTTGTATTACTCAATAGGGACAAAACAGCATCTGCATCTTCAGGGAATCACAAACATGTGAAAAGTTGGATAACCTATAAAATGATTAGTCAGTTAAGCATTTCAGTTAATATCAGGATAGTTGAATCAAATGACAATGACATAACCTTGCTTTTGCAGCCATTAATTTGGGTGCACCAGCTGTGTCTGTGTCCCCATGACTCACATAAGTTCAAAGCTGGGCATAATGTGGAACTCCAGCCATGCCTGCCATTACTGGGGGCTACAACTGACCTGATTTGAGTACTCTACAGGGAATGGCATCTGCGGAATAAAGGTGGAAAAACATTCACCTGCTACTGGGTCACTCTTAAGCATTTTGAGTTGCAACAGGCTGGGTGGCACTCAGCTAGGCTCACTCTGCACCTATGGGTGCATCCAGATGCTGCTGCTCTGAGGTAGTATGGGGCAGTATTTTGTAACCCCAAACAGATGTTGGTAGTCAGGTGGTGCCTTCTTTGTTTTTATTTCAGCAGCTGCAAATCTTTGGGAATTACCAGTATTTGATGCAAGATGTGGTCATTACTCTCCTAGTCTGCCTAACAAGTAAGCAGTGTGGTAAAAGCCCCTGTGTTTGTTTGAAAGCATGAGTGTAAATAGCCAACTTCATTTCTCAGCAAATATTAAAGCAAGGAGCCAAGTTCTGCCATCAGTAACTGTAACCACTGGTGGCAGAGCAATCCCTTGGCCACTGACTACAAATCTCTCTGCTTTCTCTCCAGTGAGTCTGACTGAAGCCTACCCAAAGCTAGCACCCTATCGCCCTCCTGGCCAGCTCATCTCCCCCCCTTTGCTGCTTTCTATTGTCCTCAACGTGTGCTTTACCATAGCCATGCAGACCTGTGGCTTCCTCCTAGTGAAGCAGCAGCCCTGGTATGTAGCGCTGGCCAGCTGGAGGTGAGTCCCTCTCTTCGCCAGGACCCCCAGAACACATCTCTGGTTATGGGGTACACTGCAGCTGTCAGCAAGACCAGGCCAGCACATGAATGTGCCACAAAGCCAGAGTTTCTGGAGCAATGTGCAAGGAACTGGGCCTGCTCCTCACTACTGTACATTGAGTATTGCTGTCGCTGCCTAGCTGGGGGCTGAGATGTGGCACACAGCAATAGCTAAGCAACTTTCTAAGAAATACATGGTAACATGTTAGAAAGCACAACGATAACACCATAACAACAAAGTCCTAGGCTGTAGCAAGGGAGGAGCAGTTCAAATGTGGCAGCTGTGGGCATGGAAACAAAACAAAGAACCTCCTTACCTTTAGAAGGCCTCAGGTAGGCAGGGTTCTCCAGCAAGATCTTCTTGCCTTTGCTGCCAACCCTTAAATGAGGTCTGGGAAGGGGTGCATCCTGGCTCCATCTCTTCTGGCCACTCAGGTACATTGCATGCACCTGAGCTCCTTGGGTTGGCCCTGCCTTCCCACCAGATGCTCAATCACTGCTTCAAGCTGTGACTTTCAGCTACGTATATGTATACATAATATCTATTTACTGTGTTTTTTATTGCTGTCAGTGATATCTGGTTACTGCGGGTAGGAAAGGAGAAAGGGTTGTTGTTGCAGCTCACTCTTGCAGAAGGCGGGAACAAGATGACGATTGTTACTTTGCAGACACTGTTCACTCAGGAACCACACCTTGCTCCCCACTGGCCCAGGGGAAAACAGCACCAGCAGCAGTGCCCAGAGCACTGTCCTCAGCTATGAAGACACAACATTGTGGCCGCTGTCCTCCATCAACTGCATCATTGTGGCCTTTGTCTTTTCCAAGGGAAAACCCTTCCGCAAGCCCATCTACACCAATTGTGAGTAGAGCTGGAACACATGTGCTCTGTACACTCCCTTTCTGCCTCAAAATCTTCCTGGCAGAAGAGAAGGCAAAGAACGATGTGGCTTTTTCTGTACCCACACCAGTGACTGGCACGTGATGTAATTGTTATGTGCTCCTTGCTTCCCTCCTTAAAGAATCTCAGTGAACACTGCCTAAGTTAGTTTCCCTCTAGCAAAAAGGAGCAGCAGAGCTGAAAAAGAAAACTGTGTTTTGGAAAATAGATGCTTTTCAGAAGATGATGTACTGCACATAGTGCAGAACTGTGTATTACTGAGAACACAGTGTGCAAGGATCAGATGTATTTGTTTCAAAATCCACACATGAAATAGAGTTCCTTTGAGATTCAGTTTTACTTTGCCTGACTTCCATTCCTAGAGATGAGAGAGAAAAGCCTGTAATAATATCACTGTTAAAATCCTCTCACAATAACCTTTCCTTCTCTATTTGAGATTTGCAGAGATGATTTACCTCTACCACCCTCCAGCTGACTGATAGCTCCTTTGCAATTGCAGCTTTTTACTCACGGATGAGAGAGCAGGATCTTGCTTAACCTTGGCAGAGCTGATTTCGCTAGTTTTTTTGGCAATAGGCTGGTCCCAAACTCATTTCACAGAGCCCTGATCTCCTGCAGGAGAGAGGGGATGTCAGAAGGAATCTGCTCTGCAATACCAAATCACCTGGGTGAGAAAAGCAGTATAGGTAAGGAGGTTTGCAACAGATGCTAGGGAATAGCTCAGCTAGGTTTCAATCCCATAGGTCTTCTAGGCACAGCACCCCCTCCAACAAATAACACTACAAATGTACAGGCTAGCAGCAATACAGCACTAGTGTTTGTTACACTGCCATGAGTGTATCTGAAGAGTCCACCCACCAAAGCCCCTTTCCCAGGGCCACCCATGCTCTTGTTTCTCCAGATGTATTTTCAGCCATTCTGACCCTCCAGCTCGCCGTCTGCCTCTTCCTCTTCCTTGCTGACATGGATGCTGTGTACAGTGGCATGCAGGTAAGTGAAGACAAAGACAGAACATGCATTTATTTTTTGTTTTGCTGGACCTTTACCTATGCACACAGCACAAGCTACAGGTATGGCCACACTAGAAATGAACTCACTGGTTTGACGTTGCCTGGGCATCTCTTTCAAATTTCTCTATCATCCATTCAACAAGGGCTTGATTGATGAGGCAGCCCTCCCCTCCAGACTGCAATGGGCAGAAGAAAAAGTGCTTTGTTTCTTGCTGAGCTGTTCTTCCTAACAAAAAAACACAACAGCACAGAGTGTGGGTTTGCATGTAGGAGGCTGCAGCTCTCTGGAATATTTGGGCTCTGAATGCTGATCTGCTGGTGTCTGTCTCAGGGTCAGTGGTGATGTGAGGCAGCTGCATGCCATGGCGAATCTGGCATCAGCCCCTCCAAATCTCTGTGACGAGGAATTACTGTCACTGCCTACGGACTTCTCCATGCTTGCCATCGAGAAAGTATTAGTCAGCCTCTCCAGTCATTAGGAACAGATGCAAATCTTGGCAGGGCACTCAAACTTAATTGCCGCTCCTGTCTTTTCCAACAGTTTCTTTGCACTCCTGTGATCTGGAGAGTTTATGTCCTACTGATGCTCCTGGTCACCTTCTGTGTATCTTTTTTTACAGAGGTGAGTGCATTCATTTACTCTCTGCTCCCAGCAGTGAGCGGCATCTGTTCAGGACTTTCTTCCTCTGTTAGCAGCCACGTTCTTCCTGCAGAAGCACAAACCTTAAGCTTTTTTTTCATTTTTTCTCCTTTTTCCTTATTAGTCACTGTGTGTCAATCAAATCTACGTGATAGAGCACCTGATAGAAATGACTTAGCCCACGTGTCTTAAGCTTGTAGAGTGTGAGCACTGTCACACATCTGACACAAATGATGCTTTGTGGGTCAGAGATGACTGTGCCACCCTGGGTGGGAGCATGGAGTTGCATCCAGTGGCAGGTATTGTTGCCTGCAAGGCAGCAAGCATGCAGTGTCCCTCACCACAAGAGGAAAGTGCAATACCTGTACTGAAAAGGATTGCCATGGCTCACACAGGGAGTTGAATGTATATCGGGCTGGCACATGTCAGAGGGGCTGGCTTTGGTGTCCTCCCACTAATGCTGTGCTGTGTCACTCTGCAGGATGTTCTCCTGCAGAACAAGCACCTCTGGATGCTGATTAAAACCTGTGTTGGGTATCAGTCCAAAAGCCAGTACCGAAAGTGGCAGCAGATGCTGCAGAGGGATCCGAACTGGCCTCCTGTGAATACCAAGGACTTTGCAGCAAGAAGCACAGCTGAAGTTTACATTAACCCCAGCTATGAGCACAGGGACTAGGTGAGAGCCTGCAGCTGGGCACAGGGCTGCCTTGTCCCCGCTGACCGGTCCTGTTTGCGTCACTCCACAAGCACTGGGCTTGGATTCCTGTGCTCTCTGAACAAACCCTTCCATTCAGAGGCAAGCTAGCTGTGTCCTGGAATAGAGGCGAGGATTATTCTTTCTCTTGCTGCTAAAATAACAGCTTTGACTCTGCTCCATGGCAACGGTAGCTCTTCAGCCTTGCCAGCACCTCCTACAAAGGCTCAACAACACTGAGCACAGCGAAGCTATGACTGCTGCTGCTCCAGCACTTAGACACTGCTCCACTAAACCCTGTCACTGCACCCATGGGGCTTGATGACCCAATTAGTGACCTAACCTTGACTGCACCAAGGAGCACAAGAGCAACTGCAAAATCCTGCATTAAATGAAACTGCAGCTTCCAAGCAAAATTCCACTTAAAAGGCAATTCTGGTTTTCTTCCATTCTGGAATAAATTTCAAATGTGGGAGGGTGCACATGCTGTCCTTACTTCACCCTCCCCTGCCAGTTTTTGCAGACACAATGTGCTGAGCACAGGGAAAATTTCAGCTCAAGCACTGCAGCAGGCTGGAGCTGGGCTGGGATATGCACCCAGGGAATGAATAGCTGCCTCTTTACCCAAATTTAGTTCTCTCTTGGGTGCCACGTGGCACTGCTGCTCTCAGGGCACACTGGGTGGAAAGTTGCACAGAGCTGCTTGCTTTATCCAAGTCACGCCAAGAAGCAGAGGTTAACGTGCACCACTGCTCTTCAGTTGCATCGTTCAGGAAGCTGAGCCAGGCTGCGCTTGTTCTCATCTTCACATTAATCAGACACTTCCTAAGTTTAGTCTTGAAAGATCTTCTGACTACTTTTACAGGAAATTAGAACAGGGCTTCCAGGTTCTGTTACCAAGAGCCCAGTTTTATTTTAATACATTTTCCATGTTAAAAAAACAAGCAAACAAAACAACCAACAATATTATTTCATTGTATTAACTACAAAATATGACCAGAAGGCTTGGCTTTGTTATTTCAAACACTGAAACAACCATTGTTTAAAAAAAGCTTCTGGTCCAGTTATATACATGGTGAGAGCAGACAAAAATAGCAAGCTGCTTACTGACAGCTCTTGCTCCCTTCTCTTATTTCTCCAGAATGCTGCACGTGGTGAAGGCACAGTTAGATTTCATTTCTTATATGCAACCTGCAAAAAAATACAGTTCCAAACATGCAAGCTGAACACTCTCCATGAAGAATCATAAATCACACTTCCACTCAAAACCTTTCTCCTAGGATGAGTTGCATGCCATCTTTGTGCTCAGAGACAGTGAGACTTTGTAGGCATGGAGATGTTACGCAGCTCAACCTCCAGGTGTGGGACATGGGCTGTGCTGTCCTGCTGGCTGGGAGAAGACTTGTGCTGGAACAAGGGTCTGTCATGCTGGTCACTGCAATGGGCCCAGCTCCAGGCACAAAGACTGCCCTGAGGTTTTTCTTTATAATCATAGAACTGTAGAATCATTATGGTTGGAAAAGAGCTCCATCATCATCTATCTAGTCTCGCACAGGCCTCTACAGCAGCGCTGCTGCATTACTTCTGGTAAGGAGATAAAAACAAAAAAGGTTAAAAACAAGTAAAAATGCTCCTTCACACAGGTTAGGAAAGATTATTCATAGAAAGCCCACAGGATGCATTCTGTAAAAACAGTTCATGTGCCAAAACCCTCAGCAGATCCCTGAGGCGTGAGAATAATTCAGTCGTGAATGCTGCCAGACATTGCTGGTGATGCCATGGCAGCGGCTGTAGCAAACAGACTGGGGCTGCCCTCTGAGAGAGGCACTGCTGGGAGTAAGGGCATGAACCACCCTGTGTCGCCAGCAGCTCCTGCCTGACATCTCTTGCCCGGTGGCCTCTCAGTACTGCCTCTCTCGGCTCCGGCTCCGCAACAGGCCCAGCAGAGAGAAGGCACCTGCAGCCGCTGTCACAAACCCGATGGCACTGATGGCTCGGTTGGCCTGCGGAGGGAGAGCAAAACATAAGCACATGAATGAAGAGCAGGTAGAGCTAATCAGGGCAATGAAATGAGTAAGCGATCCCATGCCTTCATCCTTGTGCTGAACAAAAGTAGTACCCCAGCCCCAGGGAGCCTCCTGGTTCAGAGTATTTTGTGAGCCTGTGATGATTTGGACCCCAGCCCAGGGGCTGTACTGTACACAGCTGGAGCTGTGCCACAGTGCACAGACACACTAAGCGTCTCCATGCCAACCCCACAAGGATGGGCCCTGGGCAGCATGTGTTGCCTACCTGCTCAGAGACCCCCTCGCCATAGCGGAGCAGCGTGACGAAGTGCTCGCAATTGTTTCCCAGCAAGTCGTAGGACACCTCCTGGTTGATGAGGTATTCGGCACGTCGGATGATCTCCTCCAGAGGGAGGGGAGCGTAGGTGCCATCGTACTTGTTGTTGATGCGGTAGGTGTCGTTTCCCACCACCTCCTTCAGAAGCTGCATCCTCACCATGGCCTTTCGGCTGAACACCGACTTGGCGCTGCCAAATGTGGCTGGCGGTCCCTCCTCTGGGGAAGGCACAGGGTGAGCCAGGCAGGTCCCACACAGCCTGGCCACGACCCCAGAGAGCTTCTGTCTGGCCCCTGGAGATGCCACCCATGGGGCTTGCAGCCCCTATCCTTTCCTCTCTCCCATCCTGGAGCTGCCATTTGGGGCTGACCACCTGCCCCACAGTGCTCTCCGCCATCCCAAAGCACCCACCCCACCTCACCAGCCTTACCCACAGGTGTTACGTTGATGATGTACCCATCTCCCAGGTAGAGAGCCCAGTGCTGGTATGCTGGCCGAAAGATCTCAATCAGGTCCCCAGGCTGGGGATCTCCAGGGTGGGCGGCACTGAAGCTCTCATTTGCTGCCATCTTGCAAAATCCAGCTCAGGACATTCTTCTCTGGCTGGGCAGCCCAGGGCAAGGCACGAGGGGAGCTCTGGGGTACACAGAAGTTGTTTGCTGGGGGCTGGCATGTCAGGAGGTCATTAGTGCCTGGCACTTGCAGCACACGCAAGTGACAGCTGGCCGCTGCTGTGCTGGATGCTGTTTGCAGGGCCTGGCTGTGATCAGTGTGCTGGCAGAGGGCAAGGAATGAAATTCACCCTTGTCCTGCTGAGCAATTGAAGCAAAAGCCATCGTGGGCCATCAACAGCTCCCAGCACTCACCCCCATCCCATTGCTCTCTGCTGGGGTCAGGGGGCCGAGCTGTCCCCCCTGACAAGTCCTACTCCCATTGAGGCTCTCCCCAAAACAGCCCCCGCGGGCCGGCTTCGTCGGGCGGTGGCAGCCGCTCTCGTATACCGGCGGGGCCGCGGTGCCCCAAGCTGCGGGGCCGCATCCTGCTGCAGGCTCCCGCTCCCCGCTCCCCTCTCCCCGCTCGAGCTCTCCCCACTCCCCCGCTCACCCCTGCGTCCGTCCTGCTGCTGCCGCGGCCCCGAACAAGCCCGGAGGCGGAAGCCGTCCCGATCCCTGGCTCCTCCCGGCCGCTATAAATAGCGAGGAGAGGGCGGCTGCCTGCTGCCTCGCGTTGTTGCTGTACCCGATTGCCGGGTATGCAGCGATCCTATGGGGAGAGGGGTAAACGAGCATCTCTCACCAGGAGTCCTCCAGAGAAGGAGTGGTGGTGCGGTGCGCTGCCACTTGACTTCTTTGCTGGCAAAGAGAAGAGACGGAGGTGGAGCTCAGAGCCCGTCCCAGTTGCCGTTTTAGGGCAAAGACGTCAAGGATGGCTTTTCATGTGTCTTTCTGTTGTGACCCAGGGATTTCCTCCAGGTGTAGGAGCGCGTGGCCGTGCCCAGCACGTCCTCTGAGCCGAGGGGTGGGAGAGTGCAGCTGAGCAGCTGTGGCCAGCCCATGGCTGTTGCCAGAAAGGAAGGTTCACTGCCAGCAGATGTGTGCTCTGAGTGAGCTGAACCAAGCAGGAGATTTAATGCCCAGTGTCAGGAGAACCGATTGATTTGTAAGATCTGAGTAGTGTCAGATTTGTCATCTTTCTGGCTTCTATTATCAAGAATTAGATAATTCAGTGAAGTACTGCATTGCAGTTCTGCTTTCTTTATTACCCCCTTTCAAGTCTGAAGCACTTACAAGGCTTTGCAGTGGAAACCCGTAGCAATTCCTACGTTACTGAAATAGCAAAGTGTAGCCATGGAAACCCTGAAATCTGCTTCACCTGTGTACAGATAGGCTGCATTACCTGGGAGAAATGGAGCTGTGATCCTGCAGGGTGTGGGGCATCCTGTGCTCCCAGCAGCTACAGCAGGAAGCGAGCACAGTCAGCAGCTCTCAACATTCACAGAACTGCACTGTTAGCAAGTACAGGAGAGAAATAGGAAGCTGCTGCTGAACAGGCAGGAAAGCCGTGTTTAGAAATGTGGTGAAATTGCAGCATGACGTTGGCAATTTGTTTGTAGGCAGGTAGGTCCCTCACACTGATTCATTCTCATTACGTAGTGAGGCTGAAAGCCCCTTTCCATTCACATTCACTCCTCAATGGCGGGGCTGTGCATGTATGGACAGCTGGTATGTTCTTGAATGGACCCGAGCAAAATGCCTTTTGTCCACCTGACTGCCCATGGGGATTACAAGTGCTTTTCTGGCTAGCAGTGCTGAGGGAGGTTGAAAAGCAAACATTTGGTAGAGGAGTAAAACGAGGTCTTTGCAAGAAGGAGATAAGGTGTGGCTGAAGGAAGGGGCTTTGCTGAAGGCAAGGAAGCTCTTGTCTGACATATTTCCTTATCTCATGAGACCATGCAGAACTGCTGAGCAACAACAAGTGAACTGAGAGCAGGGAGAGATCATCACAAACAATACCTGGGCACTCAGAAAGGTTAACAAGCAGTAGATTTGGTGAGGGGAGACCACTTGAAGCCCCACCGATCCATTTCCAGAGTATTTTAAATCTCAAACTGCACATGTGAAGTAATGATGTATAAATAGTGTAACTCAGAGGAGCTGTGTGTGCACTCACTGCCATCATCCACAGATCAGGAACTGAACCAGAAATGTGGATGAAACCCAAGATGGTCATCCTGACCTTTCCTCTACCTCTCTCCATCACTCCCTTCCCTCACTGTAGGTTGTTCAGCCCTTTGTAAAATAATGAGGTTAACTAGCTTCTCCCAAAATAGCTGCTGCCATCAATAAAATTTTTAGTCAATTGTTCCTTGTGTCTAAGAGCTTCACTCGTGCCACTGGAAATTTGCTCAGGGCTTATACAATGCCTAGGCAGAGCTTCTGCCCCCTGAGTGGTGTTGGGACATTGGATTAACACTGAAGATCCAGCCTGTCCAATGCAGGAGCACAGGAACAGCAGCATTATCCTGTTATATCTCAGTTGGATGTCACGTGGTTTGGGATATTCCTTTGCTCATTGGGACCAGCTGTCCTGGCTATTCGCCCTGCCAGCTTCTGGTGTGCTACGAGCCTGCTCTCTGGCAGGGCAGTGTGAGGAACTGAAAAGACCTTGACTTTTGTAAGCACCATTTGGGAATAACTAAAGCATTGGTGTTTTATCAACATTGATTCCTTTTCCTTTTCCTTTTCCTTTTCCTTTTCCTTTTCCTTTTCCTTCTCCTTCTCCTTCTCCTTCCCTTCTCTTTTCCCCACAAATCCAAAACATAGCACTATAGGAGCTGCTCTGATAAAAATCAGGTCTACCTCAGCCAAAATCAGTACAATGCCTAAATCTTGCCACAAACACTTCTGATATTCTACTACTGAAGTGTCCTTATGGAGTCCAAGCCTGAGCTGATGCAAATCTCAAACCACATCTGTAAGTGTGACAACTTAAAAGTTTGCAAAGACCTCAAGAGAACTTTTGACAGGATTTCATTGTTGATGAAGATTTTGTTGCCTGCCATTAGCACCCACAGACAAGGGCAGATGACAGTCCTCATTCTTGTCCACTCCAGACAGACAGCAAGGAGGCTGCTGTCACTCCAATAATTACTTCTTTCAGACTGGCACGTCCCTGTGGGATGCATGGAGTGGGTTATCTGTTATCAGATCAGTTTGATATTGTTTTATTTTTTCTTTTCTCCCCAATCAATCATGCCTTGACAAAAGAGCAAAACTGTTTCCAGCTCAGTCATCTGTTTCTCTCCTGTTTAAGTATTTGGATATGGTGGTGTCACGACAACCTGCATGAGATGCTATCATTAATTCTGACCTTGTCAGTCTGCTGCTAGTGCCTCTATCAGAGGTATGGATGTGATGGCACTGCACAACTGTGCTTCTGAATTCAGCCTGGACTTAATGTTACCTCAACAGCCTCTGTGGACAAGTTAAGTTAAGACTTACTTCAGTTTGAGTCTGCAACATGAGAGCTGAGATATATTCCGGATGAAAAACTTCAGAAGCCTTCAGTAAATGCAATTATTTATTTATTATTTTGAAAGTGTTGGAAATATTATTAAAAATACAAGAGCAGAAAGTAATACATATGAATTGGGAAAAACAAAACAAAACATGCTAACTATAGGTATGTATTTCGGGGTTCATCTTGGTCAAATGCAGCATTCACTACGTAGCCATAATTGTGTTCACGTACTCCACCACCTGATGTATCCTCAGACTTGTGCAAAGCTGAATTCCGTGCATTGATATTTGCATCTGCCTTTCTGCTCCTTCTGTACACAAACAAACAAACACCAACAACCATCTTTAATTTCTTATCTGCAATGGGAGGTCAAACCGTGGTGTGAGTGTGCATGTCAGACCCTGAAGAACCCCGAGTGTTGTGATAGTGATGCATATGCCTTATGTAATAGGAATGGAACCTCTTCATTCCTGTAGAAAAAAGCTTTCCCTCATACTCCTCAAATGATATCTTGAATGCTGTACTTCCTTTTTGTTTCTGCAGATGTGGCATAGCAGGTGTGCAGACGCTGAAGTGAGTATGTCTTGCCCTTGCTGAATGTAGCAAAGCCAGGAATAGTCTTACCTGAAGAGATACACTGTAGAGGTGATGAGAATGACAACAGCAACCACTGCTACTGTAACTCCAACAGCGATGGCAACTGTGTTGCTCTGAGAACTGCTCTCTGGGATACTGGCGTCATCTGAAGAAGAAATGAGCCCGGTCACTGTAAGTGCTAAGAGCACTGAGAACCGAAGGATCTCCTCTATTTCAAGTGTGAAACTGCACTCTGTGGAATCAGACGTGCTTGTCTGCTTGATTTATATTGTGTTCTCTGACTGAACTGGCTTTCTGGAATGGTGTTAGACCAAGGTCCTGTATACTCTGCAGAGCCCTGCTGCCATGCTTTCTAGTATCAGTTTGCTGAGGGATCTGCCCCCTTCTTTCTGTTTGAATGTACTAATACAGACCTGACCACCCAGCTTGTGGTACAAGGCCCAGTTTCTACCTGAAGCAATAGTGTCACTGACTTGGTAGGAACCTGTACTGGAATATTTCTAGTGTCAGCTTCCACTGTGCCTGGGACTAAAACACAACCTGCCCTTGAAAAGATGTGATGAGGTCCCAGACAGATCTGACACCCTCTCCCACTGAGTTCCTTACTGATTCACAGCATGGAAATTAAGAGCCAGCTCAGTCTTCTCCATAATGATACACCTCTTTTTTTTTTTTTTTAAAAAAAAACAAAACAAAAAAAAACAAAAACAAAAACAAAAAACTAGTGGTGTGTGTAATTCAGGCAGTGAAATCCAAACTAATTTTATTACCTATCCTTTCAATGTTGCAGCTTTGTCCTGTGTACAGCTCTGTACATTCACAGTAGTAGCTGTCAGAGGTACCGTTGGTTGTTTCAGAGCAAATTCCATCATTCTGGCAAGGACTTGGCATACATGGTCCAGCTATCAAAAAGGAGGGAGAAAGGCTTGTGAATCTCATGTAATCCAGCCCTGAGAGAATTGCTCTTGGTTAGATTACACTGCCACTGCTGGACATGCCCTGTGTTCTAAGATCTGTTATTTGTTTTGTGTTTGATAACAGGAGTATGGGAAAGAAACGCTTTCTATGACAAAACATCAGAGAAGGTTCTCCAGTAATCTTATTAAGTCAGCTTATTATTTCTTCTGTTCAGACTGCTGCAAATAGCCCAGACCCAGATACATCCTATAAGCAGTAACTCAAGACTTCTTAGCAGTGAAGGTTTAGTGTTTCACTTACTCCTGTAGCACCCACGAGTGTAGTTTGCGATGTTACAGATTTCATCAGAACCACACACTATGTTAGTGCAGGTGACAGTGGAGCTCTCTGTGCACTGGCATTTCTGGGAGCAGTCATCAGTGGTGAACTCTTCTCCAATCTGGAAGATAGCAGATGAATGTTAAAAAATATTAAATATCAGTATCAAAAACATGAATGGAACACTAGAGCCCCATGCTACTCTGATTCTTCTTGATGAAAGACAGCATGGCAGATCTCTCTTTTTTGTACTTTGAGTACAGAAAGCAAGCAAACAGCTCATTAACCCAGTTCCTTGAAACTCAAGGAATATTGATGAAAGTTCGAGGTGTGAGATCCTAGCCCCAGGTTGGGTACATGGACAAACAACAGTATCTAACTGTTGCTGGAGATAAAGTAGCAAATGCATCATGTTGTGCCTCCAAGACAATGTGCAAAGGTGCCATGTGTCACTTCTCTGGCAAGCCCCATTTGTTTAGAATGTCTGCCTCCTCCCATAACACCTTTACTTGCTTTAGGCTTTGTCTATATCAAATCTTCACTGCCAGAACAAAGCTTTTTATCCCACAGCTGGAAGTGTGGGATCTCTGGATTCCTCAGAATCCAACCTCGATGGGGTTCTCTTCATGCTGCAGCCAACATTACAGACTCAGCCCCTTCTGTGCCACTCTTCACTGAGAGGAGAGGGACCATGGTGTCCAAGGGAATTTTTCTATGACTGGTGTATTACACATTTTAGAACCTATTCTGGCTGTTTACAGTAATAAAGATGAAAAATTAACAAGGAGGTCAGAGTGTAATCATATTCTTCCCCCAAGTGCCTGCAAAGTATTCTGACAGGCAGGGTTTCAGAGGCAGACTGAGCAATACATTCTCTCTTCCCTACCTCCAGAGACCAGAATATTATTAAATAAATTGCTCTTTGTTTCAAAGTTACATGCTGAGGAGAACAAAGAGATTATCAAAATAATTAGCACAAGAAAATATTGTTTAGCACTGCGGGGGCTGTCTGGCCTGCTGAGACATTGTACCTCATAATATTTGTCGAGGTATGTGCAGCCACATTCTCTGTAAGGCACGCAGTCAGAGTCACTTAGAATGTAGCCAGGGAGACATTCACAGCCTTCAACACAAGGCGATTCACACTCGGAGGGGCTGGTCATGTCGCTGCAGGATGCTGGGCATGCAGTCATGCATGAGTTGTATTTGCTGTTGGATGGACACGACATCTCTGTAAAAATAAGGAGAGTCCAGTTATAACAGGTTGCAGCTACACGTTGCCTCTTCAGAGCTGTTTTGTAAGGGAAAAATGATGAGCACACATACACAGAAATATTCATACATATATAATGGTAATGAAGTTATAAGTGAATGACCAGACAGTAAGGAAATCCATTCTCAAAGCTATTCATATGCTGTGCTCAGAGTCCAGGTTTTCACTGATATCAAATTACTTCTCACACATATGGAGTAGCTGAAGGCATCAGAGTAGTTTCACAGCTCTGAGAAGCGTACTTCAGAAATACAAAATCCTCTACCCATGGGTAATGCAAGGTAAGTATGGCCTGGATTAACCACTCAGCTTGGGAAAAAAAATGTTTGGAAAAAGAGGTTTGAGATTATTGTAAATTCTGTTTCAGCATTTTTCAGTCTGAAAGACCAGTTGGGAATGGAGATGTTTTATTTTTCTCATGGAACTTCTCATGGCAGGGGAGCTGACTACTCTACTCCCCTACGTAACTTTGTAAGGTGGAGTCTAGTACAAAACATCAATCTAAGACTCAGAGGCAGCAACAGAAGAGGAAGTGTGTGTGCTAAACTACGAACAAGATTGAAGTGTGCATCAATGTCTGTAAGACCTTTTCTGTATGTTTGTAAGACCATTCATGATATGACATCCATGACATGCAAAGCTTCTAGCAAAAACTTCTAATCTCACATTTTGAGAGTCCTTTAGCCAGAAACCACACTTCCATTTTCTTCCTGTACTTACCACAAGCAGTCTGTTGCCTCCAGCCTTCCATATCGACTCCTTGCTCCTGACAAGCAAGCACGTACTCTTTCAGATGGCGACATAACGTCTCAGCAGCATCTTCTTCCACACACATATCAAAGACACAGCTCCTGTATGCAACATGAGAAAGCATTCATGCTCTATACCTTTTATTTTTTGTTTGCTGGTGCTACCTTCTCAACTTTGCTGATCATCTGAGTATCAGTGGCCTGATTTTCAGAGGCAGTGAGAACTGAGGTGAATGGGATCTGCAAATATACAGTATCTCAGAAAAATAAAGCAGCCACTAAGAAAGTAAAATGGGCTGCCCAATCAAATTCTAGAGTGAGGAGAAAGGTGGGCTTACATTAAGAATCAGGATATAGACCCTGAAGTCAATGGTCCATTTGTTTGGTTTAAGGCACTTTCACGTTCCTCTCACAGCTAAGAGAGGCTTTGAAGTGGGCACCACCTTTCATTGTACATGACTTACAACTACATGAGTAAAGAAATCTGGCAGCTGCTTGGCCATTCTTTGACTGATGATGGATGAATGATGATCCTAAGAATTAATCAACAGGTTTCATATGGTTCAAAACCAGGTGTGTGGGAACTGTGTACATAGGAGGCCAGATGAACAGAGGGAAATTTCTTGCCACTGCCATGTAAGTTATTCTTCACTAAACTGTTTTTTTGCACCACTCTGTGAAAGACTGAAGAACTGTCACTGACAGCGTTAGTCTCTGCAGCTCTGACTTGAAGACTGCATTTTACAAAACTACAATTTCTGAAAGGAATCTAATAGGGGCAGGTACTGACTAAATTATCACTGAATGTGAATGAGAACTCTGAGAACACTGGAGATCCCAACCTACAGGTATAATGTTCAGTGCTGCTGCCTTAGGTAAAGAGGAAAGCTACTTTCTAGAGATAACAGAAAAGTGAAACTAAATAGAGAGAAAACAAATCTTAATTAAAAAAAAAAATAATAAGGGGAACTAAACATATAACTAATAGAAGCTCTGGACAGTTCTCCGAAGACATTTACTATCCTCTGCTCCTGGAAACTGAAGATATACAGTTCTTATTAGAGACAAGCTCCAAAATAGTTTTGGAAGTGCAGATTAAAATTGCCCAGATTGCAGCAGACACTTACGAGTAGTAGGGCTCTGGTGGGACTTCAGAATGACAATTTGCAAAAGGACCGTCCAATGCAGTCAGGATTTGACATTTAGAAGTGCTGTTTTCTTGCATCAGCTCATTTTCACTGCAGCCTTGATAGAGCCCTGTATCTGGTTCCTCATCACTCTCATCTTCCACAACAGCTTCTCGGCTGGAAATGAAGTCATTATGAAACCATCAGATCTCTGTACATCCAGCATTCATAGCACTAGTTTGCAAGTAACAGCATCTCTGCCTTGTGATAGAATTGTCAGCTTATTTCTTTCTCAATTTTTATACTGAATGTGGAGTGGGTATATAAAGTAAATCAAAGATGTACTAGAACAATTCCTACCATTTTAGAGATATATGGGTTTTTAAATCTAACAGAATAGCTGTTGTTATCTCCACAGACATTCGATATGACACAGGTTTCATGCAGGCCTCCTTCACCTAAGCCATTCAATAATAATTGAATGCTAGGCAGCGTAGTAGACCACCATTTCTTGGAGGTATGTTCACTTTCACTGGAGAACTGGCTACATGCCTGAAGTGTCAGAATTCTCCAGGCATAACTTTCCAGAGCCTCTCTATGCTCAATATTAGCCTACATGCTGCTTTCAGCTATTCTGCTGGACAGGTTTTCACGGCTAAATTGTATCCTGATGGCTAATACAATTCTATTTACATACTGAAAAGAAATACAAATAATATAATGAATTTTGTTGGTGGTTAAGCAACCTCGAAAACCTTTCAAAGCAAATTGAAAAGCTGGAAGGAGAGAAGAAAACTTAGTTCCCTGTTTCAGTGTTCTGTATGGACTAATTAGGGCAGCTTGGCCTGATCACAAATATCACACTGATTTTGATTCAAAAGAACGTCCCAGGTTTTTTTTGTACTAGCAGAAAACACAATGTAGTCATGAAAATAGGGAAGTTAGATACCAGAAGAATCTCTTCTGTGAGGAACCGTGAATTCATCTTGATGGATTTTGAAAGTGCCTTCATGTTCCAGAGGGAGGGATGACACTAAACCAGGATCTGCCTGCCCATCCAGCAAATGATGCATTTAACCTTTGCCAGGACCCACGAGCTTGGCAGATACCATATATACCTGTGCCTTAGCTGTTGTAATGGCTGTGACTCCAAAGAAGCACACTGAACTAAAGCAATGCAGTGACAGCTCAGGCCTCTTTTGGCAAGATGGAAAGGCACTGCTATTGCACCTTAGTGTTGAGTAGGAAAACTCCTTGGAAGACTAAAGAAAGAAGAAGTAACAGAAACCTGACTGCATAGTTAGACCTGGATATTAACTATGGCTTAATTTCCTGACTTCCAGTGGCTGTGCTTGCCAGGGATATTAATTAGAAAACTAGGTACCTGAAACGAGAGGTTCTTTTCACAGGAACCTTCCAGCTCTCACCAAATGCATTCACATTCTTCAGCCAAACACCATCTGGGTTTGTGAAGTCATTTCTAGATCTCCCGTCAAAGTTACCACACAAACCTTCTACTCTGTTGTTGTAGGTGTTGGCCAGCTTTATATCTAGGAAAGTTCAAAGGAAAAAATAGCCATTACAAAGAAATATTTTCTTCCAAGTATATGGAGGAGGTGGAAAGAAGTGTGAAGTACTGAATTCCATGATTCAGACTGCAGCTGGTAGTGTGATGCAGGATTTGAAATCATCAGAAAAACCATGGCTGTGTTACATCGTAAAGCAGGGGTAACTCCACTTTGAATAGAGGAGGTAATGTGTTTTCAGCTTACATGAATGAGTTCTGTATGCATGATACAGAAGTCCTGTTGAGAAACACTGAAGAATGAGATTATCTGGAACACGCTTGAGAGGAAGCACATAAAAGAATGCACTCTCAGTTGTTCAGCTTGGGGACCTCAGTCATGTAACTGGGTTAAGCTGGGAAAGGGGCAGATCCACACTTGCCCCTATCTTTCTGATCAGCAGCTTAAAGTCATTTGCTTTTGTTTCCATCACTCAAGCCTTACTTAACATTAGAAATAGCAGAACAGTCTGACTCCACATAGAATTTCTCCTAAATTCAGGTGGACGCAGATAAAGAAGTGCCAACTTCCATGAGAAATAATTTTTGTTTCAGTTTTCTGGAAGATGGTGTCACAAAAAAACCACAGGCTTAAAGGGTGAAAATTTCTAATCTTACCTTGAGTTTAGGCATACTTGGTAATGATAACATTATTTGACACAGTGCATATATATTCCTGCAGATTGTTTTAGTATCACTTACCTGCATTTTGATCACCATCAAAGCTCAGGTATAAGCCAAAATCTGTCTCCAGGTAAATTCTTGTTATCCTCTGATAGATACGAATACCGTCATGAGGACGAACAGGGGCTCTCACCCTTACACCATCCAACTAAAAGGGAAAGAATAAGTTAATACTTACAATATACATGCCAAATTCATATGTGGCTTTGATACAGGTAAATACTGCAAAGGAGCATTCCTCTTTTCTGGCTTTATGATAAATACGTGATATTTTAACCTGGTAAAAAATGCAGTATTCAACTTTTAAAGTAACAAAATCACATATTAAGGAAAGTGATCTGGACACAGTGTTCTTACATCATTGTCATTCCTGAGAGATTTCCACTGCTGAACAAATATGCATTTATGAGCCAATGTATGCTATTATGGACCAACAAAGAGGGCAGAAATGAAGTTTTCCCAGCATAATTCACTCTTGTCCCTACCACTGATCATACTTTGTGTGGCTTTATTGTAAGTTTTGGATATTTGGTATTTTATTCCTAGATGTCCATTTATTTATTCTTTTTTAATAGAATCTATCTTTCACAGCATTAGAAAAAAAAAAGAACACAACTAAATCCACAATTTTTCCCCATAGTACTTTTGTAATAACACTGTTAGATGTAATACTTACATTCTTTAGAACAAGCCTTTTATTTATCTGTTTTACTACAAAGGAGAACCTTTGTCTGTGCTCTGCAGTCAGTGAGAGACTTACCAGTATCTGCTTGCCTTGCCTGAATCGCACTTCGTGATTGTAAACGTTGATGATGACCTCTTTCAGGTAAGTGATGCGTCGATTCAGACGAAGAGGATAGTTCATGCCTTCAACACTGAACTGTGTCAGAGTGTCAGGTAGGTCAGGGATGGTCTGAGTCAGAATGTACGTGTATTTCCCTTGGAAGTGGTGCACCAAACCATCAAATGTGATATAATGTGGATCGCCTATGATCCGGCACTTCCCAAAACCTAAAGAAAAGGTGTTTCATTGCCTTCCAAATCTTATCATAAATCTGTTTAATACAGATTAGATAAAAATAATTGCTGCTGACATGCAATCCTCTCTAAATAAAAATGTGTGCTCAGGCATCACCCTAGCAAATGGGCACTGAGATGGAGAGCCAACCAGAGAAACTCATTCTTCTGCTGAGAACCAGTGGGAACCAATAGAACTGAAGCATGGCAGTAGGGTTTATTACCTTTGTAGGCACTAAGCTGTACACATCGGTCCTCAGCAGAGGAATGACTGCAACACAGCATGGCTTGCAATGGGCTTGTAAAGGTGTTGGTTTCATAATCCTCAGCAATATATTACAACAAAATTATTTGAACATGACAAGCAGTGCCTAATTTTGAAGTTAGACTGTGTAACTGCTGTAACACTGATCTCTTTTGAGGTTACTAAACTGGTCATTGGGTTCACCAGACCTTTCAGATGCAATGACTATCATCTAAGTATTCTCTTTGACTACAGTGTGCAAAGCCAATTCCTTAAGACTGCTGTGGTGCTTCAACTGTGACACTCTGTGAAAAGGGAGCAAGGGATAGCTGGATTTGCTCTATGCTCCCGCACTGGTCATTAATACAATAGGACATATGCCGTCCTATTCTTGAAAATTGAAGTGTAGAGGCATTAGGCAACAAGATACCTACTAAACTGTCCAATTTACAATAAGAACATGGGATTAACTATAACACAGCAGGGCTGACACCTCAATGTAAGAACTTAGCCAAAGCAAGTACTGGATGAAAAGCACCAAGATTGGCTAATAAGTATCTGTTGGCTATTAAGTATCTGCTCTGTCCTGTTTTGCCTCTACTTGTCATATTTTCAAATCAATATGCAGGAGAAAATAAAAAATTGATTGCCAAAGGACTCATAGATGTACGTAATAGACTTTTACTTTTGGTAAATGCAGGTGGATATATATATAATATATATATATATTTAAATCAGCGAGAATGACCTGCCATGTTTCTAGGTGTACATCAATTTTCAAACTCTTGTTCTACTCTTTTCTTCAAATTCCCTGTTTCGTACTGTAATTTCCTATTCTGAGAAATGAGGCCTTTTTTGTGCTTAATAATGTGTCATCAACAGTACTGTCAGACCTGCCTCTTCATGTTGTAAAGGTTGGAAGTGCCACAGAAGAAAGAATGCACACTCACATCCCTCCCTCCTCCTTCTCTAGTCTTCATGTAATAGCAGATGAAGATCTGCCTGAACGTACCTGTTGGATTGCACTTGTATTTTCCACTTTTGATCACGCAGGTTTCTTTAGAATCACATCCATAACTCTGACATTTGATGACACCATTCTGCTGACATTCACATCTTTTGGTGCAGTGCGGAGTAATCCAGGTATCCCCAGCCTGGACACAAATTATGCTATATTACCAAGGTGCTGAGCAATAGGAAGTCAGTAGCAAAATGAATGGAGAGTGGCTAGGTGCATCCTGCTGGCCATTCCACAACTGCTCAATCTAGGTGTAATCTTACCAAGAAACTGGGAGAGGGGCAATCTCAGTCCATTTATTTTCCACAAGGGAATTAGAACACATAATAGGAATAGGATAGACCACCCAATTAACTGTTATCAGGTTTCCAGTATGCCTCAATGTTGGCTTCAAGGTGCAAATTACCACATTCCTGCATCCTCTAACAACTTAAGTCCACAGCTTTTGCTAAAAAATGAAATGCATTTAAAATGGTAGACTCTGAAGACTTTCCTTTCTCATCCTGTTGGACACAGAACCAATTTCCTGCAAGTTTTGCTGTCAGAGATTTACTCTACAATGAACTACTTACACTGTAGTAATTGTTGTCATCGTCCCTGCAGCCACAGTTGCTGAGTGGAACACACTTGTCATTACTGAGCACATAATTATTATCACACTCACAGCCCTCTGTGCATGAGTCTGTCTTCTCACAAAGGGATGAGGCAAAGATGTCATTGCATGTTGATGGGCAGGCAGAGGCACAGGCCGTGTAATGGCTGTGGGATGGACAGGGCAATGCTGTGTGGGTGAAGAGAATAGAAGCAGTGTTATTAAACACATTAAAACAGATGTTCTTGCCTGATATCTTCAACTTCACCTGTAAAATAATGGTGCAGGACCATCTTCTTATAGATCATTTTGCTCATCAAACAAAATCTTTATCTTCTTTTCATTCTTTTTTTCATAATTAGATGGTATTTTTGTTGAGTGGATGGAGTGTGGCAAGAACTTGGCCCTTAAAAAGCAACTGTCTGAACTGTCAGTGAGTGGCTTTGATCTCTGTGTTCAGTTTCCCATTTTGTTTTTTGTTTCTGATTGTATTACTGTTATTATAGTTGGACTTGATGATCTTGAAGATCTTTTCCAACATAAATGATGCTGTGATTCTATTATTTCTCCATTTTAGACTCACTGAAGTATCTCAAGACATTCATTTGGCTACGAAAACAATCCTAACTCCACACTGTCATCCACAACTCATCTAGTTGTTATCACTGGGTTTAGTTCAGCTTGCAAACAGTTCAGCAACAGAGCCAAGTAATAAAATCATAGCAATAGAATTGCTTATTTTGAAAATTTTGTCTTAATTATCCTTCATATAACTTGTCTACCTAATAATGCTCGTTTGTCTTATGGCGTCAGCCATCCAATCTTCTGTTGTTTTATTTTTTTATTTTTTTTGTGCACTTACGACAGAATGTGCTATTCCTCCATGTAATGGTGATGCCTTGATTCCTGCAGGTGTCCACATAGAACTGAACTATGTCGCAAAGAGCAGACTTCATGCCATCATACTGACACATGTCATAGGTGCAGATTTTTATGAAGTCTTCAGGCTCCACCAGATCATGACATGCTTTGAATTTGTCTGATTTTAGGACATTGCACTGGCTTTCAATGATTGGTTTATTCTCATCAGTGCAAGGAGGAACATCATCTTCTCTTGAGTCTGATAAGCAACTGCAAGAAAGCACAAAAACATCTGCACTTGAGTTTCAAGGACATATGTGAGACTGAGAAAGGAGCTGGAAAGTTTATTGCTACTGAAAGGTACTGAATAAATAGTGATGGAGCCTGCAGTCTTACTTCTGTCTACAAGTGTAAGAATAGCAGCAATGGATCTGCACGGCAATCACCATGCTGCTTCGTGGCACCCAACCTGATCCTGATAAGAGGACGGATTTCCCAGCTTGACTATGGACCTGCCTCATCTCTGCAAAGTTGTATGGTGATCTGGACTCTTCACTGAACCTGGCTGCAACCCATAGGCATGCACTGCTTGCCTTCTGTGGACACTGTGGCGTGGGCTTTGGCTGGTAAACCCATGGTTGTACAAACTGTGTTACCATGCTAGGCTCTCTGTACCTTAGGGGACATCTGGTCATTACTGTTCCTGAACTCCATCCTCCTGTTCTAAGTACTCTTTTCAGTGTAAAGTAAACATAGGCTGTGTCCACACTGTGGGCTACTCCAAAGCTTAATTCCCCAAGTGTGTGTGAGGATCAGTAAAATGGCTGTGATTTCCATCTGGCCTGTATGGTGATTTCTGGTGGTGATGTTTTTTTCTTTTGAACTTTTAACTGTAGAAGAGAAAAATCTCATACACACTGTTCGTTTGTTACAAAGTTGTAAAATAGACAAGGCAAGTAGAGGAAGAGTGTTCCAAAGAAAGATGGAAGGTATGAAGTAATGCTTACCCTGCATCACTGTCTTCTTCCACTTTCCAGCTATTTCCAAACTGTGTGACACTGACAATTGTACCATTGGGCAAGGACAGATCATCTTTATAATTATCGTTGAAGTTACCACACAAGCCTTGTACCTGCAAGCAAACAAGAACTTTACTCTAAAAACAATCTGCTCTGCACCAGCTTCCCCAGTAAGTTCTTAATCATTGCCTCTGGAATGATGAGGTGGAAACACTAATGACAATCAACCCTGTACTAAATATTTCAGACATACTGACTGCAACAATAGAAAATAAATAGATGATATGATACTCTAAGACTTCAAGCCATTTAATTCTGTTAGCTGGATGTATTCCCCTAGCTGGCTCATTTTCTGTCAGTTTTCCTTTGCAACACAAGGAAATTGGTTTAAAGAGAAAAAATAGGAAAAAAAATGATGTGTGTTATAACACAGCTATGAAGAAAGATGCAGTAGCAAAACATGAGAACAAAGAAAGTGAAAATAAATACACAAGCAATGGTTTTGAAAGAATACCAATATGTTTGCACAGTAAATCTTACCTTTGAGAAGTAAGATTGTGGGAGAGTTATTTCCAGATGATCATCGCCATCATATTTCACTATCACACCAAAGTCTGTTTCCACTACTAGGTAACTGCCAACATTTCCAACGGATACGCCCCGCACCCGGTTCTCCACTGGACTGTAGACCCTCTCATTGTTCAGCTGGAGACATAAATCATTTGTCAGTATGGACGATCTCCCATGAATGCTTTTATGTTGAATCTACATTCCTTGGAGTGCTGAGGATTACTCTGGCAGTTTTAGATTCTTCACACTTTCACTATTACATATTCCATCTACAGGTTGCAAAAATCAGCTTTTCAGCTGAGGCGAGCTGGGCAGGGCTCTAACTATAGGTGATTGAGCTGACAATACTTAATGAAGTGGGGAGGTAAATTCTTTAGTTCAGACAACAGTTCTCAGATCCAGAGGCTCTGGGCTCTACCTCCAAGATAGGCTAATAGAACAACGAAACTATAAGACAAGCCTTGGGAAACTGTCAGGAATTATATTTCCCCACAACATCAATTTATGTGAGGTGTCTGTAAATTTTAAGGATATACATGCATGTTTCTTATGAAACATAGAGGTCCTTTTTCCTACAGCTGCTGTAGTGAGCTGATTTTAAGATGACTCTTGCTGGATTAAATAGCTCCAACACCTACCAGGATTTCTTTGCTTTTCCGAAGGGTGATTCGTGTGTCATACACATCTATGTAGACTTCTTTCAGGTAAGTGGCCCCTCTTAGCCCTCGGTCTTCATTCTTGCCAAGGATGGTTATTGGGTCCACACCGTTGTTGACAGACTGAACCAGGGTGTAGGTGCAGGTACCCACAAATGTGTACATCAATCCATCAAAAGTGAAATAGTGGGGATCTCCTGCCACCTGACAAGTTACTTGGCCTGAAAGTGAAAAAAATGATCTAAGGATTCTGGACTGGATTTCACCTTGGACTCAACTGATCATAGACATTTGTATTAGTGCAGCAACTTATCATTATTACAAGGAGAAACTTTCATAGAGGTATTTCAGATTCACAGCAATGGGCATTTACCCGGAAATGAGAAATTTCCTGTAGATATCTCCTGAATTTAATTTAATAATTACATACAAACTGGCAATTTGTCAATAAATCAACTGTTTATCTGTTTCCATATGCTGTTGTAGCCATAATGCATGCTAATTAAGAGTAATCCAGAACTTTCCTATGTAGTAATAAGAGAATACATAAATATATGAGTAAATACAGGTATCGATATGAATGTAAATAAATATGTATCTGTATACATAATTATGTAAGAAGCTTGCTAACAAACAGTCTCTCAGAAACAGCTCTCAGTCCCAAATTTAGAACTTGTAGCACTGGTGATTCGTTTCTTGAATTTGTATGATCAAGATAAAAACAATCCAAGGGACCTTACAGGCTGTCGTGCAGCATCAGTTTTTGCAGATATCAATTACAGTAGAAGGGAATCAATGACCACAAGACAGATCATCATGTCTTCTTGCATCTTACTACTAGCAGCAGTTAGTTGGAATTATCTTTGCCATCACATATGAAAAGATATTTATGAGCAAGTTAGAGAGACAGTAAGAATCTAACCATAGAATTGACACTGGGAAGAATTTTCTGGGAGGACTTACCATTGGAATGACAGCCCAGCACACCATCCTTAACACTGCATTCCTCTCGTACTCCACACTCCCAGACTGAACAAGCGATCACGTTATTAGCATTGCAAGTGCAGCGTTCTGTGCAGGAAGAACTGGTGAACCAGCTTTCACCCAGCTGAGGGGAAAAAAATATATAGAATTGTATACCATAAGATAAATAGGATGGTAATGTCATAAGGGACAGTCTAATTATTAGTATTTGAATGTGTACGACACGATCATTTACTCAGTTACGACCACAGAACTCAATGATCAAGAAGGCTGGCAAAGTGAATCTTTTTTTACTATTATTAACAGTGTAAATAGCAATTGTGTCTTTTCTCACAATGATAGAAATTGAGATAATTTGTTCTTTCTTGTTTTTGTTTTTCTTTAAATACTGTCTATGGTAACTTGCCTCGTGATAGCGGTTTTCGTCATCAACACAACCACAGTTGCTTTCTAGCACACATGTGTCCCCACTCAGAACATAGCCGTCCTTACAGAAGCAACCCTCCACTGGCAGTGAGCTACAGCTATTAGTGGCTGAGGAACCCACACAAGTAGAAGGACACCTAGTTCCACAGCCTTGGTAGATGCTGCCTCCAGGACAGGACATTGCTGGAGGAAAAAGGAAAAAATGAGATCACTAAAAAGGACAAAAATATTATAAAAATTATCCCGATGCTTCCATTTTTACTGTTTGCTCCTGAAAATTAGGAAAGCTGTTGCATGAGAGTCTGACCCTGGAGAGTACTGATTACCAAGAATTTTCTTGCACTGTGAGATGGTGCATTTGGCACTGATGGGCAAGACTAGTAGGCCACTCTGCACTTATCTCACTTGGGAAGTCAAATATTGCAGGCTTGTCTTGAGCATAGGGCTGATGTGATCATACAGACCTAAATGTGCTTTGTTCTGTAATCCTTCTTCTGGGGGTATAAAGACATCCAGATGTGCTGGAAACTAATCTTTCTGATTTTGGCTGCCTTTAGTATCTAAACAGAATTACAGCAGCAGTGCAGAGCTGTCTGCTAGTTTTTATGAAAACAGCTTAGCTCTGTTCAAAGCCCTGAAGATCACTAGTAGGCGACAGAGGGCAGCAGGGAGGTCATGGAAAAGAGGAGCATGGAAAAGATAAAACCCCTAAGTATGTACAATGCAGCTATGTCATGGCAGATAAAAGTTGCTGAGGCACTGCTTTCATGTTTCATCAGAGGCAGAACCACGTATGTTCTGTCCTCCCACCTTTGGGCAATTTAAGACAGAAAAGAGAAAACAGGGAGGAGCTGGTTAGAAAGCTTGGGCTGGCCAGGGAAGATATAAGGCTGCAGGAGGGATCACATCTTTTCAAATCTAGTTTTCATTACATGGATCTAAACCTCATTTTCAGCAGTATAGTGGACAACAGTAAATTTCATAAAGCTTTAGTTTGAGCCATAACTCTCAAGGCTACTCATATCCAGGGATTAAATAGAGCATTTAACTCCTCTGAGCTCTGTTATTTCCTGACTACTCAAGTCACTCAATTTAGGGAATAGAAGCATCTCTTCATGTACCAGCTGGTATGTCTCTGTTACTGCAGTTACTACCTGAACACCTGTCATATTTAAAAACGGACCTAAAAATCAGATTCTTTTCCATTGAGATCCCCTGAGAAAATACATTCTGCTCTCACACCCCTCCCGCTACTCAGGGAAAATACTGTATTTTACAGAAGTCTTTAAGCATTTGTCTATTCCCATGGTCTGAAAAAACACCTAAATACTTTTTATGTGATAATCTGTGAAATATCACCACACGTGGGTTTCATTCACTTCCGTAACTACAGTAGGATCTTTTACTCCTGACAGCAAATGCCACCAGTCATCTACCTTTTTCAGATTCCTAATTGATTTTTTGTTTGAACTGCTGATGGAAGGAGCATTTGAGAGACAGTCCTACTAATGTGACTGAGCAGTCATCTTCTCTAACACCATAACCAAACCATAGGCATTTAAGTCCTGGAATATGGCCTTAGACTGTAGAACCTGGAAGTCTATACTTTCAATCTGAGTTGGGGGCTTTGAAGCTATTTTCTTCTTCTGTCTTCTCTTTATAGACGAATGGTCAGTGCTGTGTCCTAGGGTTGACTTATGTGTGCTTTTAATCAAAGGCCATTCTAAAATCATTCTTTTACCAAACTGAGCAGCTCCTGCTATAATATTATTCAAAACATAATTAGTCTGGAGGTATATGAGAATACTTTCGTAAACTTTCTAGAAACATCTGTATTTTAAAATGCCTTACTAAACTAATTTTTGTCCAAAAGCCATCAATGAATATTGAGAGCCAAGATTTGTCAGCTGTGTTTGCTCTGCAGATGGTGGATTTTCAGCAAAGCAAAGTAATGGTTACTCTCCCAGCGTAGAAGCTCACGTAACATACAGCTGACTATAACTCAAACTTTCCGATAAACTAATAGGAAATTATAAATATTTGAAGAATTAGACCCAAATGTATCCAGAAGTTCATTCAAATTATTGATTTATATAAATACTGGAATAGTACTTAAGGTAAAGCAGACTCCCAACATGCCAAAAGACTATATATACTTCAAGCACTACATACAATGAAATATCATACATGGAAATAGAAGAGAATGTGAACAATTTAAAGTTTAAGTACAGAATAAATATAAACCACAGCACTCACGGCAAAGAGTAGCATTTCTCCACTCTATACATATTCCAGCATTGGTGCATGACTCAGCGTAGGCCTGCAGTCCATAGCATAAGGATGTTGCCTGTCCCTCAGTGAAACACATGTCATAAACACAATTATTGAAGAAATTTTCTGGAGGCACTTTGTCGTGGCAATCCTTGAAGATTCCTGTGTAAACAAAGAAAGATATATAGAGGACAGAAAAAAAATGGGGAATTTATCACCATCGTCATGTATTGTATGTCATAGCAAATGTATTGAGTTTTTCAGTCTGGCTTTGTTTAGTAAGTTAAACCAATACTTGAAAATGAGCACATACAATAAAACCTGGCCTGCTGGATCAGGCTCATTTCTTCTCCCAGTGTGATTTACACAACACAGCTTACATAAATTAGGACCTGCTGGCTAGGCAAACCAATAATTACAAACAACTTCAGGGGATCTCTAATGTGGGAAACATCTACAGAATTTCAGATGAAGTATCTGTAATTTATGCAATGACAGTGCTCTCTGAACTATTTCATTTAGAAAGCAGAATGCAAGTAACTACAAATCAAAGAGCAGCAGTGATCTGATGATCATTCTCACATAATCTACATGAACACCTTTGCACTGTCTCATCAGTTGACATATTGTAACCTAATTTTGGCTGCTGGCACTGGAGATTTTATACACATTCAATGTAAGCTCAGAGCAATGGGCAAAAAGACAATTACAAGCATTCTACCTGTTGGATCTGTGATCATGCCACATGCTGTATTCTTCTTTGCTTCACTCTCCAGCGCAGCATCACATTGGTCTTCTGTTCCAACAGAGCACCTTGTGAAAGTAAACAAAATGAAGATTATGTACATCTCTTACTACCAGGTCTTTTGTGGCATTCTGATACACAATAATCCCACATAATAGGGTGCATTTTGTTACAGTCAGAAGACTTTATCTAGCCTCTTTGAATGGCTTATACGATCCCATTTCTGAATGCTCTTTTCAATGCCTTTTGGGATAATTAAAAGACTGTTCTCACTGGAAAAAAAAAAAAAAGGAAAAAAAAAAAAAAAAGAAAAAAAAAAAAAAAAAGAGCTATGGAATCCAGTCAGTTAATGATTTCCAGTCAGGGGTCTGGACGGAAATCACACCTGACTCCCATAAACAGTTCTTGCTTTGGAAAACAAGGCTTAAAGGATGCAACCCCTCTTCTCATTCCCGCTTTAATTAGAAGAGGGTGCTTCCTACTTCTAGTGGGTAATTGGAAGATGCAGAATAGTACACGGATGACAAAGCCAGTGAGTGGATAGATATTTGATTTCATAGAGTTTAATTAGCAAATGTGATTGGATTCCTGTACATACATGGTGTTATTGTCAGTTACAAGCCAGCTTTGTCCAAGCTCATTGGAATTACTTGCAATGTCACCATTAGGCTTTATGTTGTCATCATTTGGATCACCATTATAATTACCTGTGAGGGTAAAAAAAAAAAAAAAGTATTTATAGGATACATCAAGTTCACATCTGTAGAACAAACAGACGTTTCAAGCTATTATAGAAACTGCAGTTGAACTAGTGAGAATACATATCCAACACCAATGTGCACTGGGCAAAATAAGAAGAGTGTTTGGATCTCAACTGTTGTGCTGGACTAAAAATCAAATAGCATCATTTGCATCGTTAAATTCTTAGGTAGGTTTCCTGAACTGAAAGTGAAAAACAAACACACAGAGATAATTTAAGTATAAAATTTCACATAATCTAGATAAAAGAATAATCAGAAAACCAGAAAATAATAAGACAAACAACTGTCACAATTTCTACAATCCCATTTCCATCCTGAAGTATATTTCATGTAATCACCTGGGTTCCAGAATGTTGTTCCAACTAACCCTTCTCTGGTTCAGGCATTGCCAACATGATTGATGAAAAATGACTGATTGCTACACCACTTACACCCCCCTCTTATTAGCTACATAAATCATGTGTAGCTCTGTTACTTCGTGTTCTTACTGTAAAAGAATTTCTTACAGAATGTATTAGAATATGCCCTTTATATCTGACCCGTTCTTCCTCAAAGAACTCTCAAAGGATTCTATCTTTAGTGTTGTATATAGCACTTAATGTTTTGTGGCATTTGAATTTTTGAGATTATGTATCTATTTTTTCTTATTCATCAGGTCTGTCGTCCATATTGATCCCTTCATTGCTTTGTTTTACTCTAGACATTATCTAAGGCAGAATAGAATCATTACTCATTCTAATTTACACCAGTAAGTGAATTTTGTGTTTTTGTATTTTTAAAATATTAACAGCTAAAAGTATTATTTGTAGTTATACCTCAAAGCATTCCAGACGGATAATGTATCACTAGATATTTGTAACAATGTGCAGAGACTGAAAAAATTCAGTAATTTCTCTTTGCTGCTGCAAAGTCTAGTTCCTTTGGTAAATGGTAGTTTTATGTAGATTAAATATGACAGTAAGAAAAAAGTTTAAGTAACCACTAGTCTACACAACTCATTAAAAAGTGATTAAAACTACGACTTACCACACAGGCCACAGAGCAGACCACTGTAATCAGAGGGCACAGAGACTTCTGCATAGTGATTTCCATCATATCTCACCCACAGTCCAAAGTCAGTTTCCAAGAGAACATAACCACCACTGCTTTGAATACTGATCTTCTTTTCAATAAATATGGGTAGGTTCATTCTGCTGCCATTCACCTACACAACAAGTTGTAAAAGTTAGTGTGTGGCTGCTGGAACTCATCCAACTACAAGCAACTGGAACAGTTTAGTGAAAGATGTCATTTTGTGCACAAAGAGAATGGGACACAACTAGATAACATTTCATCTAAGCAAATTTTTTTGAAATCTCACTAGAAAAGGTGTATGTATCCAATGACAAGAGAAAAACTACTATAAATTCTACAAAAAACAAAACAGAAAAAAAAAAACAAGCAAAAAACCCCCCCAAACTTAATTATCTTCATGTTAGTTTAAAAATGTATTTTAAATGTATTTTCTTACATTCACTTTCTTGCTTTTCAGCATAGAAATCTGATAGCCATAGACTTCCACTTGTACTGACTTCACATAAGAGACTTTGGTGTTGGATCCTCTGTGCTCATTTGTTGTGGACACATCAAAGTATGGAATATTCTGAGAGATGTTACACACTTTGGAGAGGGTGTAAGAACAGTTTCCCATGAAATTATGAACTCTCTGGTCAAAAGTGTTGTAATGTGGATCCCCAGAGGCACTGCAGGAAGCACGGCCTGGGAAGAAAGACAGAATAGTTTCCTCTGAATCTCTGCTGTAAATGCTGCAGTCACTTTGTTTTACTTCCTAATTGCTGCTCAGCTGTGAAGTGATGTCTACAGTCAAGAACAGAGTACAAAAGAGGTATGCAAACTTTCCACAGGAGAGACTACCCTTCTACCACAAGTGGAAATCACCCAAGTTCTGTGGCAATTCATGAAGAGCAAGCCATCTGATCCAGGGACTCATTTTCTGTATACTGGAGACACATCATGTGAAACATGATACCTAGGAGTTGATCTGAATCGTGAACATCCAACTAAATGTCAATAAATACTATAGACAAAACCAGAAGCAGATTGAAAGGCGATCTCTGAACATACAGAAAGAATCTACACAAAAACATTAGAAGGCTGGCTTCTCTCTTTTGGCAGATGGAATTAACTGCTGCAATTGCTGTCAAGTGTTCTGTAGTCAAATCAATTAAAGAAATTAAGCAAAACCTCTGACAATCCAGCATAACGCTGTAACTTTGTCTGTTAGACTTGAAGTAAGAGAACTGAACTGGTAAAAAAAGCAAAAACAAATGGGAAGGGGAAACAAAAATACCCAAGCTAGGATGCAGAGTGAATGCTGTTTGTGGAGGCTTAGATGACGTGTCAGGAAATGGCCTTGTGGGCTTTGCTGTTGATGGAACTACAATAAGACAGGGTTAAAGGACGCATGAGTTACAATGGCATATTTGCTACAAGCACCTCATAAAAATTATATTAAGAATTCTGTATAATGGCAAACCACAACCTCTGAACCACATCCATTCCCAACCTTAGGCATTGACCAGGAAGGAGATCTGCATAAATTTGTCAGCAGCAGTACAAAATGGGCACAGGTCATGGCAATACCTGGGCTTGGTGTGGTGGTTGCTGGGTGTGGAGGCGGCAATGTGGTGTCTGGGAAGGGTGTCTCAGTTTTTGTTGTTGATGAACCTGTGGCAAGAGAGAGGTAGTGGAGATGAGAATCAACATTGCTGTTTTCTGGCCAGCTCCCAGTATATTATTGCCAGTGGCACGACAATGAAGGCAGTGGGCAAGGGTGTACACAGTGAGTTTTCTGAGAAAAGTGTGCCACTCAAGTACTCTCGCAGCAGCATGGCTGGGGGAAAAGGAAACCACAATCCCTTTACTACATCCATCCCAAACCCTAGGCATTGACCCTGAAGCAGATCTGCATAAATTTGTCAGCAGCAGTAGAAAACGGGGACAGGGCATGGCAATACCTGAGCTTGGTGTGGTTGTCACTGGGTGTGGAGGTGGCGTTGTGGTGTCTGGCGAGGGTGTCTCAGGATTTGGTGTTGATGAACCTGGGGCAAGAGAGAGGTAGTGGAGATGAGAATCAATGTGGCAGCTTTCTCCCCAGCTGCCAGTATACCACTGCCAAGCACCCCAGTGGCACGATAATGAAGGCAGTGGGCAGGGTGTACACAGTGACTCTTCTAAGCAATCTTTGCAATTCCAAATGGTATTCAGGTGTCACTGCTGAACCACAGGAACCATGATGGACACCAAGAGAGAAACTACGTAAGATATACAATATCACAGTTTTGTTCATTTGGTAGGAAGCATTAAAAACCGGAGGAAAGTACAGAGAAGCCATTCAGTTATCAGCACCTCCCTGCAGCTCTTCTCCCCTTCCTACAGTGCTAAAAGCACTGCGTCCCAACACCCGCCCTCCTCCATTCACCTGAGCTTGGCTGTGGTGTTGGTGTGGATGTTTCTGTCACCGTTGTGGTGGTGTCGGGGCTTGGCGTTGGGGTCACATCGCCTACAAAAGACACAGTGGCACATGCCAGTCAATCCTGCTTGTGCAGGATTCTGTTCAAGGCAGAAAACTCACTGACTATGCCTCCAGGCATTGCACAGCGTTCATTGCTCAAGGCTTCTTCCTTTCTCCCTCCATTTCATCAGCATCCCCCTGGCTTCTTCTCTCCAATTCTCCTGGTGCTACCTTGCTGAGTCTCTCGGGAGGGATGGGGCTCTCTCTCGGGCTCAATATTACCAATGACTTCCCACAACTTTAAAGCCTTTCTAACTGATACTGCAAGAAGCACTTCAAGGCAGGCAGGCAGCAAGTCTGAAATCTGTCTTGAGGTACAGTGTGTTACCACAGCCCAGCATCCCTCTGGAAATGCTTGCTTTCATAAAGGCAAAAAGCTGCCGACACCACAGGCGGGGCCGTGCTGCTTCACCACTAAGGACAAGCAATGCCCTTAAGAAGACACTGTGCAGGACAACACAGGAAAATGCTGTGGAAATTCCAGGCGGTCAGTCTGCAAAATGCCGTGCAAAACCAGCTGATTCCCTGCAGTAGCGAGTAGGAAAGAAATCTCCAATCTCAGGCACCAAAAAAGGGAAGCTGAGCATTCATTTGCAAAGTAGAAATGCAAGAAGTTATTAGTGACAGGTCCTGAATAGAAACCAAGCCAATTCCTCACCGCAGACCGTGCCAGCGCTCCAGTCTCCCAGAACAACCCCTGCCACAGCACAGGCTTCTGCATAAGAACTCAGGTCACTGCACAGCTGATCTGTGCTGCCACCCGTGCCACACTGGTCATAGACGCAGCTCTCAAAGTACTCCTGGGGTGGCAGAACTGCGTGGCACGGCTCAAACGGGCCACTGGCTTGTGGCCATTCCCAAGTACCCCAGTGGCACGACAATGAAGGCAGTGGGCAGGGTGAACACAGTGACTCTTCTGAGAAAACTGTGCCACTCAAGTACTCTCCCAGCAGCATGGCTGGGGGAAAAGGAAACCACAATCCCTTTACTACATCCATCCCAAACCCTAGGCATTGACCCTGAAGCAGATCTGCATAAATTTGTCAGTAACAGTAGAAAACGGGGACAGGGCATGGCAATACCTGAGCTTGGTGTGGTTGTCGCTGGGTGTGGAGGTGGCGTTGTGGTGTCTGGCGAGGGTGTCTCAGGATTTGGTGTTGATGAACCTGTGGCAAGAGAGAGGTAGTGGAGATGAGAATCAATGTGGCTGTTTTCTGGCCAGCTCCCAGTATATTATTGCCAATGGCACGACAATGAAGGCAGTGAGCAGGGGGTACACAGTGAGTTTTCTGAGAAAAGTGTGCCACTCAAGTACTCTCCCAGCAGCACGGTCGGGGAAAAGGAATCCACTAGCTATTTACTCCAGCCATCCGTAAGCCTAGTTGTGAGACTTGAAGGAGATCTGCAAGAAAATGTGTCAGTAACAGTAGAAAACGGGGACAGGTCATGCCAATACCCGAGCTTGGTGTGGTTGTCACTGGGTGTGGAGGTGGCGTTGTGGTGTCTGGTGAGGGTGTCTCAGGATTTGGTGTTGATGAACCTGGGGCAAGAGAGAGGTAGTGGAGATGAGAATCAACGTGGCAGGTTTCTTCCCAGCTGCCAGTGTACCATTCCCAAGCACCCAGTGGCACGACAATGAAGGCAGTGGGCAAGGGGTACACAGTGAGTTTTCTGAGAAAACTGTGCCACTCAAGTTCTCTCCCAGCAGCATGGCTGGGGGAAAAGGAAACCACAATCCCATTACTACATCCATCCCAAACCCTAGGCATTGACCCTGAAGCAGATCTGCATAAATTTGTCAGTAACAGTAGAAAACGGGGACAGGGCATGGCAATACCTGAGCTTGGTGTGGTTGTCGCTGGGTGTGGAGGTGGCGTTGTGGTGTCTGGCGAGGGTGTCTCAGGATTTGGTGTTGATGAACCTGGGGCAAGAGAGAGGTAGTGGAGATGAGAATCAATGTGGCAGCTTTCTCCCCAGCTGCCAGTGTGCCATTCCCAAGCACCCAGTGGCACGACAATGAAGGCAGTGGGCAGGGTGTACACAGTGACTCTTCTAAGCAATCTTTGCAATTCCAAGTGGTTTTCTGGTATCACTGCTGAACCATAGGAACCATGATGGACACCAAGAGAGAAACTACGTAAGATATACAACATCACAGTTTTGTTCATTTGGTAGGAAGCATTAATAACCAGAGGAAGGTACAGAGAAGCCATTCAGTTATCAGCACCTCCCTGCAGCTCTTCTCCCCTTCCTACAGTGCTAAAAGCACTGCGTCCCAACACCCGCCCTCCTCCGTTCACCTGAGCTTGGCTGTGGTGTTGGTGTGGATGTTCCTGTCACCGTTGTGGTGGTGTCGGGGCCTGGCGTTGGGGTCACATCGCCTACAAAAGACACAGTGGCACATGCCAGTCAATCCTGCTTGTGTACATCCTGTTCAAGGCAGAAAACTCACTGACTGCCAAAACAAGCAGGCTGCCTTTCCACAGGCAGTGTCACGTACCTGGACAGTATCCCTGTTCAATGGACAGATCATCCAGTGCCACGTCGCTGCGGAAATCTTCCCCCCATTCTCCCTCAAGGACAAGCTAAGGGAAAGGTTGGTTTCCACCGTTAGCTCCGGCCATACACTCCGAGTGACATTCTGCAGCACTCTTTGCATCAATTGGCACTTAGAGCCCCTGTCCCTACCTGCAAGTTTCCTGTACTGTGCACCGTGACCTCTCCCAAGATCCATCTGTCCCCGTGGTTCCCAACGCTTTTCCAGACCTCCAGTAGCTCCCCGTCCCGAGCCACATACACCCGCAGGGCCATGGATTCAGCCACTCCATACATGTGATACCAGAAGCGGAAGCAGTGTGGTCCCGTTGAATTGCACACCGGGCTGGCCAGCTGTGACACAAAGCCATGGTAGGGATCGTCGCCATGCAGGTAGATGTAGTAGCCATCTGAAACAAAGTGCCAGCCATGCCGTCATGCAACATCAAGCCTAGACAGCAGCCCCAGGGAAAAGCCCAGTGCAGTCTGGAGAGCACATCCTGTGGCAGTTTGAGGCAGGGACAGGGAGTCAAGAGCAACACGCTGTCCTTCACTTGCCACAGCTCCCTCAGCACTAAGACACTCTAAGGAAGCCGGCTCTCTGGGCCCTGACAGCTGTATGGCTTGATGTGGGAAACGCCACCACCCCCAAAGCATCCCCTCCATCCTACCATGGCTCTGCAGCTTTGGGGGCACTCATCAGTGGCTGCTGGAGAAGCCAGCGTCCCCTAAAAGAAACCTGTTCCTGTTTCCCTGAGACAGCCCGGCACCACGTCTCATACTACTGGCCCCCTTGCCTGGCAGATCGTTCCCTGCTCCAATCACACCAGACTGATCCCCGGGCAGAAAAGCTGCTTTGAAAGAAGGCTCCGACCCTGGGGGAGACTGCTACAAAGGCCTCTGGATCAGGGTACCTGTGGTTTGTATTTGCTCTTAGAAGCTGTTTGCCACCATCTTTGCAGGGACACCAGTCTGCTTGCATGACCAGCGTGTGCTGCTTGATGTTCCTACCTCCAGTCGTGTGGTCAAAGGAAGGGCCCGTATCTGGAGAGGGCGTTGGTCCCTTGTGCCTTATCCAGTCAATGCTGCTGGACGGCTCCTGGACCCACTCGCAGAAGTCAACATCAAACGTGCAGGAGAAATTGCAGGCTGCTGGGGAAGCTGGATGTGGTGCAGAAAGGAAAGCAGAGTTTTAGAGGTGAGAGTGTGCAAACCTTTCCCCGGTGTCCCGCAGGACACACCTATATCCCTGGCGTGATTACAGCCAGGTGGCAATGGTCAACCAAATGCAATTGCAACCCAGGCATTGCACAGCGTTCATTGCTCAAGGCTTCTTCCTTTCTCCCTCCATTTCATCAGCGTCCCCCTGGCTTCTTCTCTCCAATTCTCCTGGTGCTACCTTGCTGAGTCTCTCGGGAGGGATGGGGCTCTCTCTCGGGCTCAATATTACCAGTGACTTCCCACAACTTTAAAGCCTTTCTAACTGATACTGCAAGAAGCACTTCAAGGCAGGCAGGCAGCAAGTCTGAAATCTGTCTTGAGGTGCAGTGTGTTACCACAGCCCAGCATCCCTCTGGAAATGCTTGCTTTCATAAAGGCAAAAAGCTGCCGACACCACAGGCGGGGCCGTGCTGCTTCACCACTAAGGACAAGCAATGCCCTTAAGAAGACACTGTGCAGGACAACACAGGAAAATGCTGTGGAAATTCCAGGCGGTCAGTCTGCAAAATGCCGTGCAAAACCAGCTGATTCCCTGCAGTAGCGAGTAGGAAAGAAATCTCCAATCTCAGGCACCAAAAAAGGGAAGCTGAGCATTCATTTGCAAAGTAGAAATGCAAGAAGTTATTAGTGACAGGTCCTGAATAGAAACCAAGCCGATTCCTCACCGCAGACCGTGCCAGCGCTCCAGTCTCCCAGAACAACCCCTGCCACAGCACAGGCTTCTGCATAAGAACTCAGGTCACTGCACAGCTGATCTGTGCTGCCACCCGTGCCACACTGGTCATAGACGCAGCTCTCAAAGTACTCCTGGGGTGGCAGAACTGCGTGGCACGGCTCAAACGGGCCACTGGCTTGTGGCCATTCCCAAGTACCCCAGTGGCACGACAATGAAGGCAGTGGGCAGGGTGAACACAGTGACTCTTCTGAGAAAAGTGTGCCACTCAAGTACTCTCCCAGCAGCATGGCTGGGGGAAAAGGAAACCACAATCCCATAACTACATCCCTCCCAAACCCTAGGCACTGACCCTGAAGCAGATCTGCATAAATTTGTCAGTAACAGTAGAAAATGGGGACAAGGTCATGGCAATACCTGAGCTTGGTGTGGTTGTCGCTGGGTGTGGAGGTGGCGTTGTGGTGTCTGGCGAGGGTGTCTCAGGATTTGGTGTTGATGAACCTGTGGCAAGAGAGAGGTAGTGGAGATGAGAATCAACGTGGCAGGTTTCTTCCCAGCTGCCAGATTACCATTCCCAAGTACCCCCGTGGCACGACAATGAAGGCAGTGGGCAGGGTGTACACAGTGAGTTTTCTGAGAAAACTGTGCCACTCAAGTACTCTCCCAGCAGCACGGTCGGGGAAAAGGAAACCACAATCCCATTACTACATCCACTCCAAAGCCTATGCACTGACCCTGAAGCAGATCTGCATAAATTTGTTCTGCAAAATGATGAGCAACAGTACAAAATGGGCACAGGTCATGGCAATACCTGAGCTTGGTGTGGTTGTCGCTGGGTGTGGAGGTGGCGTTGTGGTGTCTGGTGAGGGTGTCTCAGGATTTGGTGTTGATGAACCTGTGGCAAGAGAGAGGTAGTGGAGATGAGAATCAACGTGGCAGCTTTCTCCCCAGCTGCCAGTGTACCATTCCCAAGCACCCAGTGGCACGACAATGAAGGCAGTGGGCAGGGTGTACACAGTGACTCTTCTAAGCAATCTTTGCAATTCCAAGTGGTTTTGCAGCATCATGGCTGAACCGTAGGAACCATGGTGGAAACCAAGAAAGAAACTACGTAAAATATACAACATCACAGTTTTGTTCATTTGGTAGGAAGCATTAATAACCGGAGGAAGGTACAGAGAAGCCATTCAGTTATCAGCACCTCCCTGCAGCTCTTCTCCCCTTCCTACAGTGCTAAAAGCACTGCGTCCCAACATCCGCTCTCGTCCATTCACCTGAGAATGGGAAGCATCCCCGCTGGCCGTTCTGGATCTTGCAGACCTCCTCCTCACCACAGGACAATGCAGAGCAAACCATCTGGCCGCTGGCTTCACAACGGCACTGGCGAGAGCAGTTCTCGTTCACAAAGGACTCGCCTTGCTGCAGGCAGAGAAACCCCGAGCACGTCAGACACAGAAGGAGGTGCAAAGCAGTGCCGTGGGAAGGGAGGCAGACAGGGCAGGGTTTTCACTCACGCTGTAGTAGTTGTCCTCAAAGAGGCAGCCACAGTGGGCCTCGGGCACACAGGTGTCACCGCTGAGGAGGAAGCCAGAGGCACACGCACAGCCCTCCATGCAGGGCTTGGAACAATTCAGCGGGGCTTGTCGGTCAACACAGGTGGCAGGACAGCCAGTCATGCAAGGGTCATAGTAGCTGTTGGCAGAGCATGTCAGGGCTGCAAAGGGAAAGGAACATTAGGGTCAGCAAAGCCCACAAGGAAGGGAATACCTTCTGCCAAGGGAAAGACCAAAGAAGTGGCCAGAGCTGCAGGACACAGGGAGAGCCCCATTTCCCTCTGGCAATCCAAAGGTGGGTACTCACGGCAGAAGGTGGCATTCCTCCAAGGGAGCAGAGTCACGCCAGCTGCCTGGCATGCGTCAGCGTAGGCCTCCAGTGCAGCACACAGCACCTCCTGCACAGCACCCATGGCACAAAGGTCGTAGGTGCAGGTCTCAAAGTAGCTCTGCGGGTTGATCACCGAGTGGCAGCTCTCAAAAAAGCCCGGGCTGGCTGTCAGCATGCCACAGAACTGCTCGGACTCGTAGAGCTTCTCCTCATTTTCTGGGCAGGGCTCCGGCGGTGGGGGCACGCCGCAGCTGGGGTCACTGTCATCGCTTGGGACCTGCCAGCTCTCCCCCAGCGCATTGGAGTCGGCGGCTTGCTGCCCGTTGGGCATCATGTAATCGTCCTCCCTCCTGCTGTTGAAGTTCCCGCACATGCCACAGGTCAGGTTGAAGTAGCTGGTGGGCACCTTCACCTCCACCGAGTGGTCAGCGTCATAGGACACTTGGAGGCTGAAGTCCGTCTGCAGGACGACGTAGCGGCCGCTACTGCTCACGGTGATGGCTCCTGCTGCTGCGCTCACCGGCAAGGTCCGGAACACACCGTTCACCTGGGGCAGACAAGCGCAATGCACCGTGGACTCCCTGGGGCCGTCAGCCCCATGGGAACAGGCTCCCTTCTCACACAGAAACTCCTGCTGCTTGCAGACAAGACCCTGCCCAAAAAAGCCAGCCCTGCCTTGCAGACCCTCCACGCACACGCCAGCCCCACTCCCTTACCAGCACTCGGCTCCTCTCCTGCTTGAGTATGGTAATGCGCTCTCCGTACACATCGACCACGACTTCTCGCACGTAGGACACTCGGGCGTTGCCACGATGCTCGTTCTTTGCCTCAACATTGAAGTAGGGCACGGAGGTGTTGGAGCACACTTTGGCCAGGGTGTACGTGCAGTTCCCCATGAAGTTGTGCCTCACATCGTCAAAGGTGTTGTAGTGAGGGTCCCCGTAGACGTGGCAGATGCCGTAGGAGTGATCCAGGCACTGGGGTTTCCCATCCTGCACTCCGCAGAACTGGCCGGCAGGGCACGACGCACTGGAGCACTGGACTTTGCCTCCTCGTGCGGGACACGTGCACTTGGACGAGCAGGTGTTGTCCGTCCAGAACTCTGAGCCCACCGGGTAGTGCTGCCCGTTGTGCCAGCACCCGCACTGCTGGCTGGGCACACATTGCTTGTTGTAGAGCAGGTACCCGCTGTCGCATACACATCCCTCCACGCACGGCAATCCGCATGTAACAGGTGCCATGGGGTCAACACACGTAGCAGGGCAAGCTGCAGCACAGGGCTCGTAGTGGCTGTTGGCTGGGCACGTGATGGCTGCCAAGACAAAAGGAGAAGCAGTGAAATCATCAGTCATCCTACACTCGCCATGCTCTCAAGGTAGAGAAGATTCTCTGGAGGCTGTGGAAGGATGCAATCATCCCACAGCTACACCCAGCTACCAACGTGAGATGCCTTCTGCATAGAAAGAACCACGTTGGCATTTTTAACAACAAAGGGTGCTGCCACACACCGTGGCTAACCAGCTCAGCAAATGGCGTGCTTTCCTGCTTCTGACTTACGGCAGAATGTTGCGTTCCTCCACACGGGGATCTGGACACCAAGCGCCTGGCAGGCATCTGCATAGGACTGCAAGCTGTTGCACAGTGCCTCGCGATCAAGCCCCAGCTCACACAGGTCATAGAGGCACGTGTCGAAGTAGCCGCTGGGACTCAGCACAGAGTGGCACACTTCAAACGGGCCGCTGATGTCTGTGAGGAGCCCGCAGAAGTTGCTGCTGGCAATGACCTGCTTGTCTGTCTCAGTGCATGCTGGCGGGGACTGCGTTCCAGCTGAGCAGCTATAGGTGAGGCAGAGAGAAAGGCCCCCAGGTTATCTGTGGGCTTCAACTGGCACCTCCACTCCACCCCTCCCCGGACCTGCTGGGCCACCACACACACCTGCTGTCGTTGGACACCTGCCAGCTGTTACCCAGGCTGGTGGAGTCTGGCTCCAGCACTCCGTCCGGGTTCAGGAAGTCGTCTGCTGCCATCCCGTTGTAGTTGCCACACATGCCGCAAACCTGCTGCCCAAAGGTGCTTGGAAGCGACACCTCCACCCGATGGTTCCCATCAAACTTCACGCTCAAGCCAAAGTCTGTTGTGACCACGGTGTAGAACCCGCTGGACCAGACCTGCACGCCCACAGATGGGGTGCAGGGCAGCACCTCTGCCTCTCCGTTGACCTGGAAGGACAGAAACCAAGACAGGATTGGAGCATTCCCTTTGGCACGGCTCTCCCTCTGCACAGCCCCACCATTGCTCCCCTTTGTGCTTACCATCACCACGCCACCCTTCCCAAGCCTGATGTGCTGGCCGTACACATCGACGTCCACGTACTGGACGTAGGACACGCGCGTGTTGCTTCCTCTGTGTTCGTTGGCCGCCTCCACATTGAAGTAGGGCAGTGAACTGTTGCTCTCGCACAGCTTGGAGAGGGTGTAGGTGCAGTTGCCCATGAAGTGGTGTATTTGATTGTCAAACGTGTGGTAGTGAGGATCTCCCTCCACCACACACATTCCTGACAAAGGAAACACCAGAGAAGCCATTCAGTTATCAGCACCTCCCTGCAGCTCTTCTCCCCTTCCTACAGTGCTAAAAGCACTGCGTCCCAACACCCGCCCTCCTCCGTTCACCTGAGCTTGGCTGTGGTGTTGGTGTGGATGTTCCTGTCACCGTTGTGGTGGTGTCGGGGCCTGGCGTTGGGGTCACATCGCCTACAAAAGACACAGTGGCACATGCCAGTCAATCCTGCTTGTGCAGGATTCTGTTCAAGGCAGAAAACTCACTGACTATGCCTCCAGGCATTGCACAGCGTTCATTGCTCAAGGCTTCTTCCTTTCTCCCTCCATTTCATCAGCGTCCCCCTGGCTTCTTCTCTCCAATTCTCCTGGTGCTACCTTGCTGAGTCTCTCGGGAGGGATGGGGCTCTCTCTCGGGCTCAATATTACCAATGACTTCCCACAACTTTAAAGCCTTTCTAACTGATACTGCAAGAAGCACTTCAAGGCAGGCAGGCAGCAAGTCTGAAATCTGTCTTGAGGTGCAGTGTGTTACCACAGCCCAGCATCCCTCTGGAAATGCTTGCTTTCATAAAGGCAAAAATCTGCCGACACCACAGGCGGGGCCGTGCTGCTTCACCACTAAGGACAAGCAATGCCCTTAAGAAGACACTGTGCAGGACAACACAGGAAAATGCTGTGGAAATTCCAGGCGGTCAGTCTGCAAAATGCCGTGCAAAACCAGCTGATTCCCTGCAGTAGCGAGTAGGAAAGAAATCTCCAATCTCAGGCACCAAAAAAGGGAAGCTGAGCATTCATTTGCAAAGTAGAAATGCAAGAAGTTATTAGTGACAGGTCCTGAATAGAAACCAAGCCGATTCCTCACCGCAGACCGTGCCAGCGCTCCAGTCTCCCAGAACAACCCCTGCCACAGCACAGGCTTCTGCATAAGAACTCAGGTCACTGCACAGCTGATCTGTGCTGCCACCCGTGCCACACTGGTCATAGACGCAGCTCTCAAAGTACTCCTGGGGTGGCAGAACTGCGTGGCACGGCTCAAACGGGCCACTGGCTTGTGGCCATTCCCAAGTACCCCAGTGGCACGACAATGAAGGCAGTGGGCAGGGTGAACACAGTGACTCTTCTGAGAAAAGTGTGCCACTCAAGTACTCTCCCAGCAGCATGGCTGGGGGAAAAGGAAACCACAATCCCATAACTACATCCCTCCCAAACCCTAGGCATTGACCCTGAAGCAGATCTGCATAAATTTGTTCTGCAAAATGATGAGCAACAGTACAAAATGGGCACAGGTCATGGCAATACCTGAGCTTGGTGTGGTTGTCGCTGGGTGTGGAGGTGGCGTTGTGGTGTCTGGCGAGGGTGTCTCAGGATTTGGTGTTGATGAACCTGGGGCAAGAGAGAGGTAGTGGAGATGAGAATCAACGTGGCAGGTTTCTTCCCAGCTGCCAGTGTACCATTCCCAAGCACCCAGTGGCACGACAATGAAGGCAGTGGGCAAGGGGTACACAGTGACTCTTCTGAGAAAACTGTGCCACTCAAGTTCTCTCCCAGCAGCATGGCTGGGGGAAAAGGAAACCACAATACCTTTACTACATCCATCCCAAACCCTAGGCATTGACCCTGAAGCAGATCTGCATAAATTTGTCAGTAACAGTAGAAAACGGGGACAGGGCATGGCAATACCTGAGCTTGGTGTGGTTGTCGCTGGGTGTGGAGGTGGCGTTGTGGTGTCTGGTGAGGGTGTCTCAGGATTTGGTGTTGATGAACCTGTGGCAAGAGAGAGGTAGTGGAGATGAGAATCAATGTGGCTGTTTTCTGGCCAGCTCCCAGTATATTATTGCCAGTGGCACGACAATGAAGGCAGTGGGCAGGGGGTACACAGTGAGTTTTCTGAGAAAACTGTGCCACTCAAGTACTCTCCCAGCAGCACGGTCGGCGAAAAGGAATCCACTAGCTATTTACTCCAGCCATCCGTAAGCCTAGTTGTGAGACTTGAAGGAGATCTGCAAGAAATGTGTCAGCAGCAGTAGAAAACGGGGACAGGTCATGGCAATACCTGAGCTTGGTGTGGTTGTCACTGGGTGTGGAGGTGGCGTTGTGGTGTCTGGTGAGGGTGTCTCAGGATTTGGTGTTGATGAACCTGGGGCAAGAGAGAGGTAGTGGGAAGAGAATCAATATGGCAGGTTTCTTCCCAGCTGCCAGTGTACCATTCCCAAGCAATCCAGTGGCACGACAATGAAGGCAGTGGGCAAGGGGTACACAGTGAGTTTTCTGAGAAAAGTGTGCCACTCAAGTACTCTCCCAGCAGCATGGCTGGGGGAAAAGGAAACCACAATCCCTTTACTACATCCATCCCAAACCCTAGGCATTGACCCTGAAGCAGATCTGCATAAATTTGTCAGTAACAGTAGAAAACGGGGACAGGGCATGGCAATACCTGAGCTTGGTGTGGTTGTCACTGGGTGTGGAGGTGGCGTTGTGGTGTCTGGCGAGGGTGTCTCAGGATTTGGTGTTGATGAACCTGGGGCAAGAGAGAGGTAGTGGAGATGAGAATCAATGTGGCTGTTTTCTGGCCAGCTCCCAGTATATTATTGCCAGTGGCACGACAATGAAGGCAGTGGGCAGGGGGTACACAGTGAGTTTTCTGAGAAAACTGTGCCACTCAAGTACTCTCCCAGCAGCACGGTCGGGGAAAAGGAATCCACTAGCTATTTACTCCAGCCATCCGTAAGCCTAGTTGTGAGACTTGAAGGAGATCTGCAAGAAAATGTGTCAGCAGCAGTAGAAAACGGGGACAGGTCATGGCAATACCTGAGCTTGGTGTGGTTGTCACTGGGTGTGGAGGTGGCGTTGTGGTGTCTGGTGAGGGTGTCTCAGGATTTGGTGTTGATGAACCTGGGGCAAGAGAGAGGTAGTGGGAAGAGAATCAATATGGCAGGTTTCTTCCCAGCTGCCAGTGTACCATTCCCAAGCAATCCAGTGGCACGACAATGAAGGCAGTGGGCAAGGGGTACACAGTGAGTTTTCTGAGAAAACTGTGCCACTCAAGTACTCTCGCAGCAGCATGGCTGGGGGAAAAGGAAACCACAATCCCATAACTACATCCCTCCCAAACCCTAGGCACTGACCCTGAAGCAGATCTGCATAAATTTGTTCTGCAAAATGATGAGCAACAGTACAAAATGGGCACAGGTCATGGCAATACCTGAGCTTGGTGTGGTTGTCGCTGGGTGTGGAGGTGGCGTTGTGGTGTCTGGCGAGGGTGTCTCAGGATTTGGTGTTGATGAACCTGGGGCAAGAGAGAGGTAGTGGGAAGAGAATCAATATGGCAGGTTTCTTCCCAGCTGCCAGTGTACCATTCCCAAGCAATCCAGTGGCACGACAATGAAGGCAGTGGGCAAGGGGTACACAGTGAGTTTTCTGAGAAAAGTGTGCCACTCAAGTACTCTCCCAGCAGCACGGTCGGGGAAAAGGAAACCACAATCCCATTACTACATCCACTCCAAAGCCTATGCACAGACCCTGAAGCAGATCTGCATAAATTTGTTCTGCAAAATGATGAGCAACAGTACAAAATGGGCACAGGTCATGGCAATACCTGAGCTTGGTGTGGTTGTCACTGGGTGTGGAGGTGGCGTTGTGGTGTCTGGCGAGGGTGTCTCAGGATTTGGTGTTGATGAACCTGTGGCAAGAGAGAGGTAGTGGAGATGAGAATCAACGTGGCAGCTTTCTCCCCAGCTGCCAGTGTACCATTCCCAAGCACCCAGTGGCACGACAATGAAGGCAGTGGGCAGGGTGTACACAGTGACTCTTCTAAGCAATCTTTGCAATTCCAAGTGATTTTGCAGCATCATGGCTGAACCGTAGGAACCATGGTGGAAACCAAGAAAGAAACTACGTAAAATATACAACATCACAGTTTTGTTCATTTGGTAGGAAGCATTAAAAACCGGAGGAAGGTACAGAGAAGCCATTCAGTTATCAGCACCTCCCTGCAGCTCTTCTCCCCTTCCTACAGTGCTAAAAGCACTGCGTCCCAACATCCGCTCTCGTCCATTCACCTGAGAATGGGAAGCATCCCCGCTGGCCGTTCTGGATCTTGCAGACCTCCTCCTCACCACAGGACAATGCAGAGCAAACCATCTGGCCGCTGGCTTCACAACGGCACTGGCGAGAGCAGTTCTCGTTCACAAAGGACTCGCCTTGCTGCAGACAGAGAAACCCCGAGCACGTCAGACACAGAAGGAGGTGCAAAGCAGTGCCGTGGGAAGGGAGGCAGACAGGGCAGGGTTTTCACTCACGCTGTAGTAGTTGTCCTCAAAGAGGCAGCCACAGTGGGCCTCGGGCACACAGGTGTCACCGCTGAGGAGGAAGCCAGAGGCACACGCACAGCCCTCCATGCAGGGCTTGGAACAATTCAGCGGGGCTTGTCGGTCAACGCAGGTGGCAGGACAGCCAGTCATGCAAGGGTCATAGTAGCTGTTGGCAGAGCATGTCAGGGCTGCAAAGGGAAAGGAACATTAGGGTCAGCAAAGCCCACAAGGAAGGAAATACCTTCTGCCAAGGGAAAGACCAAAGAAGTGGCCAGAGCTGCAGGACACAGGGAGAGCCCCATTTCCCTCTGGCAATCCAAAGGTGGGTACTCACGGCAGAAGGTGGCATTCCTCCAAGGGAGCAGAGTCACGCCAGCTGCCTGGCATGCGTCAGCATAGGCCTCCAGTGCAGCACACAGCACCTCCTGCACAGCACCCATGGCACAAAGGTCGTAGGTGCAGGTCTCAAAGTAGCTCTGCGGGTTGATCACCGAGTGGCAGCTCTCAAAAAAGCCCGGGCTGGCTGTCAGCATGCCACAGAACTGCTCGGACTCGTAGAGCTTCTCCTCATTTTCTGGGCAGGGCTCCGGCGGTGGGGGCACGCCGCAGCTGGGGTCACTGTCATCGCTTGGGACCTGCCAGCTCTCCCCCAGCGCATTGGAGTCGGCGGCTTGCTGCCCGTTGGGCATCATGTAATCGTCCTCCCTCCTGCTGTTGAAGTTCCCGCACATGCCACAGGTCAGGTTGAAGTAGCTGGTGGGCACCTTCACCTCCACCGAGTGGTCAGCGTCATAGGACACTTGGAGGCTGAAGTCCGTCTGCAGGACGACGTAGCGGCCGCTACTGCTCACGGTGATGGCTCCTGCTGCTGCGCTCACCGGCAAGGTCCGGAACACACCGTTCACCTGGGGCAGACAAGCGCAATGCACCGTGGACTCCCTGGGGCCGTCAGCCCCATGGGAACAGGCTCCCTTCTCACACAGAAACTCCTGCTGCTTGCAGACAAGACCCTGCCCAAAAAAGCCAGCCCTGCCTTGCAGACCCTCCACGCACACGCCAGCCCCACTCCCTTACCAGCACTCGGCTCCTCTCCTGCTTGAGTATGGTAATGCGCTCTCCGTACACATCGACCACGACTTCTCGCACGTAGGACACTCGGGCGTTGCCACGATGCTCGTTCTTTGCCTCAACATTGAAGTAGGGCACGGAGGTGTTGGAGCACACTTTGGCCAGGGTGTACGTGCAGTTCCCCATGAAGTTGTGCCTCACATCGTCAAATGTGTTGTAGTGAGGGTCCCCGTAGATGTGGCAGATGCCGTAGGAGTGATCCAGGCACTGGGGTTTCCCATCCTGCACTCCGCAGAACTGGCCGGCAGGGCACGACGCACTGGAGCACTGGACTTTGCCTCCTCGTGCGGGACACGTGCACTTGGACGAGCAGGTGTTGTCCGTCCAGAACTCTGAGCCCACCGGGTAGTGCTGCCCGTTGTGCCAGCACCCGCACTGCTGGCTGGGCACACATTGCTTGTTGTAGAGCAGGTACCCGCTGTCGCATACACATCCCTCCACGCACGGCAATCCGCATGTAACAGGTGCCATGGGGTCAACACACGTAGCAGGGCAAGCTGCAGCACAGGGCTCGTAGTGGCTGTTGGCTGGGCACGTGATGGCTGCCAAGACAAAAGGAGAAGCAGTGAAATCATCAGTCATCCTACACTCGCCATGCTCTCAAGGTAGAGAAGATTCTCTGGAGGCTGTGGAAGGATGCAATCATCCCACAGCTACACCCAGCTACCAACGTGAGATGCCTTCTGCATAGAAAGAACCACGTTGGCATTTTTAACAACAAAGGGTGCTGCCACACACCGTGGCTAACCAGCTCAGCAAATGGCGTGCTTTCCTGCTTCTGACTTACGGCAGAATGTTGCGTTCCTCCACACGGGGATCTGGACACCAAGCGCCTGGCAGGCATCTGCATAGGACTGCAAGCTGTTGCACAGTGCCTCGCGATCAAGCCCCAGCTCACACAGGTCATAGAGGCACGTGTCGAAGTAGCCGCTGGGACTCAGCACAGAGTGGCACACTTCAAACGGGCCGCTGATGTCTGTGAGGAGCCCGCAGAAGTTGCTGCTGGCAATGACCTGCTTGTCTGTCTCAGTGCATGCTGGCGGGGACTGCGTTCCAGCTGAGCAGCTATAGGTGAGGCAGAGAGAAAGGCCCCCAGGTTATCTGTGGGCTTCAACTGGCACCTCCACTCCACCCCTCCCCGGACCTGCTGGGCCACCACACACACCTGCTGTCGTTGGACACCTGCCAGCTGTTACCCAGGCTGGTGGAGTCTGGCTCCAGCACTCCGTCCGGGTTCAGGAAGTCGTCTGCTGCCATCCCGTTGTAGTTGCCACACATGCCGCAAACCTGCTGCCCAAAGGTGCTTGGAAGCGACACCTCCACCCGATGGTTCCCATCAAACTTCACGCTCAAGCCAAAGTCTGTTGTGACCACGGTGTAGAACCCGCTGGACCAGACCTGCACGCCCACAGATGGGGTGCAGGGCAGCACCTCTGCCTCTCCGTTGACCTGGAAGGACAGAAACCAAGACAGGATTGGAGCATTCCCTTTGGCACGGCTCTCCCTCTGCACAGCCCCACCATTGCTCCCCTTTGTGCTTACCATCACCACGCCACCCTTCCCAAGCCTGATGTGCTGGCCGTACACATCGACGTCCACGTACTGGACGTAGGACACGCGCGTGTTGCTTCCTCTGTGTTCGTTGGCCGCCTCCACGTTGAAGTAGGGCAGTGAACTGTTGCTCTCGCACAGCTTGGAGAGGGTGTAGGTGCAGTTGCCCATGAAGTGGTGTATTTGATTGTCAAACGTGTGGTAGTGAGGATCTCCCTCCACCACACACATTCCTGACAAAGGAAACACCAGAGAAGCCATTCAGTTATCAGCACCTCCCTGCAGCTCTTCTCCCCTTCCTACAGTGCTAAAAGCACTGCGTCCCAACACCCGCCCTCCTCCGTTCACCTGAGCTTGGCTGTGGTGTTGGTGTGGATGTTCCTGTCACCGTTGTGGTGGTGTCGGGGCCTGGCGTTGGGGTCACATCGCCTACAAAAGACACAGTGGCACATGCCAGTCAATCCTGCTTGTGCAGGATTCTGTTCAAGGCAGAAAACTCACTGACTATGCCTCCAGGCATTGCACAGCGTTCATTGCTCAAGGCTTCTTCCTTTCTCCCTCCATTTCATCAGCGTCCCCCTGGCTTCTTCTCTCCAATTCTCCTGGTGCTACCTTGCTGAGTCTCTCGGGAGGGATGGGGCTCTCTCTCGGGCTCAATATTACCAATGACTTCCCACAACTTTAAAGCCTTTCTAACTGATACTGCAAGAAGCACTTCAAGGCAGGCAGGCAGCAAGTCTGAAATCTGTCTTGAGGTGCAGTGTGTTACCACAGCCCAGCATCCCTCTGGAAATGCTTGCTTTCATAAAGGCAAAAAGCTGCCGACACCACAGGCGGGGCCGTGCTGCTTCACCACTAAGGACAAGCAATGCCCTTAAGAAGACACTGTGCAGGACAACACAGGAAAATGCTGTGGAAATTCCAGGCGGTCAGTCTGCAAAATGCCGTGCAAAACCAGCTGATTCCCTGCAGTAGCGAGTAGGAAAGAAATCTCCAATCTCAGGCACCAAAAAAGGGAAGCTGAGCATTCATTTGCAAAGTAGAAATGCAAGAAGTTATTAGTGACAGGTCCTGAATAGAAACCAAGCCGATTCCTCACCGCAGACCGTGCCAGCGCTCCAGTCTCCCAGAACAACCCCTGCCACAGCACAGGCTTCTGCATAAGAACTCAGGTCACTGCACAGCTGATCTGTGCTGCCACCCGTGCCACACTGGTCATAGACGCAGCTCTCAAAGTACTCCTGGGGTGGCAGAACTGCGTGGCACGGCTCAAACGGGCCACTGGCTTGTGGCCATTCCCAAGTACCCCAGTGGCACGACAATGAAGGCAGTGGGCAGGGTGAACACAGTGACTCTTCTGAGAAAAGTGTGCCACTCAAGTACTCTCCCAGCAGCATGGCTGGGGGAAAAGGAAACCACAATCCCATAACTACATCCCTCCCAAACCCTAGGCATTGACCCTGAAGCAGATCTGCATAAATTTGTTCTGCAAAATGATGAGCAACAGTACAAAATGGGCACAGGTCATGGCAATACCTGAGCTTGGTGTGGTGGTTGCTGGGTGTGGAGGTGGTGTTGTGGTGTCTGGCGAGGGTGCCTCAGTTTTTGTTGTTGATGAACCTGTGGCAAGAGAGAGGTAGTGGGGATGAGAATCAATGTGGCTGTTTTCTGGCCAGCTCCCAGTATATTATTGCCAGTGGCATGACAATGAAGGCAGTGGGCAGGGGGTACACATTGACTCTTCTGAGAAAAGTGTGCCACTCAAGTACTCTCCCAGCAGCACGGTCGGGGAAAAGGAATCCACTAGCTATTTACTCCAGCCATCCGTAAGCCTAGTTGTGAGACTTGAAGGAGATCTGCAAGAAATGTGTCAGCAGCAGTACAAAACGGGGACAGGTCATGGCAATACCTGAGCTTGGTGTGGTTGTCGCTGGGTGTGGAGGTGGCGTTGTGGTGTCTGGCGAGGGTGTCTCAGGATTTGGTGTTGATGAACCTGGGGCAAGAGAGAGGTAGTGGAGATGAGAATCAATGTGGCTGTTTTCTGGCCAGCTCCCAGTATATTATTGCCAGTGGCACGACAATGAAGGCAGTGGGCAAGGGGTACACAGTGACTCTTCTGAGAAAACTGTGCCACTCAAGTTCTCTCCCAGCAGCATGGCTGGGGGAAAAGGAAACCACAATACCTTTACTACATCCATCCCAAACCCTAGGCATTGACCCTGAAGCAGATCTGCATAAATTTGTCAGTAACAGTAGAAAACGGGGACAGGGCATGGCAATACCTGAGCTTGGTGTGGTTGTCGCTGGGTGTGGAGGTGGCGTTGTGGTGTCTGGTGAGGGTGTCTCAGGATTTGGTGTTGATGAACCTGTGGCAAGAGAGAGGTAGTGGAGATGAGAATCAATGTGGCTGTTTTCTGGCCAGCTCCCAGTATATTATTGCCAGTGGCACGACAATGAAGGCAGTGGGCAGGGGGTACACAGTGAGTTTTCTGAGAAAACTGTGCCACTCAAGTACTCTCCCAGCAGCACGGTCGGCGAAAAGGAATCCACTAGCTATTTACTCCAGCCATCCGTAAGCCTAGTTGTGAGACTTGAAGGAGATCTGCAAGAAAATGTGTCAGCAGCAGTAGAAAACGGGGACAGGTCATGGCAATACCTGAGCTTGGTGTGGTTGTCACTGGGTGTGGAGGTGGCGTTGTGGTGTCTGGTGAGGGTGTCTCAGGATTTGGTGTTGATGAACCTGGGGCAAGAGAGAGGTAGTGGGAAGAGAATCAATATGGCAGGTTTCTTCCCAGCTGCCAGTGTACCATTCCCAAGCAATCCAGTGGCACGACAATGAAGGCAGTGGGCAAGGGGTACACAGTGAGTTTTCTGAGAAAAGTGTGCCACTCAAGTACTCTCCCAGCAGCATGGCTGGGGGAAAAGGAAACCACAATCCCTTTACTACATCCATCCCAAACCCTAGGCATTGACCCTGAAGCAGATCTGCATAAATTTGTCAGTAACAGTAGAAAACGGGGACAGGGCATGGCAATACCTGAGCTTGGTGTGGTTGTCACTGGGTGTGGAGGTGGCGTTGTGGTGTCTGGCGAGGGTGTCTCAGGATTTGGTGTTGATGAACCTGGGGCAAGAGAGAGGTAGTGGAGATGAGAATCAACGTGGCAGCTTTCTTCCCAGCTGCCAGTGTACCATTCCCAAGCACCCAGTGGCACGACAATGAAGGCAGTGGGCAGGGTGTACACAGTGACTCTTCTAAGCAATCTTTGCAATTCCAAGTGGTTTTCTGGTATCACTGCTGAACCATAGGAACCATGATGGACACCAAGAGAGAAACTACGTAAGATATACAACATCACAGTTTTGTTCATTTGGTAGGAAGCATTAAAAACCAGAGGAAGGTGCAGAGAAGCCATTCAGTTATCAGCACCTCCCTGCAGCTCTTCTCCCCTTCCTACAGTGCTAAAAGCACTGCGTCCCAACACCCGCCCTCCTCCGTTCACCTGAGCTTGGCTGTGGTGTTGGTGTGGATGTTCCTGTCACCGTTGTGGTGGTGTCGGGGCCTGGCGTTGGGGTCACATCGCCTACAAAAGACACAGTGGCACATGCCAGTCAATCCTGCTTGTGTACATCCTGTTCAAGGCAGAAAACTCACTGACTGCCAAAACAAGCAGGCTGCCTTTCCACAGGCAGTGTCACGTACCTGGACAGTATCCCTGTTCAATGGACAGATCATCCAGTGCCACGTCGCTGCGGAAATCTTCCCCCCATTCTCCCTCAAGGACAAGCTAAGGGAAAGGTTGGTTTCCACCGTTAGCTCCGGCCATACACTCCGAGTGACATTCTGCAGCACTCTTTGCATCAATTGGCACTTAGAGCCCCTGTCCCTACCTGCAAGTTTCCTGTACTGTGCACCGTGACCTCTCCCAAGATCCATCTGTCCCCGTGGTTCCCAACGCTTTTCCAGACCTCCAGTAGCTCCCCGTCCCGAGCCACATACACCCGCAGGGCCATGGATTCAGCCACTCCATACATGTGATACCAGAAGCGGAAGCAGTGTGGTCCCGTTGAATTGCACACCGGGCTGGCCAGCTGTGACACAAAGCCATGGTAGGGATCGTCGCCATGCAGGTAGATGTAGTAGCCATCTGAAACAAAGTGCCAGCCATGCCGTCATGCAACATCAAGCCTAGACAGCAGCCCCAGGGAAAAGCCCAGTGCAGTCTGGAGAGCACATCCTGTGGCAGTTTGAGGCAGGGACAGGGAGTCAAGAGCAACACGCTGTCCTTCACTTGCCACAGCTCCCTCAGCACTAAGACACTCTAAGGAAGCCGGCTCTCTGGGCCCTGACAGCTGTATGGCTTGATGTGGGAAACGCCACCACCCCCAAAGCATCCCCTCCATCCTACCATGGCTCTGCAGCTTTGGGGGCACTCATCAGTGGCTGCTGGAGAAGCCAGCGTCCCCTAAAAGAAACCTGTTCCTGTTTCCCTGAGACAGCCCGGCACCACGTCTCATACTACTGGCCCCCTTGCCTGGCAGATCGTTCCCTGCTCCAATCACACCAGACTGATCCCCGGGCAGAAAAGCTGCTTTGAAAGAAGGCTCCGACCCTGGGGGAGACTGCTACAAAGGCCTCTGGATCAGGGTACCTGTGGTTTGTATTTGCTCTTAGAAGCTGTTTGCCACCATCTTTGCAGGGACACCAGTCTGCTTGCATGACCAGCGTGTGCTGCTTGATGTTCCTACCTCCAGTCGTGTGGTCAAAGGAAGGGCCCGTATCTGGAGAGGGCGTTGGTCCCTTGTGCCTTATCCAGTCAATGCTGCTGGACGGCTCCTGGACCCACTCGCAGAAGTCAACATCAAACGTGCAGGAGAAATTGCAGGCTGCTGGGGAAGCTGGATGTGGTGCAGAAAGGAAAGCAGAGTTTTAGAGGTGAGAGTGTGCAAACCTTTCCCCGGTGTCCCGCAGGACACACCTATATCCCTGGCGTGATTACAGCCAGGTGGCGATGGTCAACCAAATGCAATTGCAACCCAGGCATTGCACAGCGTTCATTGCTCAAGGCTTCTTCCTTTCTCCCTCCATTTCATCAGCGTCCCCCTGGCTTCTTCTCTCCAATTCTCCTGGTGCTACCTTGCTGAGTCTCTCGGGAGGGATGGGGCTCTCTCTCGGGCTCAATATTACCAATGACTTCCCACAACTTTAAAGCCTTTCTAACTGATACTGCAAGAAGCACTTCAAGGCAGGCAGGCAGCAAGTCTGAAATCTGTCTTGAGGTGCAGTGTGTTACCACAGCCCAGCATCCCTCTGGAAATGCTTGCTTTCATAAAGGCAAAAAGCTGCCGACACCACAGGCGGGGCCGTGCTGCTTCACCACTAAGGACAAGCAATGCCCTTAAGAAGACACTGTGCAGGACAACACAGGAAAATGCTGTGGAAATTCCAGGCGGTCAGTCTGCAAAATGCCGTGCAAAACCAGCTGATTCCCTGCAGTAGCGAGTAGGAAAGAAATCTCCAATCTCAGGCACCAAAAAAGGGAAGCTGAGCATTCATTTGCAAAGTAGAAATGCAAGAAGTTATTAGTGACAGGTCCTGAATAGAGACCAAGCCGATTCCTCACCGCAGACCGTGCCAGCGCTCCAGTCTCCCAGAACAACCCCTGCCACAGCACAGGCTTCTGCATAAGAACTCAGGTCACTGCACAGCTGATCTGTGCTGCCACCCGTGCCACACTGGTCATAGACGCAGCTCTCAAAGTACTCCTGTGGTGGCAGAACTGCGTGGCACGGCTCAAACGGGCCACTGGCTTGTGGCCATTCCCAAGTACCCCAGTGGCACGACAATGAAGGCAGTGGGCAGGGTGAACACAGTGACTCTTCTGAGAAAAGTGTGCCACTCAAGTACTCTCCCAGCAGCATGGCTGGGGGAAAAGGAAACCACAATCCCATAACTACATCCCTCCCAAACCCTAGGCACTGACCCTGAAGCAGATCTGCATAAATTTGTTCTGCAAAATGATGAGCAACAGTACAAAATGGGCACAGGTCATGGCAATACCTGAGCTTGGTGTGGTTGTCGCTGGGTGTGGAGGTGGCGTTGTGGTGTCTGGCGAGGGTGTCTCAGGATTTGGTGTTGATGAACCTGTGGCAAGAGAGAGGTAGTGGAGATGAGAATCAACGTGGCAGCTTTCTCCCCAGCTGCCAGTGTACCATTCCCAAGCACCCAGTGGCACGACAATGAAGGCAGTGGGCAGGGTGTACACAGTGACTCTTCTAAGCAATCTTTGCAATTCCAAGTGGTTTTGCAGCATCATGGCTGAACCGTAGGAACCATGGTGGAAACCAAGAAAGAAACTACGTAAAATATACAACATCACAGTTTTGTTCATTTGGTAGGAAGCATTAAAAACCGGAGGAAGGTACAGAGAAGCCATTCAGTTATCAGCACCTCCCTGCAGCTCTTCTCCCCTTCCTACAGTGCTAAAAGCACTGCGTCCCAACATCCGCTCTCGTCCATTCACCTGAGAATGGGAAGCATCCCCGCTGGCCGTTCTGGATCTTGCAGACCTCCTCCTCACCACAGGACAATGCAGAGCAAACCATCTGGCCGCTGGCTTCACAACGGCACTGGCGAGAGCAGTTCTCGTTCACAAAGGACTCGCCTTGCTGCAGACAGAGAAACCCCGAGCACGTCAGACACAGAAGGAGGTGCAAAGCAGTGCCGTGGGAAGGGAGGCAGACAGGGCAGGGTTTTCACTCACGCTGTAGTAGTTGTCCTCAAAGAGGCAGCCACAGTGGGCCTCGGGCACACAGGTGTCACCGCTGAGGAGGAAGCCAGAGGCACACGCACAGCCCTCCATGCAGGGCTTGGAACAATTCAGCGGGGCTTGTCGGTCAACACAGGTGGCAGGACAGCCAGTCATGCAAGGGTCATAGTAGCTGTTGGCAGAGCATGTCAGGGCTGCAAAGGGAAAGGAACATTAGGGTCAGCAAAGCCCACAAGGAAGGGAATACCTTCTGCCAAGGGAAAGACCAAAGAAGTGGCCAGAGCTGCAGGACACAGGGAGAGCCCCATTTCCCTCTGGCAATCCAAAGGTGGGTACTCACGGCAGAAGGTGGCATTCCTCCAAGGGAGCAGAGTCACGCCAGCTGCCTGGCATGCGTCAGCGTAGGCCTCCAGTGCAGCACACAGCACCTCCTGCACAGCACCCATGGCACAAAGGTCGTAGGTGCAGGTCTCAAAGTAGCTCTGCGGGTTGATCACCGAGTGGCAGCTCTCAAAAAAGCCCGGGCTGGCTGTCAGCATGCCACAGAACTGCTCGGACTCGTAGAGCTTCTCCTCATTTTCTGGGCAGGGCTCCGGCGGTGGGGGCACGCCGCAGCTGGTGTCACTGTCATCGCTTGGGACCTGCCAGCTCTCCCCCAGCGCATTGGAGTCGGCGGCTTGCTGCCCGTTGGGCATCATGTAATCGTCCTCCCTCCTGCTGTTGAAGTTCCCGCACATGCCACAGGTCAGGTTGAAGTAGCTGGTGGGCACCTTCACCTCCACCGAGTGGTCAGCGTCATAGGACACTTGGAGGCTGAAGTCCGTCTGCAGGACGACGTAGCGGCCGCTACTGCTCACGGTGATGGCTCCTGCTGCTGCGCTCACCGGCAAGGTCCGGAACACACCGTTCACCTGGGGCAGACAAGCGCAATGCACCGTGGACTCCCTGGGGCCGTCAGCCCCATGGGAACAGGCTCCCTTCTCACACAGAAACTCCTGCTGCTTGCAGACAAGACCCTGCCCAAAAAAGCCAGCCCTGCCTTGCAGACCCTCCACGCACACGCCAGCCCCACTCCCTTACCAGCACTCGGCTCCTCTCCTGCTTGAGTATGGTAATGCGCTCTCCGTACACATCGACCACGACTTCTCGCACGTAGGACACTCGGGCGTTGCCACGATGCTCGTTCTTTGCCTCAACATTGAAGTAGGGCACGGAGGTGTTGGAGCACACTTTGGCCAGGGTGTACGTGCAGTTCCCCATGAAGTTGTGCCTCACATCGTCAAAGGTGTTGTAGTGAGGGTCCCCGTAGACGTGGCAGATGCCGTAGGAGTGATCCAGGCACTGGGGTTTCCCATCCTGCACTCCGCAGAACTGGCCGGCAGGGCACGACGCACTGGAGCACTGGACTTTGCCTCCTCGTGCGGGACACGTGCACTTGGACGAGCAGGTGTTGTCCGTCCAGAACTCTGAGCCCACCGGGTAGTGCTGCCCGTTGTGCCAGCACCCGCACTGCTGGCTGGGCACACATTGCTTGTTGTAGAGCAGGTACCCGCTGTCGCATACACATCCCTCCACGCACGGCAATCCGCATGTAACAGGTGCCATGGGGTCAACACACGTAGCAGGGCAAGCTGCAGCACAGGGCTCGTAGTGGCTGTTGGCTGGGCACGTGATGGCTGCCAAGACAAAAGGAGAAGCAGTGAAATCATCAGTCATCCTACACTCGCCATGCTCTCAAGGTAGAGAAGATTCTCTGGAGGCTGTGGAAGGATGCAATCATCCCACAGCTACACCCAGCTACCAACGTGAGATGCCTTCTGCATAGAAAGAACCACGTTGGCATTTTTAACAACAAAGGGTGCTGCCACACACCGTGGCTAACCAGCTCAGCAAATGGCGTGCTTTCCTGCTTCTGACTTACGGCAGAATGTTGCGTTCCTCCACACGGGGATCTGGACACCAAGCGCCTGGCAGGCATCTGCATAGGACTGCAAGCTGTTGCACAGTGCCTCGCGATCAAGCCCCAGCTCACACAGGTCATAGAGGCACGTGTCGAAGTAGCCGCTGGGACTCAGCACAGAGTGGCACACTTCAAACGGGCCGCTGATGTCTGTGAGGAGCCCGCAGAAGTTGCTGCTGGCAATGACCTGCTTGTCTGTCTCAGTGCATGCTGGCGGGGACTGCGTTCCAGCTGAGCAGCTATAGGTGAGGCAGAGAGAAAGGCCCCCAGGTTATCTGTGGGCTTCAACTGGCACCTCCACTCCACCCCTCCCCGGACCTGCTGGGCCACCACACACACCTGCTGTCGTTGGACACCTGCCAGCTGTTACCCAGGCTGGTGGAGTCTGGCTCCAGCACTCCGTCCGGGTTCAGGAAGTCGTCTGCTGCCATCCCGTTGTAGTTGCCACACATGCCGCAAACCTGCTGCCCAAAGGTGCTTGGAAGCGACACCTCCACCCGATGGTTCCCATCAAACTTCACGCTCAAGCCAAAGTCTGTTGTGACCACGGTGTAGAACCCGCTGGACCAGACCTGCACGCCCACAGATGGGGTGCAGGGCAGCACCTCTGCCTCTCCGTTGACCTGGAAGGACAGAAACCAAGACAGGATTGGAGCATTCCCTTTGGCACGGCTCTCCCTCTGCACAGCCCCACCATTGCTCCCCTTTGTGCTTACCATCACCACGCCACCCTTCCCAAGCCTGATGTGCTGGCCGTACACATCGACGTCCACGTACTGGACGTAGGACACGCGCGTGTTGCTTCCTCTGTGTTCGTTGGCCGCCTCCACGTTGAAGTAGGGCAGTGAACTGTTGCTCTCGCACAACTTGGAGAGGGTGTAGGTGCAGTTGCCCATGAAGTGGTGTATTTGATTGTCAAACGTGTGGTAGTGAGGATCTCCCTCCACCACACACATTCCTGACAAAGGAAACACCAGAGAAGCCATTCAGTTATCAGCACCTCCCTGCAGCTCTTCTCCCCTTCCTACAGTGCTAAAAGCACTGCGTCCCAACACCCGCCCTCCTCCGTTCACCTGAGCTTGGCTGTGGTGTTGGTGTGGATGTTCCTGTCACCGTTGTGGTGGTGTCGGGGCCTGGCGTTGGGGTCACATCGCCTACAAAAGACACAGTGGCACATGCCAGTCAATCCTGCTTGTGCAGGATTCTGTTCAAGGCAGAAAACTCACTGACTATGCCTCCAGGCATTGCACAGCGTTCATTGCTCAAGGCTTCTTCCTTTCTCCCTCCATTTCATCAGCGTCCCCCTGGCTTCTTCTCTCCAATTCTCCTGGTGCTACCTTGCTGAGTCTCTCGGGAGGGATGGGGCTCTCTCTCGGGCTCAATATTACCAATGACTTCCCACAACTTTAAAGCCTTTCTAACTGATACTGCAAGAAGCACTTCAAGGCAGGCAGGCAGCAAGTCTGAAATCTGTCTTGAGGTGCAGTGTGTTACCACAGCCCAGCATCCCTCTGGAAATGCTTGCTTTCATAAAGGCAAAAAGCTGCCGACACCACAGGCGGGGCCGTGCTGCTTCACCACTAAGGACAAGCAATGCCCTTAAGAAGACACTGTGCAGGACAACACAGGAAAATGCTGTGGAAATTCCAGGCGGTCAGTCTGCAAAATGCCGTGCAAAACCAGCTGATTCCCTGCAGTAGCGAGTAGGAAAGAAATCTCCAATCTCAGGCACCAAAAAAGGGAAGCTGAGCATTCATTTGCAAAGTAGAAATGCAAGAAGTTATTAGTGACAGGTCCTGAATAGAAACCAAGCCGATTCCTCACCGCAGACCGTGCCAGCGCTCCAGTCTCCCAGAACAACCCCTGCCACAGCACAGGCTTCTGCATAAGAACTCAGGTCACTGCACAGCTGATCTGTGCTGCCACCCGTGCCACACTGGTCATAGACGCAGCTCTCAAAGTACTCCTGGGGTGGCAGAACTGCGTGGCACGGCTCAAACGGGCCACTGGCTTGTGGCCATTCCCAAGTACCCCAGTGGCACGACAATGAAGGCAGTGGGCAGGGTGAACACAGTGACTCTTCTGAGAAAAGTGTGCCACTCAAGTACTCTCCCAGCAGCATGGCTGGGGGAAAAGGAAACCACAATCCCATAACTACATCCCTCCCAAACCCTAGGCACTGACCCTGAAGCAGATCTGCATAAATTTGTTCTGCAAAATGATGAGCAACAGTACAAAATGGGCACAGGTCATGGCAATACCTGAGCTTGGTGTGGTTGTCGCTGGGTGTGGAGGTGGCGTTGTGGTGTCTGGCGAGGGTGTCTCAGGATTTGGTGTTGATGAACCTGGGGCAAGAGAGAGGTAGTGGAGATGAGAATCAACGTGGCAGCTTTCTCCCCAGCTGCCAGTGTACCATTCCCAAGCACCCAGTGGCAGGACAATGAAGGCAGTGGGCAGGGTGTACACAGTGACTCTTCTAAGCAATCTTTGCAATTCCAAGTGGTTTTGCAGCATCATGGCTGAACCGTAGGAACCATGGTGGAAACCAAGAAAGAAACTACGTAAAATATACAACATCACAGTTTTGTTCATTTGGTAGGAAGCATTAAAAACCGGAGGAAGGTACAGAGAAGCCATTCAGTTATCAGCACCTCCCTGCAGCTCTTCTCCCCTTCCTACAGTGCTAAAAGCACTGCGTCCCAACATCCGCTCTCGTCCATTCACCTGAGAATGGGAAGCATCCCCGCTGGCCGTTCTGGATCTTGCAGACCTCCTCCTCACCACAGGACAATGCAGAGCAAACCATCTGGCCGCTGGCTTCACAACGGCACTGGCGAGAGCAGTTCTCGTTCACAAAGGACTCGCCTTGCTGCAGGCAGAGAAACCCCGAGCACGTCAGACACAGAAGGAGGTGCAAAGCAGTGCCGTGGGAAGGGAGGCAGACAGGGCAGGGTTTTCACTCACGCTGTAGTAGTTGTCCTCAAAGAGGCAGCCACAGTGGGCCTCGGGCACACAGGTGTCACCGCTGAGGAGGAAGCCAGAGGCACACGCACAGCCCTCCATGCAGGGCTTGGAACAATTCAGCGGGGCTTGTCGGTCAACACAGGTGGCAGGACAGCCAGTCATGCAAGGGTCATAGTAGCTGTTGGCAGAGCATGTCAGGGCTGCAAAGGGAAAGGAACATTAGGGTCAGCAAAGCCCACAAGGAAGGGAATACCTTCTGCCAAGGGAAAGACCAAAGAAGTGGCCAGAGCTGCAGGACACAGGGAGAGCCCCATTTCCCTCTGGCAATCCAAAGGTGGGTACTCACGGCAGAAGGTGGCATTCCTCCAAGGGAGCAGAGTCACGCCAGCTGCCTGGCATGCGTCAGCATAGGCCTCCAGTGCAGCACACAGCACCTCCTGCACAGCACCCATGGCACAAAGGTCGTAGGTGCAGGTCTCAAAGTAGCTCTGCGGGTTGATCACCGAGTGGCAGCTCTCAAAAAAGCCCGGGCTGGCTGTCAGCATGCCACAGAACTGCTCGGACTCGTAGAGCTTCTCCTCATTTTCTGGGCAGGGCTCCGGCGGTGGGGGCACGCCGCAGCTGGGGTCACTGTCATCGCTTGGGACCTGCCAGCTCTCCCCCAGCGCATTGGAGTCGGCGGCTTGCTGCCCGTTGGGCATCATGTAATCGTCCTCCCTCCTGCTGTTGAAGTTCCCGCACATGCCACAGGTCAGGTTGAAGTAGCTGGTGGGCACCTTCACCTCCACCGAGTGGTCAGCGTCATAGGACACTTGGAGGCTGAAGTCCGTCTGCAGGACGACGTAGCGGCCGCTACTGCTCACGGTGATGGCTCCTGCTGCTGCGCTCACCGGCAAGGTCCGGAACACACCGTTCACCTGGGGCAGACAAGCGCAATGCACCGTGGACTCCCTGGGGCCGTCAGCCCCATGGGAACAGGCTCCCTTCTCACACAGAAACTCCTGCTGCTTGCAGACAAGACCCTGCCCAAAAAAGCCAGCCCTGCCTTGCAGACCCTCCACGCACACGCCAGCCCCACTCCCTTACCAGCACTCGGCTCCTCTCCTGCTTGAGTATGGTAATGCGCTCTCCGTACACATCGACCACGACTTCTCGCACGTAGGACACTCGGGCGTTGCCACGATGCTCGTTCTTTGCCTCAACATTGAAGTAGGGCACGGAGGTGTTGGAGCACACTTTGGCCAGGGTGTACGTGCAGTTCCCCATGAAGTTGTGCCTCACATCGTCAAATGTGTTGTAGTGAGGGTCCCCGTAGATGTGGCAGATGCCGTAGGAGTGATCCAGGCACTGGGGTTTCCCATCCTGCACTCCGCAGAACTGGCCGGCAGGGCACGACGCACTGGAGCACTGGACTTTGCCTCCTCGTGCGGGACACGTGCACTTGGACGAGCAGGTGTTGTCCGTCCAGAACTCTGAGCCCACCGGGTAGTGCTGCCCGTTGTGCCAGCACCCGCACTGCTGGCTGGGCACACATTGCTTGTTGTAGAGCAGGTACCCGCTGTCGCATACACATCCCTCCACGCATGGCAATCCGCATGTAACAGGTGCCATGGGGTCAACACACGTAGCAGGGCAAGCTGCAGCACAGGGCTCGTAGTGGCTGTTGGCTGGGCACGTGATGGCTGCCAAGACAAAAGGAGAAGCAGTGAAATCATCAGTCATCCTACACTCGCCATGCTCTCAAGGTAGAGAAGATTCTCTGGAGGCTGTGGAAGGATGCAATCATCCCACAGCTACACCCAGCTACCAACGTGAGATGCCTTCTGCATAGAAAGAACCACGTTGGCATTTTTAACAACAAAGGGTGCTGCCACACACCGTGGCTAACCAGCTCAGCAAATGGCGTGCTTTCCTGCTTCTGACTTACGGCAGAATGTTGCGTTCCTCCACACGGGGATCTGGACACCAAGCGCCTGGCAGGCATCTGCATAGGACTGCAAGCTGTTGCACAGTGCCTCGCGATCAAGCCCCAGCTCACACAGGTCATAGAGGCACGTGTCGAAGTAGCCGCTGGGACTCAGCACAGAGTGGCACACTTCAAACGGGCCGCTGATGTCTGTGAGGAGCCCGCAGAAGTTGCTGCTGGCAATGACCTGCTTGTCTGTCTCAGTGCATGCTGGCGGGGACTGCGTTCCAGCTGAGCAGCTATAGGTGAGGCAGAGAGAAAGGCCCCCAGGTTATCTGTGGGCTTCAACTGGCACCTCCACTCCACCCCTCCCCGGACCTGCTGGGCCACCACACACACCTGCTGTCGTTGGACACCTGCCAGCTGTTACCCAGGCTGGTGGAGTCTGGCTCCAGCACTCCGTCCGGGTTCAGGAAGTCGTCTGCTGCCATCCCGTTGTAGTTGCCACACATGCCGCAAACCTGCTGCCCAAAGGTGCTTGGAAGCGACACCTCCACCCGATGGTTCCCATCAAACTTCACGCTCAAGCCAAAGTCTGTTGTGACCACGGTGTAGAACCCGCTGGACCAGACCTGCACGCCCACAGATGGGGTGCAGGGCAGCACCTCTGCCTCTCCGTTGACCTGGAAGGACAGAAACCAAGACAGGATTGGAGCATTCCCTTTGGCACGGCTCTCCCTCTGCACAGCCCCACCATTGCTCCCCTTTGTGCTTACCATCACCACGCCACCCTTCCCAAGCCTGATGTGCTGGCCGTACACATCGACGTCCACGTACTGGACGTAGGACACGCGCGTGTTGCTTCCTCTGTGTTCGTTGGCCGCCTCCACGTTGAAGTAGGGCAGTGAACTGTTGCTCTCGCACAGCTTGGAGAGGGTGTAGGTGCAGTTGCCCATGAAGTGGTGTATTTGATTGTCAAACGTGTGGTAGTGAGGATCTCCCTCCACCACACACATTCCTGACAAAGGAAACACCAGAGAAGCCATTCAGTTATCAGCACCTCCCTGCAGCTCTTCTCCCCTTCCTACAGTGCTAAAAGCACTGCGTCCCAACACCCGCCCTCCTCCGTTCACCTGAGCTTGGCTGTGGTGTTGGTGTGGATGTTCCTGTCACCGTTGTGGTGGTGTCGGGGCCTGGCGTTGGGGTCACATCGCCTACAAAAGACACAGTGGCACATGCCAGTCAATCCTGCTTGTGTACATCCTGTTCAAGGCAGAAAACTCACTGACTGCCAAAACAAGCAGGCTGCCTTTCCACAGGCAGTGTCACGTACCTGGACAGTATCCCTGTTCAATGGACAGATCATCCAGTGCCACGTCGCTGCGGAAATCTTCCCCCCATTCTCCCTCAAGGACAAGCTAAGGGAAAGGTTGGTTTCCACCGTTAGCTCCGGCCATACACTCCGAGTGACATTCTGCAGCACTCTTTGCATCAATTGGCACTTAGAGCCCCTGTCCCTACCTGCAAGTTTCCTGTACTGTGCACCGTGACCTCTCCCAAGATCCATCTGTCCCCGTGGTTCCCAACGCTTTTCCAGACCTCCAGTAGCTCCCCGTCCCGAGCCACATACACCCGCAGGGCCATGGATTCAGCCACTCCATACATGTGATACCAGAAGCGGAAGCAGTGTGGTCCCGTTGAATTGCACACCGGGCTGGCCAGCTGTGACACAAAGCCATGGTAGGGATCGTCGCCATGCAGGTAGATGTAGTAGCCATCTGAAACAAAGTGCCAGCCATGCCGTCATGCAACATCAAGCCTAGACAGCAGCCCCAGGGAAAAGCCCAGTGCAGTCTGGAGAGCACATCCTGTGGCAGTTTGAGGCAGGGACAGGGAGTCAAGAGCAACACGCTGTCCTTCACTTGCCACAGCTCCCTCAGCACTAAGACACTCTAAGGAAGCCGGCTCTCTGGGCCCTGACAGCTGTATGGCTTGATGTGGGAAACGCCACCACCCCCAAAGCATCCCCTCCATCCTACCATGGCTCTGCAGCTTTGGGGGCACTCATCAGTGGCTGCTGGAGAAGCCAGCGTCCCCTAAAAGAAACCTGTTCCTGTTTCCCTGAGACAGCCCGGCACCACGTCTCATACTACTGGCCCCCTTGCCTGGCAGATCGTTCGCTGCTCCAATCACACCAGACTGATCCCCGGGCAGAAAAGCTGCTTTGAAAGAAGGCTCCGACCCTGGGGGAGACTGCTACAAAGGCCTCTGGATCAGGGTACTTGTGGTTTGTATTTGCTCTTAGAAGCTGTTTGCCACCATCTTTGCAGGGACACCAGTCTGCTTGCATGACCAGCGTGTGCTGCTTGATGTTCCTACCTCCAGTCGTGTGGTCAAAGGAAGGGCCCGTATCTGGAGAGGGCGTTGGTCCCTTGTGCCTTATCCAGTCAATGCTGCTGGACGGCTCCTGGACCCACTCGCAGAAGTCAACATCAAACGTGCAGGAGAAATTGCAGGCTGCTGGGGAAGCTGGATGTGGTGCAGAAAGGAAAGCAGAGTTTTAGAGGTGAGAGTGTGCAAACCTTTCCCCGGTGTCCCGCAGGACACACCTATATCCCTGGCGTGATTACAGCCAGGTGGCGATGGTCAACCAAATGCAATTGCAACCCAGGCATTGCACAGCGTTCATTGCTCAAGGCTTCTTCCTTTCTCCCTCCATTTCATCAGCGTCCCCCTGGCTTCTTCTCTCCAATTCTCCTGGTGCTACCTTGCTGAGTCTCTCGGGAGGGATGGGGCTCTCTCTCGGGCTCAATATTACCAATGACTTCCCACAACTTTAAAGCCTTTCTAACTGATACTGCAAGAAGCACTTCAAGGCAGGCAGGCAGCAAGTCTGAAATCTGTCTTGAGGTGCAGTGTGTTACCACAGCCCAGCATCCCTCTGGAAATGCTTGCTTTCATAAAGGCAAAAAGCTGCCGACACCACAGGCGGGGCCGTGCTGCTTCACCACTAAGGACAAGCAATGCCCTTAAGAAGACACTGTGCAGGACAACACAGGAAAATGCTGTGGAAATTCCAGGCGGTCAGTCTGCAAAATGCCGTGCAAAACCAGCTGATTCCCTGCAGTAGCGAGTAGGAAAGAAATCTCCAATCTCAGGCACCAAAAAAGGGAAGCTGAGCATTCATTTGCAAAGTAGAAATGCAAGAAGTTATTAGTGACAGGTCCTGAATAGAAACCAAGCCGATTCCTCACCGCAGACCGTGCCAGCGCTCCAGTCTCCCAGAACAACCCCTGCCACAGCACAGGCTTCTGCATAAGAACTCAGGTCACTGCACAGCTGATCTGTGCTGCCACCCGTGCCACACTGGTCATAGACGCAGCTCTCAAAGTACTCCTGTGGTGGCAGAACTGCGTGGCACGGCTCAAACGGGCCACCGGCTTGTGTGAGCACTTCACACTTCCTTTGAGCTGCTTCCTCCTCCGACGCGGAGCAGGACACAGGCGGGACGATGGTCGTCTCACACCTGCAAAGCAGAGAGACAGCCCTGAGCTCTCAGCAGCCTGTGAACCTGAGCCACAACCTTTCCGCACTGGCATGCCATGCAAAACTTCAGTCTTTGTGGAGTCCACGTCCCCCCCCTAAGACAGGGCACACATGGCTGCCATCTGCAAGGGTCAGTGATGCGACCCACGTTCTCCGTTCCCCTCTGGGCATTCACAGGGGTTGAGGAAAATGACAGAGGCAGCACTGACCATGGCAACTTGGGAAAACCACCATGCCCGTGGCCCAGCCTACTTCACTCAGAGGGTCGGGAACGGTGAGATACAGTGCTTGCAATGGGACGCAGGGCTCTGCACAGAGGCAACCGAGGGCAACAGAGCACAGTGCCCTTGGGGAGAGAGCACTGCTCACACCATGGGTGGATGGAGCAGAGGGGGGAGATGCAAGGCCCATATGCCTGATACCTTGGAGCTTCCATGCACTCAAACACGGTTTCCCACAGCTGCCCCTTCCGTCCTTCCCCTTGCCAGCCCTTAACTACCCTCCTCCCTTGGACCACTCACAGCAAACCTCCACCCAGCCTCTATGCAACAGAACCAGCACTCACTTCCACTCATCATCCGGCACCATCCAGCTGGCTCCAAAGTCATTGAAGTCAGACACAACGACCCCATCAGGTCGTTTGAAGTCATCTTCCTTGCTGCCCGTATATGTCCCACACAGCCCACACAGCTTGCCCTTGTGCTTCTCTGACACCCTCACCAGGAGGTCCTGGTCCCCGTCAAACTGCAGCTGCAGGCCCAGCTTGGTAGAAACTTGCACGTAGGAGCCACTCAGGGAAACGTTCACGCTGGGCGTTGGAGAAGCAGGCAGGGTGACCAGAACACCATTGATCTGAAGAAGGAAACAGAGGGAGAGAGAAACATGAATAGACGCCCCTGCGATGACAAGTCTCTGGTCTTCGCTGCAATGCTGATGCCGGGAGTCAGAGGAAGTGACGGCAAGAGAAACCTTGCCCAGGCCTACAAGAACAACAGCTGCTCTACTACCTACGGCACACCAAAAGCTGCAGGAAACCAGCTGGATGCCCACCTCTGTGCCAGCACTCACGTCTGCCTCACTCAGAGACCTGCCGTACTCTTGTGTGAGCACGCCCACAGGCTCAGGGAACCTCAAGCTCTTCTACGGGATTTGTACGCAGCTACGTAATGGTACTTTGGATACCTGTGTTTGCCTGGGCTAAAAATCAGGGGCTTACATAGACATCCTTCTTCTTGCGCAGTGCAATGTGGAGGCTTTCCATGGACAGTGCCACAGAGTTCAGAGCTGTCCAGCTCGGGTTGCCCCGATGTTCGTTGCGAATGGTGATGCTGAAGCCAAGGGAGGAGTTGTCACAGGCCGTCACCACTGTGTAGTTGCAGGAGCCCTGGAAGTGGTGAAGCTTCCCATCGAAGGTGTTGTAATGCGGGTCGCCATAGATATGGCACAGAGCCGTGCTGGCTGGGAAGCATCCCCGCTGGCCGTTCTGGATCTTGCAGACCTCCTCCTCACCACAGGACAATGCAGAGCAAACCATCTGGCCGCTGGCTTCACAACGGCACTGGCGAGAGCAGTTCTCGTTCACAAAGGACTCGCCTTGCTGCAGGCAGAGAAACCCCGAGCACGTCAGACACAGAAGGAGGTGCAAAGCAGTGCCGTGGGAAGGGAGGTTGACAGGGCAGGGTTTTCACTCACGCTGTAGTAGTTGTCCTCAAAGAGGCAGCCACAGTGGGCCTCGGGCACACAGGTGTCACCGCTGAGGAGGAAGCCAGAGGCACACGCACAGCCCTCCATGCAGGGCTTGGAACAATTCAGCGGGGCTTGTCGGTCAACGCAGGTGGCAGGACAGCCAGTCATGCAAGGGTCATAGTAGCTGTTGGCAGAGCATGTCAGGGCTGCAAAGGGAAAGGAACATTAGGGTCAGCAAAGCCCACAAGGAAGGGAATACCTTCTGCCAAGGGAAAGACCAAAGAAGTGGCCAGAGCTGCAGGACACAGGGAGAGCCCCATTTCCCTCTGGCAATCCAAAGGTGGGTACTCACGGCAGAAGGTGGCATTCCTCCAAGGGAGCAGAGTCACGCCAGCTGCCTGGCATGCGTCAGCGTAGGCCTCCAGTGCAGCACACAGCACCTCCTGCACAGCACCCATGGCACAAAGGTCGTAGGTGCAGGTCTCAAAGTAGCTCTGCGGGTTGATCACCGAGTGGCAGCTCTCAAAAAAGCCCGGGCTGGCTGTCAGCATGCCACAGAACTGCTCGGACTCGTAGAGCTTCTCCTCATTTTCTGGGCAGGGCTCCGGCGGTGGGGGCACGCCGCAGCTGGTGTCACTGTCATCGCTTGGGACCTGCCAGCTCTCCCCCAGCGCATTGGAGTCGGCGGCTTGCTGCCCGTTGGGCATCATGTAATCGTCCTCCCTCCTGCTGTTGAAGTTCCCGCACATGCCACAGGTCAGGTTGAAGTAGCTGGTGGGCACCTTCACCTCCACCGAGTGGTCAGCGTCATAGGACACTTGGAGGCTGAAGTCCGTCTGCAGGACGACGTAGCGGCCGCTACTGCTCACGGTGATGGCTCCTGCTGCTGCGCTCACCGGCAAGGTCCGGAACACACCGTTCACCTGGGGCAGACAAGCGCAATGCACCGTGGACTCCCTGGGGCCGTCAGCCCCATGGGAACAGGCTCCCTTCTCACACAGAAACTCCTGCTGCTTGCAGACAAGACCCTGCCCAAAAAAGCCAGCCCTGCCTTGCAGACCCTCCACGCACACGCCAGCCCCACTCCCTTACCAGCACTCGGCTCCTCTCCTGCTTGAGTATGGTAATGCGCTCTCCGTACACATCGACCACGACTTCTCGCACGTAGGACACTCGGGCGTTGCCACGATGCTCGTTCTTTGCCTCAACATTGAAGTAGGGCACGGAGGTGTTGGAGCACACTTTGGCCAGGGTGTACGTGCAGTTCCCCATGAAGTTGTGCCTCACATCGTCAAAGGTGTTGTAGTGAGGGTCCCCGTAGACGTGGCAGATGCCGTAGGAGTGATCCAGGCACTGGGGTTTCCCATCCTGCACTCCGCAGAACTGGCCGGCAGGGCACGACGCACTGGAGCACTGGACTTTGCCTCCTCGTGCGGGACACGTGCACTTGGACGAGCAGGTGTTGTCCGTCCAGAACTCTGAGCCCACCGGGTAGTGCTGCCCGTTGTGCCAGCACCCGCACTGCTGGCTGGGCACACATTGCTTGTTGTAGAGCAGGTACCCGCTGTCGCATACACATCCCTCCACGCAGGGCAAGCTGCAGTCGTATGGTGCCATGGGGTCAACACACGTAGCAGGGCAAGCTGCAGCACAGGGCTCGTAGTGGCTGTTGGCTGGACAAGCTAGTGCTGTGTAATGTAAAAGATTAATCCAGAAGTTTATATTTTAAATATTAAAGTATTTGGATTTATTAAATTGCATATTCTGTTTTGTTCTTCAGTCTTTAGGACACCTTGGAATCCTGTGGCAATGCAATCCATGCCTTTTTGCTTAACTGCCCTTTAGCATATTTTATGGCTCCTAACAATTTCTCTCTATGAGAATTTCCTATATGATCTTCTATGCTGGTCATTGTTTGCCTTTTTTTCCAGCTGGTTATATCTGTGTCATGTTATTTGTCCTTGTCATGTAACCTGTTTAGACTATAGTTCTGATAATTCTAATCATGTCATAGCTTCTTGATTCATATTTTTTCACTCACTGGAGATCTTTAATGTTTGATAAACAATCGTGATATACATGCATCCTATACTCTTTTTAGACCTTGCTACACATGTCACAAGTTAAAAATAAAACTAATTCGAAGTTCTTCTAATGTCAGTCTTCAGTCTCTTTTCAGCTTCTGTACACTTACTGCATGTAGCTCAGTTTTTAATGACATGCCCTCACTCTAATTTTGTCTTCTTCCTTAAGCAATAGAGATCACATAATTACGTTGTATTTTTCCCTGTCTTAATTAAAACTGACCCAGAAATTAGTTACTGAGGCTGGCAGAGGACAAAAGCATAGTTTGAAATCGGAGCAGGGCAAGCAGAAGAGATCCCACAAGTTCTGCAGCAGAAAGAACAGCTACAGAGAAGGGTTATTCCTGCTTAGAAACCACAGAATTTATGGAGGAGAAAACCTCAATAATATTCTTAGCAAATAAAATGCTCCAGCAAGAGATTACAATGGATTGTGAAACAAATGTTCAGAGTATATTTAGCATCTTTCTTCAGTCTCCTCATCTCCCTCAGGGCAGAGGGCACACAGGCCACAGAAGAATATACTGATTCCTAGATCATCAATCTCACTTCATCGAGCATTTTTCTGCATTGTCCTGCTCTTTTTACACTGGTATAAATTCTGAATTTCAGACACCTTCACTTTTCGGTCTCAGGTCTATTCTTCCCAACAGTTTTGATTTATCATTCCTGCAGAAGCAACAGCTGACCCCCTGACCAGCTGCCTAGTCTATGTTTCTTCTACTTAGCCAGCTTCAGCATGTACTTCCACTTTTCCATAGCCTCATAAGCACGTTCTCATTTTCCTTTCTAGAACCTACTTTCCTTCTCAAAATCCAGGGCCTCTCTTTTACTCCATTCAGCATTTCTCTCCAGTTCTTAATCAAAGCACCTTTCTCATTGCCCCAGACTGCCTAGATTCCTTATCCACATATGCAGCTCTGCCCTCCATCTGCTCTGACTTGTATCCCTTCTGTGTTCACAAATCTGATATCTATCTTCATGTGCTTCTGCTGGAGTTGCTGCAAGAGGAGAAGGCATAACTTCCTGTCTGTTGCCTGGTTCCTGGTCACCATGCAAGGTAGAGAGGCTAAGAGAATAGAGTAAGGTAGCTCAGCATCTCTACGGGGAGCGTGGGTGAGGCTCTCACGTATCTACTAAACATGTGCAAAATGAGATTTTTTTTCCTCACAGACACTAAAGTTCAAGCATAGCTTCCTCAGGAGGTAAAAAGCCCTCAAAGTCAAATGTTTCTGATATACTTAATACCTCTGAACAAAAATATAGGAACAGCAGTAGAATTCAAAAGAAAATCTCCCTATTTTGGTCATTCTTTCGAAAGAACTCAAGGACGCAAGCTGAGAACTACACATGGTCCTGAAATCTTTAGCCTGATCAGTCAAGATTCACAGTGTTACAGGAATTTAAAACAGTTTCTTGCTCTTGCTCTCTCTTCAGGCAGCCCTAATTATATCCTCCTGACAAATGGTAATTTCCAGTAATCTCTGGTACGTACGGCAGAAGGTTGCATTTCTCCATGGTGTCAGCTGGACTCCTGCAGCTTGGCACATATCTGCATAAGCCTGCAGGTTTTGACAGAGGGCTTCGCTGCTCAAATGAAGCTCACAGAGATCATACTGGCAGTCTTCAAAATTGCTCTGTGGATCGACTACTGAGTGACAGTTCTGGAACGGACCACTGGGATCAGTGATCAGACCACAGTATTCACTGCTTTGGATGATATGTTTTTCATCAGCAGTGCAATTTGGGGTATGGCCATCATCTGGCAAGCACCTAGTGTGGAAAAAATAGATGTGGAAAGATGTCACTGGTGAACTTTGCATACAATTGCACTCAAGATACTTTTCAAATCCCAACCAATAAAACTACTGGCACAGACTAAGGATGACTTTTTAAATCTCTACATTTCAAATGGGATAGGAATTCAGATTTTAAAATGATCTCAACATTACAACTTTTGTAATGTCTAAGAAACTTAAACATTAATTTTGGTTTTAAGTCTAAAAATAATCTTTGCACGAATAAGACAACTGGGAAGGGCAAATAGAAAGTAAAAGCATTCAAAGCTAAACATCTATCATCATGAAATGACATACTGTATAACTATAAAGTAAACAGTGAAGTATCTCAGAAGAGTTCAAGCAGGATCATTAATATGCTACAACAACTGCTGGAATCCTAGTGGGCAATTGCAGATGTATTCAATTTTTCATTTTTTAAGTACACTTGAATTTGTTACAAGTTTTTTCCCAGATATGTGAAAGGACTGTACAGGCAAGAATATATTTTAGTCCATATTCTTGGACATTTTGGACATGACATACCACAGCTGCTTAAAATACTGCTCCTTACATAACTCCCAGTTAAGGCCAAACATCTTGATTGGAGTCCTACCTTGAGTCATTGTTAACTTGCCAACTGTTTCCAAGGCTGGACGAGTCTGTTTCCATCCCTCCATCTGGGTTAAGAAAGTCATCTTTTTTGTCCCCATTATAATTTCCACATATCCCACAGACTTTCGATTTATAGGTACTGGGAAGAGTGATTTCTGCTCTATGATTTCCATCAAACTTGACCTTCAGCCCAAAGTCAGTAGTGACCACAACATATTGACCACTGAGGGAAATGCTGACACTATTGCCCAAGGTCAGAGGGAGTACCTGGCTGATTCCATCCACCTACAAGGACAGAGAAGGACAATCATTATAATCACTTTAAAATAGCTATTTTTAATGGCGATTTTCTTAGACCATGATCCTATACAGAGCATAGGGCTTGTACAGTGAGCCTGTACTAGCATTAAGAGCACACAATATTGTGTTTCTGGGTTTTTCTTAGGTCTTACATAACGTGAATGCTATACATGAACAAAGATCTTGGGCCTCAAGACTTTAGTAAAACATCTACTTATCTTCCAGGTCTCAGCTGTGGTCAAAGTAAGCTTGGTGAACTAGACCCAGCTGGAAAAAGTCCAAAAAATTATCAAAAATTATCTTTCTGCTTACAGGCTTACTGGCTCAAACAAGAGCATGGCATAAGATTTAAAAGGTGCAGCTAGAATGGAATCTTAGAAAATTTTCAGGATTGGACACATCTTGAAAACATTTTTTCTTTTTTTTTTTCTTTTATTTTTCTTTTCCTTTTTTTCCTCCTTTTTCTTTCTTTTTAATTTTCACATGTGAAATGCCAGCAATAGGAAAGAAGTGTTCAAATAAAATTTTCAATTTATTTTTAATTCCATAAAACTAACATATTCTTTGAATATATGTTCTTATTACATAATTAATATATATATTTTTAACTAAGAAACATACATAATGAAAACAATAAATACAATGAAGAGATAGAAAAGATAAACTTTTGGACAAATGCAGATATCTAGCTCACTGTGCATCTAAGTTGTAAAAAGTCTATGTTTATATTTAAATCCTTATCTCCTGTCTTATTTTCTTTATAAGAAAAATGATAATGAAATAAGGTGATCGATTCAATTATTGTGGATTTTAAATCAAACTTGTATCTGCTACCTTGGCCCTTCCAATGGTCTTCATGGAAATAAGTTATAAAGAAGACTGAAAATAGAGCAGCTGGTCCAGTGACACAATCAGAGTGATGTGAGTTATCAGGCAGTCTTTCTGGGGCTCTCATCTGGCTGTGCTTTATGGCAGGTGCCAGGTACTAAGTAAAATTAGCAGTGATGCAGAACAACTAGAAGTCAGAGGTAGGCACGCAGCTTTACAGTCTGGGAAATATCCACCAGCACAAGCTTTGTTAATGAAAGGCCTTTTGTATTCTCTGCTGCAAATAAAACTTAGGAATGGACGGCAATCCCAACTGCTAGCAACACAGCACAACATTTTGTATTTTCTTTCTGTTCTGAAATCTCGATGATTGCCTTAAGGAACCCATAGTACTACTGTTCCCAAATATTTGACTGTCTTCTAAATATTGCTTTATGCTTGCCTAGAAATTTGCAGCCACTGTACTACGGTTTCTTCAAAGTCTGATTTACTGCAGTAGATTGTGGGATCTAGCCTTACCTCAACAACTCTGTTTTGACCCAGATTGATCCTGTAGCCATAAACATCGATGTCCACAGATTGGACATAGGACACATGAGTGTTGCTTCCCCTGTATTCGTTGGCAGCTTCCACGTTGAAGTAGGGCAGTGAGCTGTTGCTCTCACACAGCTTGGAGAGCGTGTAGGTGCAGTTGCCCATGAAGTCATGACGCTGCTTATCAAAAGTTAAATAATGAGGATCTCCATGTATAATGCAAGTTGCTTCTGGAGACAGGAAAACAGAGTATGTTTCATTAACATCCAGAAAAGCCAGCTCATACCTCCATTGTGCTGTGAGAAAATATAGATGTCCCCATTTCATAGGTTACATATGAAAGAACTGAAACAGCAAAGACAGATTTTTATGGCCTGAGGCAGTGCCACAGAAACACACTCAGATAAATTAACTCAAGTAACACTGGTAGAATGCACAGCTGCCCTCCTCTAAATCACTGACTATCACATGTGATTTGTTAAAATTACCTGTCACAGCAGGTGGCATAGGTGCTGTTGGTGTAGGTAGTGGTGGTGCAGGGGTGCTGACTGCATCTGTCAGTAGGGAAGATAAGGTAACAATATATAACATTACATAACATTACACATTAAACACTATATACAAACTGACATACACAAGTTTCAACTTACTCCTCACCAGCTTTAAGTTAGAAGACTTACACTGAAGAAAATGGAACTGTCTACATTTAAAAATTAGGACATTTGGCCTTTTTGAGTTCTTAGGGAAGCTCTGACTACTAACTTGGTGACAGTGACTGAGCTTGTCCTTGCATGCTTCCCTGAAACTGGAAATGTATTTACAATTGTAACTGTGATTCTCTATGCTTTGTATGTTAAAGCATGAAGGTCATGCTCTCTGCAAGTGTTGGCAGGTCTGAAAATGAGCAGCCTGCCAGCAGATGCCATGTAACAGTAACAAATTACTCTCAGGGCACTGGTGGTTTCTAATCAGAGTTTAATTTTTTTCTACAAAATGGCATTAATTTCTTAGGAATGTAAGGAATGTAGGAGCTTTCTGCTGACAGATATAATAAACAGTGTTGTTGAGTCTTTGCTGATGCCCAATACTGCTTGTATTAATACGTATTAGCATCTTCTCCATCTATTCTTTATCCATCACAAAGACGTATCTTAAAACAAGTGGTCCTCTTGGTGTATTTGCATATGTGTGCTAACAATCCTGTACTGTAGGCACACAGTTTAGCAGAAGGAGGAGCTCTTTACTAGTCACTTGGGATTACATTAGTGCACCATCCGGTGGCTGAACTGTGTGTTAATAAGCCTGGAAAAATGAACAACTGGCTCTCCAAATGGGCCCCGAGTATTTTCAACAGAATTTTACAGAAAATTATGTATTCCGAGGTAATGCACATGAATGGAACTCGTCATTATCCAAAAATCCTGGCTAGAGTAAATTTAAAACATTTCATTGATATTATATGAATAGTGTTTCACAGAGAAATCTATTAAGACTTGATGTTTTTTTGTACCATATTCAGCATATTTCTTGAAGAATTCACATCTTGTAAGTTTTGCATTCATATCAGCAAAGGTGATATTAAATTGTAACTCATTTCTGGCTCCGAGTTGTCCACAAATTGTGCAGCACTAGGCTGATTTATTAGAATGTCAGAGATCAAACTCAAATTACTGATTTATAATCAGGTATCATGGTGAAAGTAATCACTACTGATTCATCAATATATATATATTAATTACATATGTGACAGTTCTGTGTATTTTCTGGCTCATATTGGACAGAGATTTGCTGTAAAAAGATATTTAGAACATTGAAATCAGGAGTTGGACTCTATGATCCTTGTGGGTCCCTTCTATCTCAGGTTATCCTATGATCCAAGACCTTGGCTGAGTTTAGAGATGCACTTCACACTTAAAGTTTGTTGGACCAGGTGAAAATGATCACATTTACAGAAAAGTGAATGGCTTAGTCTCTATGTTTGAGGCATTGAGGAAAGAACTGCGGAGGATTTACAATAAAAGAAGTAACATTGCTATGAAGTGAGCTGGAAAGCTTTTTCCATTTCTCTTTTGTGGCTTGGAATTATGACAAGAGACACTTGTCAACTGCTTAAAGGGAGATGAGGACACAAACACAGACTTACCACAGGGTCCATCTCTTACTCTCACATTGTCCAGTGCCGTATCTGCATATTCTGTCAGTCCTCGGACAGCCTCAAAAATGACCTAGGCAGGATGCAAAGTGAATTGCTGCATCAGTTGTTCAGGCATGTGTGAGAGAATTTCCCTCAAAATGTTTTCAGAATTATCTTTCTGGTCTATTTTTAAGGGCATTCAGGGAACTAATAGTAGAACAGTTTTCCTAGTGTTCTTCAGAATTAAAATATATAATATGTAATAGGGCAAAAACATAAAAAGACTGTTCTCTATCATTTATTTATTTCTTTGTTTTTTGGCTGGTTACTGACTTTTAAAAATTGTCTGGATTGCACAGAGCAGTCCTGTGTAGTGAGCATCCCGAAGCTTAAACCTAAACTCACGGAAGAATAACATGTAGAAGTCTTTTGCAGAAAAAGTGAGCCTAACGTCCTTGACATCATGATAAAACGAGGGAAGGAGAGAATGTGGAAGGAAAGAAACATAAATCAAATATATTTTATCTCCTAGCTAACCTCAGGGAGTTGTTTGGGTTTTTTTCTCTTAGTTTATTTGCACAAAGCACAATGGCATTATAATTACAAAATATAAACCAAGAAAATCTTGGTCATCATTTCTAGCTTGGATGTACAACATTTTACAGCCTGCAAAGAGAGAGCAAATTGTAAATGCTGACATTGTACAAATAAATTTATTCTGAAAATATGTTACCTTTATCTTTCTCTGTGTTGGAAAAGTGTGTGTGACAGCACCATAAAGCCAAGAGGAACTTTGGTTTCCCTTCCGACTCCATGCTGTAAACTCCCCTGTGCTGTCTTGGATAAGCACTCTCAGTTCATTCCTGTCTTCTGACCCATACATATAGTACCAGAAGTCTACGCATATTTTTTCAGAAGCCACAATATCTGGGCTCTCAAGCCTGTTAGTGTCGAATGGGATCAGATTACTTGCTTCTTGGTAGATGAAGTAGCCTTCTGCAGAGTGAAAAAACAAAAAATGTCTGAATCTTTCTAACTTGTTAGGTGTCACTTAAAACTGAAATGCATCTCAACTCTGGAAGAATTCAAGCACATCATTAGCAGTACAAAGAAGCAAAGTAGCAAATGATTGAAATTTTCACTGCAACAGTTAGCACTGTGTAGTTAGCTAAAGTACAGTAAGAACTGGAGAGCAAAGCAAATATATCCTATCTCCTATGGACAGTTAGTTTGGGATTGCAAATGCAGATGGAGGCTTCTTTCAAGAGATAGCATGTCCAGACACAGTGCCCAACTTATCCTTGTTTAGTTTCCACTTTCCTCCAAGAAAAATAATGTGCATCTACTGTACACTTCTTCTTGCAAGATATGGTCTAACAATAAACAAATTTTTGACATAAGGAAAATTCCAACCCCTCAATATTTGGTTTTGTCTCAAAGCAGGAGGGTTATTTCCATTGAAATGTGAGGCTTGACATTATCAAAAGGAATCGATCTTTTCAAAATTCAGAATCTCACAATATTTGCTTTTGGGATTTAAATACTTTACTTTTAACTTGTTAATTGTTAGATCACATTTTCCTTTACTAAGGCTGCAGCTTTTTGCTTCCTATCACCTCTCTGCACCAAAACACTGTATTTTGTCAGTGCAGTTATGTCAAATCTCTCCCATCTGACTATGGAAAGGAGTGAAAAAGAAATGACCATTTCTACTTTAAAAAGCATTACTCCACACATAGTATCTAATATTTTGTCTACTTTTTTAAGGCTTTATTAATAATTAGCAAATGGAAGTAGCACTTGAAGGTATATGAACCATGCCAATTGAAAAAATACACATGTAATAAGTGACCTTTTCCATCATGAGATAATTACTGAAAACAGTATGGCTACAGATTGATCTCCTATAAAAGAAGCTTCTAATTTCTGACTGTAATTTCCAATCTTGTAATGCTTTGCTAGCATGAACATTATCTAGTGTCAGTACAGCGATCGTTACATGTCTTGGCATCAGCTGATATCACTGTAATTTGATGATAAAACTTCTCTGAGTAATGATCTGTTGAATGTGACTGCATCCTCGGTGAGATATTACACAAGAGGTAGTTAGCATTATTCTAGTTTCTTTTACTGCACTGATAAATATTTCCAACCTATGATGGGGCAAGCCAGTTTAATCTTGTGACTGAACATGGTGAAAAGTTGAAGACAGATATCACCCAAACCGACACATTTTGAAGGATTTAATTGATCTCTTCATAAAAAAGAAAGAGGAAAGGTAGTCAGGCTATATCCAAAATGAAATACACACTGACATCAACAAGCACTTACTTCCATCAGGATAGTCTCCATCAGGACCTGTTCCATCCGTTGGAGTCTCATGTTTTGTTCGTATCCACACTCCCTGGTTCACAGTGCAAGGTTGGGTCCAGTCACAAAATGGTCTCGAGTTGTTGTTAAAATCACATCTAGTGAGGTAAGCTGAAACACAGAGCAAGGAAAGTAAGGAAAAGGAGACACTATATTCAAAACCTGCCTTGGTCGTTAACAGCACTATGAGCAGTTACCTGTTTCAGGATCCCATGTTCTCACACTACCAGTTGGTCTTTGTTTGATCCTGCCAAGAAAAACAACACAGTGAAATCCCTACAGATTTAGTGACGCAAAAATTTTGTAAGTGTTGGGACTAACAGAGGTCATCAGGTGTTCTTACTGAATTACCGCCCAGAATCAGGGCCTCGTCTGTGTCTGTCTCCTTCCCTTCCCATCTGTCCTTACTGCTTCATTAAGAAGTTCTGAGAGCTAGAAAAATGTGTGATATGTTCACCTCATCTGAGAGAAGAAGGATCCTCTCTCTGTATCCCTCTGAAATGAAGGGAGACCAGCTAGGCACGGGGAGCTACAGGAAGGATGGCAAGGTACAGCAAAGTTTGGGCAATACCAGAATTACACAAAAGACTTGTTATGAAACTTGTTTGTAGCATTGGCATCCTCACTGCTGCTAAGCAAGGTATGTAAATGCCAGTAAACTGGTATGTCACAAAACTGTTATTTATCAGAAGGCTTATGTTTCCTTTAACCACTACAGATATCTCATAACCATGAACTATCATCTCATTCAGTTTTTCCTCTAAGTTATCCTAAAAATGCTACAGGGCAACAGCAGTTAGAAATACATATAGTCCTTGCAGTGCTACAAAGCCTGCAGAGGCGAGATGACATAAAACCAAAGCTTTGTCACGGATCACAAGAAAGATGCTCTGTTCACTGGGTGTTTTGCATCAGAAAGGCATTTCCAGGACTGCAAGACTACAATAGCTGCTTTTGACATGTTCTGATGGTGGTCTACAGCTTTATGAGGCAGGGTCTAGTTCCCACTTCTGTGTTGCCCACCATCCCTATTGTCCTTCTTGTACGTGACACAGTATAATTTGTCCTTAAGCAAAGCCAGCACAGCAGATGCCCCCACAACCCATCAAAATCTAAGCAGAGAGATTCAGAAATACTAGAGAGATACATAGTGTCATATACAAACAGTATCTACTTCATCACTGAAACACACCAAGCAACTGGAAAACAGACAGAGCTGAAGCTAAGGAGGAGAGAGGTGTGAAGATAAGTGAATTAAGAACATTTTCTTCTTTCCCTACATGGCAGCTGTAACAAGTTGCCATTTAATCTCTGTTCCATGCCATCTTTAAACCGCTACATATCAGAGTCCTAAGGCAAAGGTTACTGTAGATATACTTAGAAAGTCAGAAGCGTTTGATAACTGCAGCAGATCTCCCCTTTGAATCTGCCATTAGAAGTGTACAGGTTACACATTCTTTCACAGTAACCACCACAGAATTTGGCAACAACAAAACTCAACTGTTTCCTCTTTTTACAAATGGCATGGTTTAATCATACAGCATTCCTGCACAAAATGCTAAGAAAGGACATTTACAATTAACGGTAACTAAGTTTCTTGAACTAAGGTACATTCAGCATTGTGCTACTTACCCTGTGGTATTCAGCACCGAAATACAGAAGAAAATTAAAATGCATTGTAAGTGCCAGAGGGTCCCCATGCTAGAAGACAGTCAAGTCTTCTGTGTGGTACAGTCTACATAGTAATCCACGAGCTGTACTCAGCAGCAGTGAGGACGATTTACAGTGCAAGAGAAGAATATATTGACTGAAGGGTGGAGGTGACTGTAAAACCTTTGTTCAGCTCTGTTTGGCTGGGCTGCCTGGGTAATCTACCTGAAGAAAAGTACATATTAACAGAAAGTTCATATTCTGCATGAGTTATTTTTACACCCTTCATTGTCTACTGGAGAAAACTATTTGATTCTTGAAATGTTTATTGTTACTCCTGTATATTTAAAATGTTTGTATTTTCATAGAGAATACTTCTCATGCTGATAGCAAGATAACATCGGTCATTTTAAAACTCCTGTCCAGTTTTCATTTCTAGTGTAAGTGTTCTTTTGTTCACCGATTTTTCTCCCTTCTGTTAGTTGTAAGCAGAGAAAAGGCAGGTTGGTTGTTCCCTCTGCCAGCTGGGCCTATGCAGACCAGCGTCCCTTCTACTAGGGTCTGTAAGAAATGGCTTGAAGGCTGTTACATTTCCTATGTCAGCTAGATTTTGAGTGATAAGAAATGAAGGAAAATCAGAACATGTACAGTATTTCCTTACATTGCCTTCAAAACCCTGACTACTGCTTTTTTTCCCCTTTTTTTCCCTCATTTTTTTTTCTTCTTATTTATTTATTTATTTGTTTATTTTAATCTAAAAGGAATATGGCTCTGGAAGTAAGGATTTCTTACTGTAATTCTGAGGATTAAGATCATTAAGGCCTCATTATTTAAATGCCTAGAACTTCCTCAATCCCATGTCCTTTACTCAGCACAAAATACTTCCATTTGTCATTAAGGTGTAACTGAGGAAGTGCTTACAGAAACAGGAAAAAAAGGAAGAATAAAGGAGGCTGAGCAAGACCATAAATATATTAGAGGTTAGTTTCCATTTCCTGAGGCTGTATTCTGCTACAAGCTCTTGACCTACAGGACCCCTTAAAAGCCATCAGATGGATATAGTTGATGTTCACTTGGCAGGTAAGCCTCCCTCCGCAGAAAAAATCTCCCTTGAAAATGCATGCATTTTTACCAGTCAGTACACAAGAAGGAGCATTTCTGTGACTTAGAGATAGAGGACATTTACTCCCTGAATAAAACCATTGCCCACAATTTTCCTATTCGGTTGAGGAGACCTCAGTGTGAGGGGGAGAATATAAGCAACCTTCAACTACAAGTTGCATCGAGCACATTGTATTTACAGCAGGGCTGCTGAGGTGTCAGTCCAGCAAGTGGTAATCCAGGCAATAGATGTCCTTGGAACATTTTATGGATTCCTCGTGAATCTGATGTTGCACTGTATGATTCTGAGTCCACCTGCAAACAGCCACACAGTTTTTCCTGGTGAGGAGATACTGCCCACCTTGCAAAGAAATCAACAACTGGTAAATCCGTCCGTTCTAATGATGCAATATCTTTGAGCCCTCCTCACCCATGGCAAGTATGAGACATTGAACACCATGAACACTCCTATCAAAAGAGCAAGTCATGCTTTCCAGCAGTGCTGGGTGGCGATTTCCACCACCTTGTCACTTCTGTTTAATGCCAGCTGAGGTACGCTGACTGGTGACCTGGAGTACTGATAGTAGGGTCTTTTCAGCAAAGGACACATACTACTATAAAAGTCTACTTTAATATATGGAGAAAATTCCAGTGGGATGTGAAGCTATCTTGCATTCCTGATCACGTTGCTGCATGCTATTTCTCAGCTACGCCTGAATGCTACGTATCCCTGAAAGGCATCTGTTTATTTGTCTAAAAATACTGATCTGGACTGCACACCAATCTGTAGAAATGTTTCCCTGTTTGCAGCCAGCACTAGAAATTCCCCTCCATTCTGCCTGTTGACAAGGCAGATACTGTGGCTACTCAAGGGAACTGCTTTCAGGTGACACAAGCAGATTGCCAACATAAAATCTTCAGGAGATGAAAACAGTAGGGCTTTTCAATGGACGATGTGAGCTGTAACATCCTCAAAAGAACAAAGATATACCGTATATAACTTTATTTCTGGCTGATGGGACTCTTAAAGAGACTATTATTTATTTTTTTCATAATAAAGCTCTGTTCCTTTGGAGATAGAATTAGCTTGATATTCCAGCAAAGGGACAGCAGAATGAAGATAACCAAAAGAGAAAATTGTCTCCAGCCAGGAAAAGCATCCCTGGTCAACTTGAGTTCCATTTGTGCCTTTGTTTTTCTGATCCCAGCTCTATGCATCCATACAGTATTCCTATACTATTCCTGCTTCCACTGCCTGCACCTTTCCTTCCTACACCTCAGTTTGACTGGCAGGCCCTTGCCCAGCCATGCCAATTTTCTGCTTTCCCTGTTTGATTTCTTATACATGAAAATGGAGAGCTCTTGTATTCTATGAAAGGTGTCCTTATAGAGTTTATAGAGTTCTGTTATTTTCCTCTGTCCCTAAGAGCAGTTTCCAGGGAATTCCATGCACCAATTCTTTAAACAGCTGGAAATTCTCTCTTCTGAAGTTCGGGGTCCTGACTTTGATCTTTGCCAGCTTTGTATTCCTCAAGATCATGAACTCAACCAAGGTGTGGCTGCTACAGCCAGACTGCCTCTGATCTTAACCTCTTTGATGTGTTCAACTGCATTTGTCAGAACTGGGTCCAGTAACGCTTCTCCTCTAATTGTTTTTTCTAACACATGGACAGGAAGTTGCCTGCAACGTATGTCAGGAGTCTCCTGGATTACTTACAGTCTGGTGAATCTTTTTCCCAGCAAACATCCAGGTTGCTGAAGCCCTACATCAGGGTGAGTGACTGGGAACCAGATGTAGCTGAAACAAGAAGGCCTCATCAGCAATTAGCAAATATATAATAAACATGTTTATTTGATTTTCAGGCACTGTAAATAAATCTGTAAAGCCTAATAAGAAATAATTACATCAATTTTAATTGAAATGGTACAAATCAAGTAGATACAGTTTGAGTAGCAATAATACAACTGATTTAATTTCAGTAGAAGGATCTATCTTTCACTTCACTCTTTGTTTCAATTCAAGCAGTAATAAAGTTCTTCCTCTGCCCTAACAAAAGTATGAGTCAGATTTTGTAGCACGCAAGACCTCTGTCACAGTTTCTGGAATTCCCAGTGCCCTCTGCTTTGCCTTTATTGATGCTGTGTATGAGAAGGCACTGTCAGACCTCTGGTTCCTTCAGAAAGTTATTTATGTTGCACTCTCGTCAGAGCTACCTCCAAGTCAGTGCTTTGGTAAAACTCCACTTGAGAGTCACAAAACAACTGAGACTCATAAACCTGTAATCACGTACATTTAAATTATACAATAGTGCAATGAATCCCACCTTTGCTCTGTTGAGCAACATGTATTGATAGGCTGAGGAGGAAGTACACACACAAAAATTCTGTTGCTAGAAAATAAATGGATGTTTCTTTGATGAGTAAAGTGTACTTGTGTTCTCTAGAGCACAAGCTGAAGCTGTTTTTCAAATTATTGGCTCCCCAGTGAATCTTAGATTTGAAATTCAGACTGTCTTCTTCCTGACCTAACAGCTGTAATTATTTTGCTACTGGAATGTATATTCTTACTAACATCCAGATCAAAATTTCATTCAATGTCTTGTCTTTTAACAGAAAGGAAAAGGCAACAGCATACTGGTCAGTATTATTACATGTCAGCTGCCTATGAACAAAAGTCCTGTGTGCAAACACTCATATTGTGACCTAAAAGAGATGCATTTTTGAGGTAATGTTCATAAATTTATTTGGTGCTTACAATTGTGCACTATATGGGCAATGTTTTACTTGAGTTATAACTGTTAGTGTATTTCTTATCTTTGAATTGAAATATATTGTGGGTATATTTCATTTCCAGCATATCAAGGGGAAAGACACAATGTCCTTCCCGCTTAAGGCTAGACACAATTTTACTGGCATTCCAAGTAGCATTTGAATAAAGGAAAGACAATCATTGGTAAAAGTAACTTTTTCCCCAATTCAGTAATGCTGCACTTCTAATCACAAGATTAGTAGATCAGTTTTTAAAAGTCCAGAAATTTTCTCGAGTCTGTCTCCTAATAACAGATGAGACATGAAGGGTACCTTTGGATAAGCATTTTGGGAGCGTACCTCTGGCAAGGGGATGCTGCTGATATTGAGGTCTATGAACTACTTTCTTTGTGTAGGGATTTTTTTAAAATTATGTTTATGATAATCCAATTAGCTGCCTCTGTTCTTGCTGGAGTTCTGGGATTTCATATTTGCATCTTGATGTATTTTTCATTTATTGGCTGAGATCCACATAGCACAACAAACCTGTGGAGTGCAAAGATTATTCTTTGGCAGCAGTTTGTTTCACTGAGTAGAGCTATCTATCTCCATCAGTGGGTTTGTTTGTAAAACCAAGCTAGCTACAGAGATAAGGGGTCTGATTCTGCTCTTGCACTGTCTCAATATTCTGCTGTAACACTTAGTGGTTCTGTTCCTAATTCATTCTAGTGTAATCCTGGCTCATTCTCGATCACGAAATTGGTATTAAAGATGCAGCTGTTTCTAAATGCGGAAATCTCATGTTTGGATTAATGAATACTGAAGTTTCTTTGAATTTTCTGTTCACTGTAGTGAGGTCCTGTGAAGCTGATGAAACCTGTACTGTCCTTTCTGTTCTCAGTACTCCAGTGTTAGCAAGCTTTTCACTTATTTCTATCCCATTTTAAACAGCCATTTGTACCTGGCTCTTTTCATCCATGTATTCCAAATGAACTGGTGCAACTCTTCGCCTTCCATCCCTTTCATGTCCTGAGCAATCCTGTAAATCTCTTACCTCTTCCTAGTCATTGCAGAAAGGGTGACTTTCTCCACTAGCTACCTCCTGGATAGAGCTGCTTAATCTCAAGGTATAGACTATGTTTATTTGGTATATGCTAGTAGAATTGTATCTAGCCTTCAGCGGGAAGGACATTATGTTTTTCCCCTTGATATGCTGGAAGAGAAATATACCCACAGTATATTCCAG